CTGCAGTGGGCTAGTTACCTGCCCGTTCCCACGTGCAGTGCTGAAAATTACTCCCGTGCCACAAGATATTGTGGCGGGAATCTGTGGGAGTGCAGACCTCTAGTTTACAAACTTTCCCCCTCTAGTTTCATTTACAATAACACAAAACCTCTGGCCACTTTATTAGAAATGCTTCATATATTGCTCCACCTTGCTGGTTGATGCACAATTGGTGCACATCATTCTGGATGCACCCAGGGGTGGTCTTTGCACTAGGCAAAGGTAGGCAGACACCTAGGGCCCCCATGAGCCAGGGGTCAATTTGACTGACAGCCAAGCTATTGCCTTAACAGGCTAAATTGTGTCTCAGAATGGTTCTAGAAAAGACCAACCTGCACCAAAGGTCATCAGCCTTCACTCGCTCTTTTCTCGTCAGCGTGGTCATTACAGACACTGTATCTGGTGTCATTCCGTGCATTAGGTTACTCTCCTTCACTCTCTCTCTCTCTCCTTTCACCCCTTCACCAGCTGTCACTTTCCACAGCGGTGTGACGGAAAAGTCAAACAGGGGGTGAGTGCACACATAACTCATAAAGCATGCAGGTGTGTTTACTAGTGTGCGCACTTGTGCTTACCCTCATTCTGCCAACCACCTAGTGGTTGTTCTGCTCTCTGCTGACTGCAGCTTTCTTCATATTAAATAATCTTGTGCAACTGCCCTTAGGCCCGAAACATACTTTACGCAAGGACGCAAATGCGAATGACAGTGCTCGGACAACGCACTGCAAATGCTTGGTCCTTTTGTACAAACTCATCGCGCATTCTTACATTGCCATGGAGGTTAAACGCTCAGTACTGAAGGGGGCCATAGAGTGCAGATCAGAGAAGGGTCTACTGTTATTCCAACAGCCTCAACAGCTAAACGTGGACAGTAGAGGAGAGTGAGCTGCTTTACCTCTTCTCTTGGATTGGAAATGCGATAATGAATTATATTTTTATGCCATCTTTGCGTGAGACTCAACTGCTCGCTGGCGGTACAAGACCGCTTGGTCAGGCTTGGCTGTTGTTTTAGCGCCCCTTGCTGTAATGCTCAGAATGCAGCTCGCACTTGCGTCACGTTACGAAATGCACCTTGACACATTTTTGAAAGCAACTACGCACGAAACCCCGTGTGCGTAGCTCGAAGCGTTTGCATCCTTGCGTGAAGTATGTTTTGGGCCTTAAACACAATAAAAAGACATTTGTGGAGCATTCTACCAAATTAGTTCAAACTGCAGTCTCATAGTACAAAAGTAAATGAGTAAATAAATAAAACAATGAACCATTAAGACCTTAGACATTTACAAGAATTATGATCTACCTAAATCCAGGGCATTAATCAAGATTAATAATTAATAATAGTTATAAGCTAAATACATACAAAAACACCATTTATAGGATGCTTCCTATTGGGAGGTAGCTGTCACAAACCCTAACCCCTAAATTTAGACTTGTGAAAAAAATACCGTCATTTTTTTTGTTGTTGTTGTTTTTAAAGCTTTTTTATTTCTTTTAAATTGGACTTGAAATTGATTTATAATGTTTAATGTTTAAATAAAAAACTTGTTGTCCCATATCACTACATGTCAAAACACAGAGTTTTAGTATGTGGGCGGAGTCTTCTTTTAACCACACCCCTAGATTTTAGAGCAGGAAGTAAGATTCCATCCCTGTCCCTCATGGCCACATGGTGAGCAGCTAGATCGCATTGGTTTGAAGTAAATCTGTATCCAAGTCTAACAATCAGTTTGTCACATCAAGAAATGTCACTACCGTAATGCATATTTTCTGTAAGCTTTTTGGTGTTTTAATGAAAAATATTATTAGATTTTGTATTTATTATATTATTATGCTAGTCATGCTGTGTTTGCTAGTCACGTCCTGGCTAGCAGTTTTAAGTTCTGCTCAAAATGAGATAAAATTGTCACTACCGAAACAGTCACTACTGAAACATTTGGCAAGTTTCGGAAGTGTTATGATTGTTTTGTTAGTGACAAAATGAAACGTTCAATCATTTGTTATACTGCAATAAACACAATTAAGGTATTCGGCCTCTCAAAGCAAAAGATTTTAGTCTAAAATGCAAAATGTGTTTTTAACTCCGACTTTGAACCAGTTTGGTATAATGATCCATATACATGTTGACCTGCTCGCCAAAAGACGAAGGTCCACTTTGCTTCTGCTTTTGTAATTCATGTACATTTCCATCAAAATATGTTCTATCAATGTTATTAACGGTAAAAAAATAAACAGTGGAAAAACTTGCATATGCAGGATGGAATAGCAGCTGAATATCTGCTGTGTGTTCTGGTGTTTGATTCAGTGTGAGCTTATGTTATTGATCCCTCAAGAGTGTGCGTCTGTGTGAAAGGTTAGCGGGGTTCAGGAGGATGCCTATCTGCCGTATGGTGTGTGTTTTGTTATATAATACGTATGCTCGTATCAGAACCCAGCTGTTAGGCGTTGGGTTGCTCTCAGTTTCATCAGACGTTTAATGAAAGTACTTAATAAAATAATGGGGTGAAATTTAATGAAACCCAATGGGGCTCATGGCACGGATCAAATAATACGTTGCGTTTGTTTGTGTGTGTGTGTGTTGGCATTAGGTGCGGCAGTTCCATGAGGTCATAAGGTAAAACTTCATCCTCTTCTATACTTGTAGAACAGGCAGTGTTCATTTGCACAATGACATTAAGGCAGGCAGCAACCTCCCCACCCACAGTAACTGTATCGGCAATTTTATAATATATCTCAAGCATGTGCTTCAGTACACTTATTACACTTTCTTGCTGACTTGCTTACTCAAATATTCTGCATAATTAAGTGGTTAAGATGTAAACAAAATCACTCAGAGTGGTTTGGTGTAAAATGCTCCGCTCTAGAGACACTGGCAGAGTTAGAAGAGTCACAATGGTGGTGATAGGAACCAGACGTCTTAACAAGATAATGGCTCTGTTACTGAGGTGGTCCTGATTGGTGGGAATGTATAGTTCAATAAATGTGATGTTTTCTAGTGGCAGACTCTTCCAAGGTTGGTGAATTCGCAGTGTTGAAGTTCACCATGGCATGCAGTGAAATTTAACACTACCAGAAACAATTTTTTTTTTTTTTTTCCAGTTCAAGTGACGTGGCTTTTTCGCCAGACATATCTGTGTTTTATAAGGTACATTTATCTTTATAGCACTGCTCTTGCAACCCCCCTGGAACCATGTTGGACCCCAAGGTTAAGAACCCCTCCTCTAAACGCTCCCAGAATGTTTGCACAATGGTTATTTCTTCAGATTTACTACTGTTTTATCATCATCAACATTACATATAAAACCTCAGAAGACACGTGTGGCTTCACTGCTGGTTTTGATAGTAAATAAAATGGCTATATTTGGGTTGTTGACATGGCGACCCCTGGTTCTTATCACCTCCACTGTAAAGAAATCTGAGTCTGCAAGTTTTAATGAAGCATTTCATTTCAAACCACTCTGAATAAAATTGTTGTAATTCCCCTTTAATGTAACATTAATTAATGTTGGGTACAAAGTAGAGCATTACAGTAATAAATTACTTTTCCTGTAACAAAGTAGTGTAATGCATTACAGTAGAAATTCTAGTAGTCACAGTTACTGTATCTGTATCTGTCAAAGCATCTAATCATGCTAATATAAACCTGAAGGATGAAATTCCCTGCGCTGAGGATGAGAGAACCTCAACCCCACCTAAACAAGCCAGTTTTGACTTTCATTCAGGAGCAGCTCTGTAATCTTTATAATTTATTCATAAAGATTTTATTTAAAGACGTTTTTTTTTTTGGATCGTTTCTAGAGACTAGTTTGTAGGTTTTCAATCTGAAGTATACCCTTATACTGGATACCGCAGCAACAGCCTAGCAACAGTTTAGCAACCACCTGTGATAGTACAGCAAGGGCCTAGTGGGCAACTTGGCAGCCACTTAGGATATCATCCCAACAGCCTAACAACACCTTAAGCCGCTTTTCCACTGCATGGTATCGGCTCAACTCGACTCGTCTCTACTCGAAAAACTGCAGACTACTGATTGGTCAAAGAGAATCATCATCTTAACGTTTTATGCTAATGTTAGCTACCAGGTTAGCGTTCCCTCTTGCATCGTGTTTGAGCAACCACAATCATCTCATTGACTCTGATGTAGTTTTCCCCAAACTCTCCTGTTTATTTCAGCAGTCTTATGTCTCGCTGCCGTCGGCCTCTTCTGAACAAAATTTGTCTCCTTCATGTCACAATAGTTTCATGTGGTGTCCCTATGACGACCAGCTACATTGAGGGGGAATTATATCTGCAGTGGAAAATGAAGCAGCTGGTACCAAAAGCAAGTAGAGTCGAGTTGTACGATATGGTGGAAAAGCACCATTAGTAACCACCTGAGACACCATAGCAACGGCCTGACAAAGACTTAGCAACAACCTAACAACCACTAAGCAATGACATAACAAAAAGCTGGAATACCATAGCAACACCTTAGCAACAACATAGCAACCACCTGGAACTATCAGCAGTGTTCTACAACTGTTTTAGCTTTAGAAGTATTATTAGCTGGCTTTGTTACTCCAACTTAAAGTTCATTTCCTTTTCTAGTTCCTCGCCATTACAGTGACTCTTTTTCTCTGGCAGCATCTTAGCTGAAGGGTATTTTTAGATGCTAGCTAAGGATGTATTTTCTGAGTTGAAAACAAAGACTTAAATCTCTGGACAAGAACTTCTAGACACTCAAATAGGGGGACGCATCCTCCTTTAGGCCACATAGACCTAGCAGATTAGCTTAAAACTCAGAGTTAAGCTGTAGCATGATGTTTGCAGTACGTGTTAACAACCATAGAAGGCAGAAAGAAAGAACTTGTAATTCACTTCAACATAATTTTTCTAGATCCTATATAAAGAAATGTTGTGCAACATATACATGGGCATAATAACTTAATTCCAAATAATAAAGCAACACTGTATAAATATACTTACATTAAAATATTTATTCTCCAAAATAGTAACTTTACAGGAAAAGGCCAACTTTTAATACTGTAAAGAGAGTTTAGTCCAAGTAATATTGGAGCACTTTTGGTCCGTTCATCATAACACTTCCACACAACTTTTGAAAAAAATTCTTGAAAAAAAATTCCCATTTAAAACTCAATTAAAATGTAAAAAAGTAAAAAAAAACTTGTTTGTTTTGGGGTTTTCTTCTTGTTATTTTGTTACATAGCATTCTTCTATAAAGCTCATTAATATACATATTATACTCCCACTCAATGTCCTGACCATTGTTTGTCTTCCAAATTCAGAGACAAGCTTTAGTTTGCTGCCCTCTGGTGGCCGAAGTTAATAACCACAGCCAAACTCAGCTCCCCTGTGCTGATGCTGCCCTTTTACAGTGACTTCTTATGAGTTTCACCATTTCTTTCAAAGGTTTTAGGCTTAAATATAGATTGCTAGGCAACTTCATCTGAATCCTTAAAAGATTACATTTCATAACTGCATTGGTCATCAAAGCATCTCTCAAGAAACAGTTTTCCCCAGCAGGAAGACTGCATGCTCCTTCCTGCGGATGACGCGCTGCATTTTGAACGTGTTGGAGGTGATGTTGGTGGACATCATGTGACCTTTCAGCGCCTCAAACGCCCCCTGGCTGACCAGCTGTACTCTCATTGGTCCGATGCTGCCCTTGATCCGGAAGGACTTGTAGACAGCCGAGTCCGCTTGAAGACAGCAGTCCAGCTGTGTTAGTGAGGAAGATAAGAATGACAATTCGTTGTTACTAATGCTATATAATCTAATACTCTACCACAAATAACATTAAATATAATAATAAGCTGTATTACTGAATAACCTAAACTCAAAATATAATCTAATAATTCACCCTATGCATCATACAACCTGATGATACAATCATTTAATATTATATACGATGTATAATCTAATAGTCTTCCTAATATATAATCTAATAATCTAGCTCATACATAATTTCATCTAACAATCTGTCTCATACAACCCCATAGGAGAAAAAGTTGGGACGGTATTGAAAATACAGAATAAAATAAGAAAGCAGAGATTTTTAAAAGTGACCTTGACTTACATTTCATTGCAGACAATATGAACACAATATTTCATGTTTTGTTTGGTTGACTTCATTTCATTTGGAAATATACATCTATATCTATTCCTGCTATTCAGGGCTGTAACTCTATCCAAAAAAAGTTGGGACAGGGGCAATTTAGGGCTAGTAATGAGGTAAAATAATAAAATTTCATACAAAAGCAGCATCCAGGAAAGGCCTAGACCTCTCGTAGCAAAGGTGGGACGAGGATCACCAGTTTGCCAGCAAATGTGTGAGAAAATGATTCAAGTGTTTAAAAACAATGTTTCTCAAAGAAAGACAGGAAGGGATTTGAATATTTCACCCTCTGCGGTGCATAACATAATAAAAGATTCAAGGAATCTGGAGGACTTTCCGTGCATAAAAAGCAGGGGCTCAAGCTTAAACTGAATAGCTATGCTCTCCAATCCCTAAGACAGCCATCAAGGACTGTCATTCATTTATAAGTGATGTAACCACACAGGCTCAGGATTACTTACAAATCTTCATCAAGCAGGACAAATAACAGACCATCACACAGTGGAATGAGTATTGTGGTCAGACGAATCAGTATTTTATGTCTTTTTTGGAAGAAATGGATCCCATGTGCTCTGGCAACAAGTCCAAAAGCCAGGGTCTGTCATGGTGTGGGGTTGTGTCTGTGCCCTTGGCCAAAGTCACTTACACCTCTGTGATGGGACCATTAATGCTGAAACGTGCAGAGATTTTGAAGCAACATATGCTGCCTTCAAGACATCTTTTTTTTCAGGGATGCCCTGCATATTTCAACAAGACAATGCAAAACCACATCCTGCACACATTACAAAGGCATGGCTACGGAAGATGAGGGTGCAGGTGTCTTTAAACACTTTTGAAGTGTTGTGAAAAGGAATGGTAAATGCTTTACTGTCCCAACTTTTTTTAAAATATGTTGCAAGAATTAAAATTGAAATAAGTGTTCATTTTGAAAAAACAAAATTAATGAGTTTTTTTCAACAGGTCGAAAATAATTTAGAATTCCCCGTTTTCAGTTTTAATTTTAATTCAACATACCGTGAGTTTTCTGTTTTAGATTAAAATGATCCTAGATTAAAAGAATTTCTAACACTGTGCATCATACAGCATATAATTTAATACTCTACCTTATATATAATCTAAACATCTACATCATATGTCACATAATCTAATGATCTGTCACATCATATATTCTAATAATCTACCCCATATATGATCTAACAATCTGTCATATGTCATATAGTCTAACAATCTTGTATGTAATCTACTTTATACATATTAGAAAATTAATGATCTACCTTATCACATATAATCTAATACTGTACTACGTATCATATCATGTAATGATCTACTTTATACCTTATATCTCTGCTCTTCTGTGAGGTTCCTGACCCCCTTCAGCTCCAGGAACACTTGGTAATGCGGCTGAGCTCCTCCTGATGAGTCTCCTGCAGTACACACCATAAATAAGACAGTTGAACATCACCAAACTGAAACTATCAAAAACTATTTTGTTCAAATATGACATTAAACATGCACACATGATATACAGTGGGCATTTGGAAGAGACACTACATAGTCAAAAGAAAAATATTACATTGGCCTTTTTTGTGTGGCTCCTTTTAGAATTACAATTAGGACCATTTAATTGCCCAATTACACTGCTACAATGGGACATATCAACTCAATTCATGATGCAAATGAGCTCAAGTTGCAATCATAACACACTTCTAAAGTGGCTGAGCTTATGATAATAATAAAAAAAATAATCTTCAAATCAAATTTCCAGATTAGCTAGTGAAGAGCTAGCGAGCTGCTTTCTAGCCTGCTTGTCAGTGATTAAACCTGCTTAATCATTGACAAGCACACAGGACAAAAACGCATTTAGATAAAAGATGGTAATGGTAAGGAATTACCCAGAACGCCACTCTCAGCGCAGCAGTAGTCCACCAGTTTAGCCCCAGGCCACTGAGCTACCGCCTTCTTCAGAGCACCCAAAAACAAAGCTTCAGATACCTTCTCACCTCGAACGCTCAACATCTGACCTCGCCTGCAACAGACACAAGTTACTGTCACTGCAGTGCTCAGAACTATGCAATACTCAAATTATACCTGCTCTGTGGTGGTCCTATGGGGGTCCTGACCATTGAAGAACAGGGTGAAAGGGGGCTAACAAAGTATGAATGGGTGCACAGATGGACTACAATATACAATATACAAATTCTTCATATTTACACATATTATGCACATTTGCATAAGTACATATGTGCAACTGACTACAGAAGATGGAAACATGCATTATCAATATCTTTTTCTTATTTCAAAGTTATTGTCATAATATAACTGTTCTCCTATAGTGTACTAAATTGTATGGGCATAAACTGACCTGTAGAGAAACTCCACCACTGGACACTGGTTGTGGAACCCAACCACTTTAACAATGTCTCCAATGCGATACCTAACAAAAACAAATTAATACAATTTCTCAGAGGACAAAAAATATTGCTGCAGATATATCTTTCAGATATAGATATATACATCTTTCAGAAGTGAGTGTACCTGTTCAGTCCAGCTGCGTTGGTGACGACCAGCTCGTAGTTTTTTCCTTCCTCTACCTGGTGCATGAGGAGCGTATTGGACTGCTCTGAGTCTAAGCTCTCCTCAGGCAGGAACTCACAGAACATGGAGCGAGGACAGAGCAGATAATGCCTGCTCTCCTGAAGAGGCCACAGGTTTATACCTATCAAACCTACAATACAAATCATTATAACTCAACATTATTACAGTATAATGTATTACAGTATACATTATAAGTACTATACACTCCCTGTCCACTTTATTAGAACATTTAAGAGCTCCACCCACCTTCTAGGTCCACTATATACAGTACTGTCCAAAAGGTCAGAGACTAATCCATTTGTATAAGGAAAGCAAAAGTTAAAGGACAACAAGTGAAAAAGCAGGAGCTTCAAAAAAAGTAGAGAACAACTTCTAACAAGCACGCAGGACCTAATCTAAAATGATAATTATTGCATTATATAATCTAATAATCTACATCATATATAAACTAGTAATTTGTCATATATCACATAACCTAAGAATCTAATTAGACATTAATATAATAAAATATTCGACACTAGTACTTGAGTTTGGTCTCAGTCTCGAGACCATAAATTTGCGGTCTCTGTCTTGTCTTGGTCTCAACGTCATTGGACTCAATCTTGTTTCAGTCATGACATCATTTGGACTTGGCCTAGTCTCGGTCTCCACATCATTTGGACTCGGCCTAGTCTCGGTCGCCACATCATTTGGACTCGGTTTTGTCTTGGTCTCCACATCATTTGGACTCGGTCTTGTCCCGGTTGCGACATCATTTAGACTCGGTTTTGTCACGGCATCCGCATCATTTGGACTTTGTCTTGTCTCAATGTTGACATCATATAGACTCGGCCTAGTCTCGGTCCTGACATCATTTGGACTAGGCCAAGTCTCAGTCTCCACATCATTTGGACTCGGTTTTGTCTTGGTCTCCACATCATTCGGACTCGGTCTTGTCCCGGTCTCCACATCATTTGGAATTTGTCTTGTCTCAATGTTGACATCATTTAGACTTGAGTCTTAGTCTTATCTTGTTTGTGACATCATTTTGACTCAGCCTAGTCTCGGTCCCAACATCATTTAGGCTCGGCCTTGTCTCAGTCCTGACATCATTTTCGACTTGGCCTTCTCAACTGCCCATTTTTCCCACATTTTACAAGCCAGCTACCAGAACCAATTGTTTGCTTACTATCTAATATATCTCAGATCTTGAAATGCACCGTTATTTGTTTCTTCTGCGAGAGGTCATTATGTTTGGGCTTATCAGTGTATTTAGAAAGATGAAAGGTCCATTTTAGATAGCTAGGACAAAAACATATTTGTTTACATGCATATCCATACCTTCAGTGGCAGCATAGAAGGGCGAATAGAAAGGTAGGCCTTTGCAGTAGTGCTGCCTCAGTAACTCTCCGTAAATCTGGTTGGATCCAGAGTCCACAGCCAGCACCAGGTGTAAACGGGGCCAGAGCCTGAGAGCAATGCCCTGGAAGCCTTCGCTGAACTGGGCTCTTAGCTCTGAGGCACGGCCGGGGTCGGGCTCCAGAAGCTTCTCCAGGGCCAACCTTATCCCACCATCCAGCTCCAAACTCTTACTCAGCCCACCAGTCTCAACATCATCAACAAGCTCCTCCCACCGCTCCTGCAATACACACCAACCAAAGAATCAACAACCTAGAACAAAATCGTAACAACGTCAATATCTTCTTTTAAAGTGATAGTTTCACAACAATAATTTAAACTATTCTCCTTTTGAACCCAAGACAAGACAGCTGTTGTAAACATGCTCACTTGCATCCAGCATTAGGGCCACAGTGGTCTCTAGAGTGACATTTTAGCCTTAAAGACTAGGAAAACCTTTTGATGATGTACCTTGAAGGTGAGAGAAACCTTTTAAAAAAATACAATAGTTTTGGGAAGGATTTTTAGAGGCAGGCTGTTTGAAAGGCTAATACTAGCTTGGCTATATTCATTATATAACTGAGTGGCTAGGCTAACGGTCAGGCTTAGCTGACACCACAGGGATTCCCAATGGTTCTACTTGTGAGGCTGAAGGATACAATACTGCAGTACAGAATACTACAAAACACAACAAATCACACATTAAACACTAGTTTTGCACTAAAATACCCCTTTACAATTTTCAACAAACATCGGCAACTAACGGAATGGAGTTTTCTAATAGGCAAGAATAGATTTGTCATCTTTTGTTGTCATCTTGGACACTGAACACGAAACCAAACCAGTTAAACTTATAACAACCCTAGTCTTGTTACAGTGTAAAGGTTTTTGAGACAGTCCTACCTCCAGGGCTCTGAAGGCATAGAACACAGTCGAACAGAAGTTGGATTCTATAGTACCAACATGGCGGTCCTTCAAGGCGAACAGTAGATGGAGATATAATGCGTCCCTCTCATTCAGCACCTAACAAATGAATAAATGCATGACTGAGTGAATGAATCTGGATTTTGCTTGTTTAGAGACAGGATTTGAGGACACATGATTAGAAATTCAGCAGCCAGGATTTCACAGAATTCCTGACTGAAAACACATATAATTCTCATCCACAGACCATAGAAAGCTACTAGATATCGAAAGGGAGGGTTCAGAACAAGTATTGATCCAACACACAATCACTAATGCTTCATTAGAATGGACTGGATTAGGATGGCCATACTGTTAGTTAGAGCAACTCATTTACAATTTTTCATGGTTGTGACGTCACAACACATTTCCATGAGAGCTACAGTAGTTTAGCTCTGCCCATTAGCACTGAAATGTTAAAACATTAAATGTTGCTTTGTGAAGCAAATGGATCATTGCAGCTGTCCAAATGTTCCATATATCTAAAAGGAGTAAATGAAGTTCAGTTTTTTCTACGTCCCTGTGGATTTCAGTATGAACAGTTCATTTCACATTTCCACCTGAATGAGTCTAAGTACAGTTCAGAACTGAGGTCATTTATATATATCAGTCTTAAAGGTCCAGTAAGATAAACAGCCTGTTAAATTCTAAGGGATAAAGACAGGTTGGAAAACGATTGGGTAAAAATGAATTAGGACTATTTTTGGTACATATGAAGTGGACTTTAAGGAAAAAATACAAAGGTAGAATATAGGGCCTTTACAATGCTGCTAAATGACATGCCTTTTTGCAACTAGTCATAGGATTTGTAGTGCGCTAATGCTAAAAGGCAACATTATGAGAACTAAAGGGGTCAAATTCTACACTTATTAGAGGCCTACTTATGGGAAATTAAACAGGCTGTTTTTGCCCTTTAAGACATATGTAAATAACCTCTGTTCTAACTGGCTGCTCAATATTGTGCCTCATTCAAAAAGCAGTCTGGGCTACAACACTTCTTATAACTACAGTGTGAATAGTGGTGGGGCTTAACTGCTGTAGGTTGAATAAACAGATATATTTCAATGCATTGGCTTTCGTGACATTATTAAACCAGTGAATTTAAAACAGGCTTTTTCCATAAGTGGACTGTATGGTCAGGGAAGTGAATGGTACATTTTGTTTACACACTACATCAAACACTTTTATTCCAAAAAAGGGAAAAAGGAAGCTTGAGGCAACTTCCGTTATCCATGATGTAGGCCTGATTCATTGATTAGCTGTTATATAAATAATGGTGATTAATGCAACTGTTGCTTATTAGCTATCCTGCTTAGCTAACTCTTTGCTCTGCAGCTAACAAGAGATGATATGCTGCACTGTGCTATGCACAACAAGTCTCTACAGGTACAAAGAGTCAACCAAAGCTTATATTTTCCTGTAGAGACAACAGACATATAACAGCGTGTCATTCTCCAAGGTACTCCTGTGTCTGCTGCTCTACCTGGAATGCAGGTGCTGGAGTAGTATAGAGGTACAGCAGGTGTTTGGAGGAGGAGGGGGTTGAGGAGTTCGGTCCAATAGGTATTCCTCCTTCAGAGTGTTGTACAGTGGGCGAGTAGAAAAGCTTTAGGGTCCTTTGGAGGCTGATTGAGCCCGGGAAAGCTTTCCTCATGACATCTACACATACACACACACCCTACAACAGAGAAGCACACACACATAAGGTCAAAGTGTGTGCTGGATAAACAGTGAATCATTCCTTGCTACATGAACACTTACAAGACCACAGAGAAATGTTCACACTGTAAGTGCATATTTTATGCATAATATATATAAATATATAATATTTCAATGGAGACATATTTCACAGTCATAAAATCATGAGCATGTGCGACCCAAGTATGTCCTGCACAGCAATACAGACACCCTGTCATTTACTTAATAAGTTGCTTTTGTATAGCCACTAATAAAATATTGCTTTTCCAGTTTTTTGGTTATTCAGGGTGTGGCGAGACATTTGCTTGATGTCATGCCACTGGCAATGACCACTGGGTACATTTTCCTGTCCGATTCCTGCACAGTGATAAAGCATTACTTACAGCTCCCGCAGAGTTTGAAGTTCACTTTAAACTGAGCATTTTTACTCCCTATAGTTTTTAATCTTTCTTAAAATGTCTGAATACCTTGTGTATTTTGCAGGGAACTATCAGGGTGGTTAGAATGTACTTCTAGTGTTCACTTTCGTATAATGAACTTCCTAGAAATTGCCCTTTATTATTGTGTAAGAGTCTAGTTTATTGATTTATCTATAGATGTACTTACATAAAAGTTACAATTTATGGTCCTTTGAGGGCACACAAAAAGTGGACAAAATACACAAATCACGCACCTGAAGGAAAACAGAGATACTAAAAGTTGCTAAAATGGTGCTTGGCTCATTTTTGCCCACTACAAATAAAATATAAATTTCCTCAAAAAGTGCAGTACTTCAATGTGCCTCTTGCTGTTCACCATAAAAACATCTCCCTTCTGATGAGTGGGTGTTGGGTTCAAATCCTGTCTGAGCTGTAAGGCATGCTTATCAGCAACAAGAAACGTGCATCCTGAAATCTTTGAGAGACTGACACTTACACAATTATCTAATTATAAATAATTATCAAAAAACTTGACATTTATACATCAGGACCACATAAGGCCTCTTTGGGGTTATGGTGCTTGGACCCCTATGATTGCCACTCGAGACTATTTTCAGAGTTATGATCAGATTTGCATGCTTACAGCCAAACAGTTCTTCTTAATAGAAACTTAGGTAACCATCATAACTCTTTGATACTTCAGTTCATTTAAAAGCAAGTTCTTTTGTAGGGTGTATTTCTGCTATAGAAGCGTTGAACTTTGTCCACCTCTGCGAAAAGCCTGTTTGTGACTCAGGTCCAGACAGATTTCGACATGCCCTGATGTGACAAATGCTGCACTTTCTGTTGATCTGTCTGTACTCTGACCTGTAAGAAGAACTCAGTGCTGGTGTCCTTGGTGCTCAGGAGCATGCTGCTGCTTCCAGATGTTCCAGATGTCATGGCCAGGATGAGCGGCTTCTCTTTAATCAGAACGTTCTCCTCTCCTGCAGAAACCTGCTGCACTAACTCTCTATAATGATCATACACCGTGATTGGGTGACGGCGGCGGAATTCTTCAGAGTCTGGAATAAAAGATTGTTGGTATTCAGTACTGTGCAAAAGTCTTAGTATCCTAAGTTATTTATCTGGTCAGTAAGCATTTATCTGCCACAAAAAGTGTAAAAAAAATAGTGATTTTTTCAAACTTCTCCTCATGGAAGCCCAACATTAACTGTAGTTATCATCCAATACCTGGTCCTTAATGTAGTCCTTCAGTATGTTAAATCAAGTGGGCTGTGATGGAATTTAACAAATCCATGTGATGGCTGAGGCTACTGAAGAGAACTCGGGAGCCAAACTTTGTTCTTCAAGCAACACATTAACATTTTAAAAATAAGAAACTGTACTTACTGTAATGTTATACTGTAATATGGCATTTTACTAGCAGAAATGACACTTTCTGCTGAGATAAATGGTTTACTGTTACAGTACTGTTACAGGGTGGAGAGACATTGACATATTTCTACTATTCTGTGGCTCTTTGCACAGTTTATTCATGTTAGTTTAGCCAAAAATCAAACATACATATTTGGTATTAGAAATTTGCTTCTTTTTCCAAAGGAGCTACAAGGTTAAAGTAGCAAACAAGTAATAGCTAATCTTGCAAAGTACATGTCTAAATCTGTGAAAAGTAAAAATGGAAACCTCTCCCATGTAAACCACATTTACATTTAGGTTGCTGGATGATATTGGCTGATAATTATGTGGTTTTATGGGATCTGCAAGTACACTGTATGTCCAAAAGTATGTAGACGACACTCCTAATTATTGAGTTCAAATGTTTTAGTCACAACAATTGTTAAACATTGTACAAAATCTTGAATTGAAGCATCTAGGAGCTACAACAAAAACACATCAATCACTATGTGCAAAGTGTCGGCTGGAAGGGGTGTAAAGCATGCTGCTACTGGAGCAGTGGAACCATGTTCTCTGGAGTGATCATGCTTCACTCTCTGGCAACCTGGGGTTGAAGGATGGCAGGAGAACACTATTAATGCCTTTGGTCTTGAAATAGGATGTTCAACAAGCTTAACCACAGGTGTGATATATCTGAAATGTACGTTTTATTGGCTAAAATGATCAGTTATCAAAATATTTAACCCCTTAAAATCACTATTGGACAGGCTCTAAATTAAATGTACATAAGATTGTTATACTTATTTTACATAACTTCCACAGTTTTGAATAAGCTCTGGTGGTCAGACAGACCACAGTCACCAGCATGGCTAGCATTATACAAAGTGTATGTGCTTGAGATCCACTGTAAGTCAGATTTCTGGACACACAGACGATTACCTTTGATAGAGCTGAAGTTGTACTGCTTTCCATAGAGTGTGTGCGCGTTCTTGTGCAGTCGTCTGAGCAGAGTTTCCTCCTGCACCCTCTGAATGTCCAGCGTATCTTTCTCCAGCTTCTCTCTCTGGCGTTTTCCCAGCCAGGTCACAAACCTGACAGCCAAGAACTGATTTAGGAGACCCCATACAGTCCTGTTCTCGGCCTTCAACCGCAGGCTGACGTTTCTCCACAGAAGAACCGCTCCGCTGAAGGATACAACACCCAGAGCGGTGGGTATGACATGAGGCATTACTGGAGGGAGGGGGGAAATTAATTAATTCATTCATTCATTAAAACATAATATATCGCTGCTGTTGGACCAAAACCTTGTATCTCCAAAATGACAACTTTACAGGAGAAGGAAAAAACATACTTTACTTTCAATGTAAATCAATGGAACCAGACTTTTTTCTAAGTAATTTTGGGCCATTTCTTTTGGTCCATTCATCATGAAATTTACAAACAATGGAAAGAGGAACGGGTATTTTCAAATTATATCAAAAACTGAAAAACAACAAAAAGGGAGATGGGGTTTTGGTCCTTCAGCAGCGAGAAAAGATGGTTCTTCAAGGGTTCTTTAGTACAGGAAACGGTTCTGTTTAGAACTATGAGTTTTATATAGAACCATTTCATGCTTAAATGCTTCTTTGCATGGTGAGATGGTTCTTCAGACAGATGGAGAATGTGTTGTCTATGTATATTTTTAACAATGGTTCTGAATAGCATCAAAAAGGGTTCTGCCATTGTTATGATGTCAAGCTTGTAACAATAGAAGAACCCATTTTGGTGCTGTCTAAAACCATATACAACACACTCTCCATCAATCTGAAGAACCATTTCACCACACTCCTAAAAAAGATGTTTTTTCAAGAGTTCTTTAGTAAAGACAAAGGTTCTACATAGAGCCTTGGACACTCAAAAAACCATTCTGCATGCTTAAAGTGTTCTTTAGATTGATAGAGAATCGTTCTACACCAAAAAGGTTCTTCTGTTGTTACAACCTTTGTGGTGCTATACAGAACCCTTTTCAAAAAGGTTGTACGTAGAACCACATTCCACACATTCTCCATCAATCTGAAGAACCGTTTCACCATGCAAATAACCATTTAGGCATGAAGAACTCATTCGTATAGAACTCATTGTTCTAAATAACTAAAGAAGCATAAAGGACCCTTTTTTTTTAAGTGTGTACAATGCAATATATCACTGCTGTTGGAAGAAAACCTCATGTCGCCATTTTTGACGTTTTTCAGTTTTTTACAGAATTTGAAAATACCTGTTACCCTTTACAGTGTACGTAAATTTCATGATGAATGGACTTAAAGAACTGACCCAAAATGACTTGGAAAAATGTCTGGTTCCATAGACTTACATTAAAAGTAAAGTCAGTTTTTTCCTTCTCCTGTAAAGTTGCCATTTTGGAGATACAGCGATATACAAAACAACTTTGATAACAATAACAATAATAATCATCATCACTATCATCATATATAATCTGCAAAATAGAAACTCTAGCATTAGACTCAGCTCTAATCTGACAGATTAGTAATATCTAATCTACCACATATATAAACTCTAACTTCAAATTCTCCTCTGTCTGTCTATCTTGTGTTAAGTGAAAATGTAACATTTTTAGCATGACTTTTTATTCTGTCCAATCAGTTTGGATTCATCAATATCGTTCAGATTACATAAACATCTGTCATGTTATACTGTTACAGCAGTTAGTGTTTCACCAAGCCAGCATTTCTCGCTTAGCTGTATAACTTAAGCCATAAACTGAATGATGTCCATCAAAAACGTCCCTTTGGTCTCCTCCTGCTGGACAGGCTGGACTTTCTGCTTATTTAATCCAGCTGTCTGAGAAACCCTGCTTAATATTCCCCCCACTCATTTACACTTTACACCAAAACAGCATCATCTCGCTGCTGAACACTCACCAGTAGCTGCAGCTGCTGTCAGTATTACAGTGAAAACGAGCAGCAGAGTCCACAGGAGGCCGCGGCGCAGGGACATCATAACACTGAGGGACAGTCCGCTGTCCTCACTCCGCACCAGCTCCGACCCTATAAAAACTTTACTGATTTCCGCAGCGAGAGGATCAAAACCAGACACTGAATCAACACTTTCTTCCGATTCCGACGTCACACGCAGCACGAGGCGCGATGACATCATGGCTAGAGCTCCGCCCGCGCGAAAGTGAAAGTCCAGACAGAGGCGGAGTTTTATTCCCACCCGTATTCGGACAAGCTGTTTTGTATTTTATTTCCACCTATTGTCAGATAAAAACGTACTGTTTTTTTCCACCTGTATTCCGACCAACTGTTTTGTATTTTGTTTCTACCTTTAATCAAACTCTGTGTATTATTACCAGGGGCGTCGCCTGGCCTGGACTTCCGGGGCTGTAGACCCGAATATTTTTAACCAGCCCCGAACCTTATAACGCCAACATCTCACACATTTCACCCCAAATCAACTACACTCATCATCTACCGTTGTATTCTATTTCCACCCACATTCCGACACGTTTGTATTTTATTCCCACCTATATTCAGCAAAATATTATTCAAAACTGTGCTGAGACCTACTGGTTGCATACTATAAGGCTGCTTTGTGGCCACATGGAAACATTGTTTTTCTCTAGTTAGTGTGTGTTTTGCTGGTATAAGTGGATCAGACACCAACCAAAAATATCCAGCCAACAGCGTCCTGTGACCACTGACGAAGGACTAGAGGACGACCAACACAAACTGTGCAGCAACAGATGAGCTACTGTCTCTGACATTCCATCTACAAGGTGTACCAACAAAGCAGAAGAGTCAAACAGAGCGGACAGTGTTTAAAAACTCCAGCAGCTCGCCGTGTCTGATCCACTCGTACCGGAGCAACGCACCCTAGCACACCACCACTCACATAATTCCTGCTCTGTGGTGGTCCTGACCATTGAACAGGGTAAAAGGGGGCTAACACACTATGTAGAGCAACAGATGGACTACAGTCTGTAATTAGAAAGTGCATCTATATGGTAAATGGAGATGATAAAATGGACAAGGAGGTGGACTTAATGAAGTGGCTATATAATCGTAAGTCAGCCGGGAACAGCTGACAATTTAAAAACCACAATTTTGAGAGCAAAAGACAGCTGATAGAATATTCTGGATATATACATGTTAGAAGGAAAATGGGGTGAAGCTCTGTCTTAGAAACATTCACACATTGGTAAAATATAAAATTTTATTACTTTCTTGTCTCCCAAGTTACACCAGGTACTCACTTGACACCAAACAAAAGACAAAACAGGAGCAGCCAGTATTAAAAAAAAAGAAAAAAAGAAGCATAGAATACAGGTGCTGATCTAGGATCTGTTTAAGTGAATAAGATCACCATGGTTAGAACAGCGTACTCCCAGATTAACACAATTAATCTACTGTTCTGTGAATACGGCCCCATACTTGCCAAAACCAGCACGTTCATTAATTAACTGATTGACAAGACACACAAAGGATTATCAATAGCCATAAAACATAGCAGGACATGATGTGCAACATGAATACTGTCTCTATCCAAGTACAGAAGACATTCCAGCAAGTAAATACACTTAGAGAAACACATGAACAGTTGGAAAAGGATAATACAATCCATACGCACCATTTTAAATTCACATATGAAACCTCACATAAGCTTAAGCTGAGTCTAACCACGTATGACATTCGAGCACTAAACACTTGCATAACAACAGTATGGTAATAAAATAGTATTTTTACGTGGGAGTAACTTTTCAAAGATAGTAATGTCAGAATGACATATTTCTTTCTAGATATTCTCTTTAAATTCCATTAATATTCTTCCTGAGTTCTGCACTACATTATAGAAGCGTTTTGAAGTGCCTTGGGTGGAGCGAAGGAAGTGACCGTGTCTGACCAATCAGGGACTAAAACAAGCATTAATATGTTAAAACATTGTCATAAAAAAGAAAAGATGAAAATGTCATACACTCTTTGTTCAAACACTGCATGACAAACGGACCAATAGAAATCTTCAGCTGTTATCATAACTTACCTACAACGACAAGATGTTTTTTTTTTCCTCAAATACCTTTACATTAACAGATGTCAAGAACTTTTTCATGCAATTTAATTATTACTTCAACAGATCATAAGAACCTTTTTAGTGTAACAATATTTCAAACTTTCAAGTTACATTTAAAAGATTTTAAGAACTTAATGTAACTTGAAATTAAGTTATATTAACAGATGTGAACTACTTCCTCTCCTTTAAGGTTAACATTTTGTAAAAATGATATGACAAAAACTGTGAATGAGAGAGAAAAAGAATCAGCCTGAATGATCACTCTGCTCTGAGAATACTGTCCTTCCCTTTAGTTTTAAGGCGCATAATGGCAAAGCCATGGCAGGAAATGTTTTGTGTGTGCGTGTGTACGTTTAGGAGATTACAGCTCCTTATGGCTTTTACTATGAGATTCAGAGTCAACAATGAAAAGGGATTCGTGGAAATTTGGTACGCCATTCCTTAAACCAGAGTATTTTTATATATATATATATATATATATATATATATATGGGGAGAGAGAGAGAGAGAGAGAGCGTGCGAGTGTGAGTCTTATTAAAATAAAATGTTTAAAAATGTAACACCTCCAAAATGACATCCTCTGTAGATTTTCTAAGCAAAATTAACACTTTCTACAGGGAGCAAACATGAATATGCAAGTTCTCTGCCAATTTTAGCACACAACTTCTATTTATTTGCTTCTATTTATTGGTACAGGATCTGAACATAAAACGTGCTATAACATTTGCAGAGGCCATGTTTTATGTTTTTTTACCTCAAAAAATTTAGCTAATAAACAGTTATTGCGCATTATAATGTGCAGAGGTCTGTTTTCTATAGATGTTTACTTTTTTAATTAAAAAAAAAAATTAAATAATTTTAACAAAACAAAACTTAATTTCACTAGGGACACCCAAACCTTTGCATATGACTGTGTGTGTGTGTGTGTGTGTGTGTGTGTGTATAAATATACATATATATATATATACACAGAGAGAGAGAGAGAGAGAGAGAGAGAGAGAGAGAGAAAGAGGCACTGAGTAACATCCTAAATAATCTTAAATCAAGTCTTTTCAACGTTGGCGATTTACACCTCTGCTAGTCATGAATCGGATGATGTCAATGGAGAATTTCCAGTGCAAATCCTTTTAGTTGTTACTGCTGCAGCAAAGGTGAGCAATTACTTATCGTCAGTTTATAAATCTCTAAGCTTTAATGTGAGGATATGAAACCACTAGAATTCTCCAAAAATAAGCAAGTCTCCCAATTTGATTCTAAATACGGGTGTTTTATTCACCTAATCAAATATCCAATAACATGCTCCCTTAATATTGGCAGAATGATATATATCAGTCGGGCCGAACATGGATCACATTGTACTCATGATCAGAGGTAGTGAGGATCTAGGAGCCCTGTTCTTGGGCGATGTGCTTTAGGAAAAGCTGGTTTAAAGAATCATCCTAATAAAGGCTTGGGCTTTAATCTGTTGGACATCAAGGCTTGACTTTGGTTTTTCTAATGTATGACGAACCTAAGCTGTCTTAAGGCACAGAAGGAAAGGCAAAAAGAAAGAGAAAGAGTGGAACGGGGGAAAGTAAGAACAATGGTGTTACTTTTTTTGTTGCTTGGCCATATTACTCTGGAGTTAACTAGATGGGTCGCTTTGGACAAAACAGGAAACTAAAGCCTGTAACAATGAAAGAATGCACAGACGCCAACGCTAGAGCTCGTTTTACAAACCGGGATCTCAAATTCATGATTTAAAGGGGTAGATTGGGCCAGGATTATGATTTCAGCCAAACCTTTTAATAGGTTTTTGTCTAGGCTATGAGTTTTGAGCATGATGAACATATAGTTTTCAGATGAAGTATGTGATAGCTAGCACAAAATTATACCATTACCATATAATTGAGGTGATATGCAAAAAAGGGATCTCATTTACATTGTTTTCCCTCTTACACCAAGTGTAGTCAATCAGCCAAAACATGTTTGGTGTCTAAAGTTTGCTTCTTTAGTTTTGAACTGGAGCTGCAAGGCTAATGTAGTCAACATACAAGCTCATATACCGCAGTTGGTACATCATATAACTAAAACAGTAGCAGCAGTAATTTGCCATAGCAGAAGCAAGTTTTGTCTGTACTTCTGTTCATTCTTATACCACAGTATGTCATACAGTATCAGAAACTACATATGCAAATCTACTTGTGCTTATTTAAAGGGATAATTTGCCTGATATAAAAAATGTTGCTATCGCTACATCTGTTGTACACATGCCTATTTGCCTTCTAAAGAGGTCACTATAATAGTCACTATATTCTCTAGAGTTTTGTGGTTTCAAAACTAGGAAAACCCCCTTCTGATGATGCATCTTGAAGGTGGGAGGAACTTCTGAAAAACTACAAGCCCCATGGGGCAAATACTTGATGGGCTGTTTGAAATGATTTAGCATGACAGCTAAAGGTACAGCCAGGAAGACCAGTATCACGTCTGTATTTCTGCATGGGGATTCGCAGTTGCTGTTTGATATAATTACACAATGCATGCTGGGTATTGTAGTGAGAGAACACTAAAGAAAACACAATCATAATTTTCTGTCAAGCCAAAGAGACAGAGGGATACAGAATATTACATAACAAATAATATGTCAAAGGCTAAATATAGGGTGAAATGCCCCTTTAACAACTCAACACGTCTTGAGGTTGCTGTTTGATGATTAAGACATGCAGTTTGAGGTATAAGCTTCGACTATCTGTTAGGTACTTTAGCTTCGCAGCTCCAGTGCAAAAAAAGTAAACATCTTGGCTGATCAACTACACTTGGAGTAAGGGGATAATTTTATAAATGTGATTTTCTTGCCAAATTATCGCTTTATTAATGTGATAAATTAGCTTAGTATCCCTTTGACACTGCACATAGTGACCAAGTCACTGCTTACATTCCGTTAAAATTCTAGGGCAACTCTGCAAACTAAAAAACTCCCTTTTTATTTCATTTGTCACATTCTCAGAGTTATAGAGGAATATCCAACAGCAGCTGGAAATATTAAAGTGTTGCATAGTGTGGTGCATATGGCCTGGTTTTCGTACAAGAAATGTTGTAAACTAATGGCATCTATAATTAAATACAACAGATTTCTGTTGCTAAAAGAGAACAAACAAAATGTCAAGATAATTTGAAAGCAACGATATATTGTTTCAAATCAAAGCTCTACTGTACCCATAAGCAGTTCAGGTGAATTGATTTTACCAAACGTATTAAATATCAATGTTGCTTAGTTTGTGAACTGTTTCTTGATTCCTTTTAAAACTAATCTGGTGATGACATTTTTTTCCACACTGTTAACTTATAGGAGGTTGCATGTTTGGTAATCATCTGACCTAAAGGAAAAAACACTAGAATAACAAACAGCTACGCCAGACAATTTGAGGTAATTTCCATGGTGACGTTTTAACTACTACAAATACCATCAGTTAAGGTACTGATACTATAGAGTTTTGGCCTGAAACATAGTACAACATTGCTTGAAGTGCTGCTTAAGTGACGATTTGATGAAAACATCAACAGATTTGTAATTCGTCTACCGTTCCACCTTCCCTGGTCTGCTAGGCTAGTGAAGGAAAACGATGCACATAATTGTCATGCAAAAAGCAGAGGCAGTTACGATTACATTGCAGAGTCATTTTAAACGTTAATGAGCATCTTAAAACTTTCACATTTGTTAAAACACTGAAAAAAGCAAAATGGAATGGAACCCCTTGAGGTGTTCTCTGTAGTTGGGCTGAGAGGTCATGGGACGTCTAAGGTCACGACTGCTGTCCACTCCACTGGGGTTCAGACGGCTGGCGCAGGAACTCTTCCACCTGCCTGGCCATGTCCATTGTTTCCTCCAAATCAAACTCTCCTTCAGCGTCCAACATAGGGTCACTCCTACGCAAACACACACAGAGTCTATGGTTAGTCAGAGTGTAATGATTTCAATGCAGTACTAAAAAGTCTAAAAAGTTAAACGTTTGAAACTTAAATTGGTGCACATTCAAAAAGCTTTCTAACCAGAAAAGGGAAAGTTTGTGAACTAACTTTTGGTTTGACAAAGGCAACGAATAACACTTCAAAAGTTAAAGCAGTTGTAGAACACCGGCGATTGGGTTTATACAGTAATTCCAAGCAGTTGCTATTGTCTTTCAGCTCGTTGTTAGAGTGTCACTTGGAAGTTGTTACACGGTTGCTAAGGTGGTGCTAGACTGTTGATATGGTATCCCAGGTGGTTATGAAGGTGTTGTAAGACCATTGCTACGGTGTTGGTAGACCATTGCTATTGTATCCCAGGAGATCGCTAAAATGTTACTAGGCCACTGCTATTGTATCCCAGGTGGTTGCTAAGGTGTTGCTGGCATGCAATTGTATGATGTTGAAATAAGAGAAGTTTGACAGGCTGTGGTGGAATAAAAGCTATAATAACCATACAACTGAATATTAATAAAATGAGAAAGGATGAATTCATATTTTAATTTGGGAAAAGTTCAGGTTTACCAATGTATCCAATAAATATTGATAAATAATTACATGGGAGGGTAGATCGCAAAGTTGTTTTGTTGATTGACGTTCGGTGAAGCGGTGTGGTCCATGAAGTTGGAATTTCCACCAGGCTGCTCGGAATTTGGTAGAGAAAACCTAATAGGAGGAAAAATACATGCAAAACACATCAGTAATGAATACACAATCAATACAGAAGCCTCAATAAAACTCTGTTGGATCTACAGCCCAAAAAAAAAACAAACCTGCGAGCAGACAAAACAGACGAGTAGTTTGCTCACGGTCACAGAAAGAGGCATACTTACTCAACTTTCACCACTTGCTTGATCTCTGGTTTGACGTAGCCATCACCTACAGCTTTTGCTGAAGACAAAAATAACAAACAAGCTTAATTTATACAACTGGAATGAAACAGAAAGACCCGATGTGCTAAAAGTAGAATTTATGAGAAAAGACACACCAGCACATGCTTTCAACTTATACAGTGTGCTCCAGGGCTGCACAATATACTGCTTGTTTAGTTGTTATCGCAATATTGGTCTTTTCCAATACTGATAACACAAAAGGCTACAATAAGCAAATGAATCCTCCAAAATCCAAAAGGAGTTACAGGCGAGGGCTTCTGTGGGAATTTATTTAATTCAAAGCATAAATAATTCTCTGAAAAATAGGGCAGGCTAGTCTTTAAGCATGTCACATCAAGCGTTCTCCAATGCATTACTGCATCAATGTTACACTGATATTACATTCCATTGCTACAATGTGTAGCAATATAATTGCAGTGCAGTTGCCCCTATCATTCAACACTTTTAGGCATAGAAGAGCATCATGGAGTAGTGCTTCTCAACCCTGGTCCTAGAGTACCCCTGGTTTAGAGCTGTGTTCAAATACATTTATTGATACATTGATAACTGTATCGAATTTTATGAGTTTTGTTGTACATTTTGTTGTTCACCTATAGATCTACATCCCCAGACTTTCTCATAAGCATATGAGCCCAAATACTGACTACTACCTGTGCTGCTGCCTTTGTGGTTAAAAGTGTACAAAGTTCACTCCTCTGCCTCTCTATGCTTTGACCAGCACCTCAGAGTGAACCACACCTATAATAACATAGTTCTTAGAAGGTCCCTTAACATTATTTACTCATTATTCTTGTCATTTTAAACATACCTTAAAAAATAGGTAAGTATTTACACAAAAAAAATGTCATTATCATTCTGCCCAACTTTGTTATGTGAAGTTTTTAAAACAAAATTTACAGCTGCAGACCCGGTGTGTTTTGTCACTGTATATTATTGTATGGTGAGGCTTCTATCGTGATACATTCTGTGAGGTCGCTGACTAATCCCTAGCCCTACCTTGTCCTGCACATTTTACTGTTTTGTGCTCCAGCATTACCCACTTCAACTCAGGAAGGGATTGTTAATATGTTTCTTAGTTTGATTAGGCATGTTGAAAGCAAGAAAACACTAAGTATACAGGCTAGGGGATGCTCCAGGACCAGGACTAGGAACCATGGCACAGCAACTGACCAAAGCCTTTTTCTTCAGTATAGTAATAGCAGTGGTATAACAGGTAACGTACAGTTCGGAGGGGTGCAGTAACGAGAGAAAACCTCATCTTTAGGCTGGCTCGGATAAAGGAACAGCAGGTGGTTCAGGTCACTGATGCGGTCAGCCAGAGAGCGAATGGAGAAGTCTTTAGTTGTGAAAGGCATCAGATTCCATACCATTCTTTCTCCTACAAAAAAGAAGAAAGAGAGAAAACTTAAGAGAGACAGGAATAAAACTTTAGTTAAATGATGATGAAAAGCACATCATCAGTGACACATCAATTGATTATATCTGCAATGACCAACTGATTGACTGAATATACACTGACTTTAATTCTTTTAGCTGCTTTGATTAACTGACTGTGCCTGCTTTGACTGACTGACTGTTCTAACTTTGACTGGTTAAAAAACTCCAACTGCTTTGATTGTTTGATTGACTGCATCTGCTATGATTTATAAACTGTGCCTGCTGTAACTGACTGTACATACTTTATATTATAAACAGATTGCACCAGCTTTAACTGATAGATTGTACCTGCTTTGTTGGGGTTCTCAGCCACCCATGCGATGGTGATGCCTCCAATCTCAGAGTCACTGAAGCGCAGCAGGAATGTGCCGTTAGGTTTGGATAACAGCATGTCCTGAGCCTGCTGCTTGTTAAGAAAACCCAGGATCGCCCTGTAACATGATTACATACAGCCAACATTAGAAGATTTGTAGGGAAGACGTTCTGATTGGATGTAGTTTACTTGGTTTGAGGGAGAATGTTAAATATTTTTGTGAGCAACTTTTTTTTTATTTTTAATACTAAACAGGAAACAAGATGTACAATGATAACACGGATACAAATAAATACTCTCCCCCCAGTCTCCCTCCCTCCCACCCACCTATCCTCAGTTGGTACGTCAACACAATGTTAGTTGTGGAACAAGGTAGATAGAAACAAAAGATAAACACCATAAATCAAAGATTTAAATAATATAGAGCTTGTAGGTTACTTGCTAGTGAGACTGACTGAGCTAACTTTCCAGCCTAAACAATGATGCATTCTAAAATTGAAAGCGTTAAAAGCACAGGTCTGTATTTTCGGCGCATTATAAACCTCTGAGCAGCAGAAAACAGCATATCGGATTGTGTAGTGTCCCTGATATGTTCAATACGGTTCCTTCATTTTCATAACCATGTACAGAGTAGCCCACCAGTAGTGAGCACAGAGGTCAGGCGGGGTGGAATGTGGCGACAAAAGGTGCCAATGGATGCATAACATTACAAGCAAAACATACCAAAGGAATGTAGTGAAAAGTATAAAGAAGCCATCTAACGTGTGATCATAACTTGCCACTGAAAAGATGATCTCTGCTTTGAAAGAAAGTCTGAAGGACTTTAATGCTACATAAAAGAATTTCTATGACTTCTATCTATATGCCTTGATTTTTGTAGTTCACTGTTCATTTTTGGGGACAGTGTTTTCTCCTGATATCAAATGTCTTTGAAAAACGATTCTTTAAGTGTAAAATCATGTTAAGCAACATTTGGCCAATATAATCCTTGCTGTCCAAGTCTTACCCGTCATTCCAGTGAGCCTTGAGATGTTTCTTCATGAGTTCTATGACTCCGTCAAACCACTGCCAGAAGGTAAAGTTCCTACCCGGTAAACTCTCCTGTGAAACATCAGGATGTACAGTAGATGAAGATAAATGAATTTCTTTTCCTTGCAAAACTTTGTTAGTTGGACACTGTGTAATTCCAATTTTTATAGGCCTGCTCTATAATTTATGTACTGAACTTCTTAAATAAACGTATACTGTATATGTGCTATATACTTTATACATTTTTGTGCGATTTACTCAAACTGTATATCAAACTGACTTTTTATACACAGTTCTATGCAAAAGTTTGAACACCCCAGTCAAATTACTGAAATAAGTCCATAAGTCAACACATCTTTGACAGGGAACACACTTAAATTCAGCCTTTTTCTGCAAATTTCTATGTATTTGCTGGGTTCAACATATTGGAAAATAAATCAAATATGAAATAGAAAATGTGCGGTAACTTTTGCACAGGCCATATTTTGTTTTCATTTTCTACAAAACGTTAAATTCAGTAAATAAACAGTAATTGTGCATTACACTATGCAGAAATGTGTTCTGTGAAGAGTATGTGTTATTTGCACTCAGAAAATCAACAAAACATGTAATTTGACCAGGGGCCAGTATATAAATATATATTTAAACAACAACAACAACAACAACAACAGCCACGTTTTTCACCAATTTGTCAGAATCGTAAACTTTCATACAATAACATCACATTGTTCTGGCCCCTCTTGGAGGTAATATTACACAGAGATTAATGTAGTTACCCGGTTGAACTGGGACCAGCTCATGGTCATGTTTCGGTAGTCCTCAGGGTTGTTGCTGGAGCTGCTGAAGGCTTTCTGGGCGAGGAAAACCAAATTCTCCTCAGAAAGACCACGGTCACTCTGCACCTCCGATTTATATTTCATATTCAGAGCCTCACACAGCTGCGGCCATGTCACCTTATCCGGAACGACGAAGGGGACCCGACCCTACAAACGGACAAAAAGAAAATCACGGTTTTTGTGATATGACCATGTGTTATCGTGGTACATTATTACATATCGTTTATCACAGGAATCATTTGTACCTGTAGAAGAACTGCATGGATTATAAAAAAAAAGAAAAGAAATTTATACCAATTAGGGATGCAAATTTTGTCAAATTCCTTCGACTGATAACCGACTGTTATTAGCCATAACCCATGAAAACATCAAACACAGCACTGCATTTTATATAAACAGAGCTTCAGGCTTTACTGAATGAAAAACGTGCAGCCTTATATTACACATACGACAGCAACAACATGTACTCTATTTACTTACATTTACCACATTTTATTGCCCATTAACATTAGTTAACAAACATATATGGCCGGATTGCAGCTAGTTTGAAGATCACATGCATAGTTTAAACAATCAACATGAAGTTGTTAGCTTGAAGCTTTTAAGCTTTTTTGTCATGATACTAACTATATATGCTAATTGTTAGCCGAGAAACACATTGTAGGTTACAGTTTAGAGCTACACTCAACAGAAACAACATGACGTTTTAAGGAAAAAAAAGGTCTACCTTACCACTGTGTCATGTGGCACAGTGCTGTAACTACCTTTAGGACAGTTCAATCTCTGCTATGTCCCCTTATCTATGGCATCTGCATGAATTAAGGCACTTCTTGTAAATAATATGTAAATTAGGTGCTGGTAGGCTGGCACTTGATTTCACGCACCGAAGCTGGCTCATCATTTGCACTCAACTTTCTGATTGTTTCCGCATCCCAAAATCTGTGCTCTCTTTTAAGCAACTTATCAACGGTCACTGAATCCAAGTTTTGTAGCCATGTTCTTTGCTTAACTTTTCAAATGTGCCACTTCTGTTTTGCTGCTGCATTCTGTCCATTTCAGCTTGTTTGCAAGCCGGAGAAAAACTACATATTTGTCCCACATATTGCGTATTGTGAAAATGTACTGTATTATAAACATATCATAATGTTAGTTTTGCCACATTGCCCAGACTTCTGAATTCTTTGGTTTGCCTTTTTGCTTAGGCTTAGGAGTCCTGTAGCTGTAGTTGTTAGTCCTCAATCTATACAAAAATGTGAAAAGGGGCAGTCATTTATTTTGTGGGTAGACTGGTTGAAGAATCTCAAAGACATGGTCAGACATGGTCAGTGTGTGAGCCTGTTTCATAGCTATTTATGGCTCAGCATATTCTCAGAAAGGTATCAAAGTAGGTCTGTGCACTATGGCCAAAAATATTATAATTATATATAGTTAGACATCCTTCGAAAGGGGTGGCAATATGGCAAAAGTACAAACGCTTGAAAATGTTTTTGCGGTATGATAGGCATAGTAATCATTTAATACAAAAACAGTAGAACTATGCTGCAATAAATCCCTTAATATATATGCATTTATATAAGCATTAGCAAATATATGCATACATTATTTAAGCAATAGAACACGAGAGTGAGTGTGTTATTGCGAAATAACATCACGGCTGTGATTTGGTCGTAGATCATCACAGCTGTGATGTTATTCCCGATAACACACGACCTTGAGTGTTCTATTGCTTATATACAATGGTTAAATAAATAAGAAATAAATAAATTGGGCCGTGAATGAGTCATTTAATATGTTTTAATGCAATTCCTTCAGCCAAATTATAGTTCCTTAACAAGCAGCTTGTTGCTACGTCAGAGTAACGAAGTCTGCTGATTCGCTGCACAGTCTACTGTAAGCCTCGCCTTTTGAAGTACGAACTGAGCCATAAAACTGCCGCAATATCAAGTTTAGCTCAGTGTTGTCAATTTTTGCTAGATCAATATTAGTGTTGTTTTGTTCCAGCCAGTCTGTAAAGCATCTTACAGCCCATTTTGTTTGGCGAATGGTATTCGGTTAATTTCTGGCTAATTCCAGTTTGTTTAGGTGTTCTTCTGTCTCAGCTGGCGACTGAAAAGCTGCTCAGTGGCAATGACAGTTTGGGAATTTAGTGTAGTCTTGTCAAATTGACTGTCGGTCAAATGTAATCTTAAAAGTATCCATTTTCTGTTTGTGCACAAAGTAAGAAGTAAAAACGTTCACATGGCTTGAGCGTCTCCTACAGCTGCCAAAGTCGTTGCTTAGCAACGGCGTCTAAGCAGTGATACAGTGTTTGTGAAAAAAAATGCTGTTATGGCAAAATAACAGCCCCGTTAGAACGCTTCTCAACCATTCAGCTTGCGTGGCTGAAACTAACTGTTGTATAAATAAAAATGTCCTGTGTTCTCACCGGCTCTGAAAAAGCATTGTCCCACAGGACTGTCGCCGTGGCATTGTTGTCCTGACTTCCATGGACGATGACCACAACAGGCAGAGATAACGTCTGCATTATTAAAGAAAAGATAACAAATACATTAAAAACCACTGTGTATACATGTTACACATGAAAACAAGCATATAGTGATGTTATGTGATCGTTACTGTTAAAAGTAACATTTTACCTTCACATGAAACATTAGCTCATTTCCTCCCACACTGAACTGAGACTCAAATAGAACCGTAAACTTCTCCTCAGTCACCGATTCAGCGCCACGCCTGTCTGACCGCTTTATACGCTTCAAAGACTAGAGAGAGTGAAACAAAGGAAGAAAGAAAAAAAGGGAGTCAAGCTGTGTATTGGGTAGACTCTGTCTCGAATGCTGTATCTACTAAAAATACTATATCTGTTATTTTTGATGAATATCTATTATGTCTAAAAGCTGTGAAATTCACTTTATAATTAACATTGATGAATAATCAAACAAAGAGAATACAAAGTGTGTCAGTTAGTGTTATTTACATTACTCACCATGTTCCTGAAGTGTGCACTGAGGGTGCCTGTGGTTTGGTGGTACTCCATCACACAGTTATTGTTGAGGATCTCTCCACTGCTGTCACTGGACAACACAGATACCGAGAACTGAACAAATCTTACACTTCAAAACCTTTGTTAAGAATTTTTTTTCAGAACTGTTTTAGAGCCAAAACATTTTGTAAGCTGTCTCAAAGTGACTGTCCAAAATATAACTGTTAATATTACACAAGTGAAGTTTAAAAGCATCACTTTATTCCTTGTAATGAACTGCATGAAGCAAAACAAAGCACTGTCAGATTGTGTTCAGATTGCACCAACTCGTAAAATTATTGTATACCAATCCTGGAATGCTGCTGCTCTTTAGAACCACTATGCATTATAATGGGCATCAGAAATAGCTAGTAGACAGTAATTATAAACAGCATTTGATTCATCATCATTTACAGCTGCCTTTGGAATAAAAAAAGGTCAAGATCATATTTTCATTCCCTGGTACATAATTTGGGTCTGAAATGGTTAAATGCTTAGGCGCTATGTGACATCACTGGCTAATCACTGCAGACAACAAGCACTCGACTTCATTCTGTGAACATGTGGCAAGATTACAGCCAAACTGTAGGTCAGAAAATGTCTGTTACAAGCTTTAATTGTCCACGTTTAAGGTAGAGCGGGGAAAAAAATTTGTTCGCTTGATGCTAATACTACACAGGGTTTACCATTGATGGGTTAGCATTATGCTCACAAAGAAATCTGATGAATAAAGCGACCAGCATACCTCAAATATGCTAATTTATGAAGACATTACCAAAATGTGTCAGTTGCCGGAGTGAAAACACAAAGCAAAATTTAGCCACGTAATTATCCGCATTTACCATATACGGAGCAACAGTTACATGTTTCTGCTGCTTCATTTAAGGTGGGCCAGAAAATTACTCTAAGAAGCCGGCAAATAGGAGCCCAACTTCAGCCTCACAGAGAAAACAGTCTCAGCAGCTACTTCTCCACACAGGATTCAAGCAGCTGCTATGTGCCGATGCTAAATGGGCGAAACAGTCGATTTAAAATTGAGATGTAATATTATAGTTGACATTTTTTGGTTTAATTTTTATATAGATATTGCACTTTTGTTTTTATTATCTTCTGAGAAAATGATTTGTGCCAGTTTGTGCCAACAGTCTAAAAGACAAAAAATAATACACTTTGGGAATTTCCAAAGAAAAAAAAAAAGGATTATAAAAAAATAAAATGCTAAAGTCATGTTAACATTTCTTTTCGAATTCCGTATCAAATATATTTGTGGATGTATGTATTGTATCCAGATATAAAAATGACTGTACATATCATATCATGACATTTCACACTTCATATCACATTGTGTGCTTGAGTTTGACTCACTTCCGGGTGTTCTCATTCTTCAGCAGAGCTTTGGCCTGCTGCTCATTGATGATGGTAGCCTTCACCTGTGGCGGGTTCATGTGGACGTTCAATTTCCCTCCCACCAACAAACGTACCGTTGCTGCAAACTTGGTCTGTGTCTTCAACACCTGTGGAGGCTGCTTTTCTATAATGAACGTGCTGTGGAGAGAGTAAGTAAGTACATATATTAGGGATATTATTGATGAACCGATCAACCATTAGCCTCAACCTTCAACCTTCCGATCAACCTTAAAAATCAATACATAAATCTACAATCAATAATAACATTTAATAAGGGGGGGGGGTTTCAAGCAACTTGAGCACCACTTTTGAATATACATATGAAGGCGCAATACTGCAACATATTCTGTTAGTTCTATTTAGTGATGCCCAGTGGTTAGGTTGCTTGCTAAAGCCCACACGGACTCACCTGGTGACTAGAGCGGATATGATGTCAGTGACGGTGCTGTTCAGCTCTTTGAGCAGCTCTTCTGTAGGGCCTGGAATGGGCAGCTGCTGAGTTAGGTGTTCAACCCGCCGAATCTGCTGCCTGTTCTGCCAGATCATGTCCGCCAACTTCTCACACCTACAGATCAAACGACAAAAAAAAATTATAATTAAAAAAAGTAGAACATTCTCATTTTTAAAAAACACATTTCCAGTACATCAATAAAAATTCATAAAAAAAACATCAGCTCACAACTACAGTTAATACATTCAAATTCAAAACGCACATTAGAAAATTCATATTCTCTATGATTTTTTAATTTGAATACTATGCTTCTATCTTAAAATTTAATTAAAATATTGATTATCCATCATACTCACAAAAAAAAAACGAATCAGGACATTAATGTGCAATACATCTCAGAAAATAATGTTTACAATGTTTTCAATTATTTAAAGCCAATTTGGTTGGGGGCTCCCAGGTGGCACAACCGTCTAAGTGTTGGCCCTATCATCAGGAGATCGCGAGTTCGATCCCTGGTGATGCTACAGCCATCCGTAACCGGGGGGTCCAAGAGAGCACAATTGGCCTTGCACTCTGGGTGGGTAGGATGGCCCCCCCTCTCCCCCCATCTCCCCCCATCCCTCAACGCGATGCTAGTCAGCGCAGGCGTCGGTTAGCTGATGTAACAGATGTTGGCGCTTTCCTCCGAGCGCGTTCGGCTGTCGAAAGAATTGAAAAGAAGCGGCAGCTGGTTTCGCAGGTCTCGGAGGAAGCCTGCGTAGCCTTCGCCCTCCTAGCGTTGGCAATATCGTGTGATAGGGGGAGTCCTGGTGGAATTGGAGACTAAATTGGGGAGCAAATTGGGTAAAAATCAGCCAATTTGGTTGTAGATAAATATATAAAAAATGATGGTTGCCCCCTACAACACAAGTTTCAAACAATACATCCAGAATGATGAAGTTACAGATGAAGAGATACAGTTTCTATAAATATACACAACGAATGTCTACGATAACGTCAAGAATACCAGGCATTAAAAAAAAAACAAAAAAAGTTTTGTTCATTTTTATAGTTTACAGTAAGTCATACTGTGTTCCAAACCATATGGACAAGTCTATGTGACCTTAATGAAGATCTGTGGTTTGAGTACATTTTAGCCCCATAGCTCCAGTTTAAAACTAAAGAAGCAAAAACTGTACACCAAACATGTCTTGGCTGATCTGATCTGCATGTGGAGTAAATAAAACGGCAGAAAAAAGTGAAATTAAATTGAATTCAGTTCAGTGTTATTCGTTATTCATGTGTGTGTGTTTACCAGGACTGAAGGATGTCCAGCGACCCTTCTGGAGGTCCTCCATTTCCAGCTAGCTGCTGCCGTCTCTTCCACTGAATCAGTTCATCATCCACGATCACCGTCTGCTGTTTCCTCAACAATGCCAGTGTCCTCTGCTGTTTCTCCGCTAGGTCCTATAGACAGAAACATACAGAAAGAATCTCCAGAGACTGAACTAACCATATTTTCTTTTCTGACACCGGTACCGATACTGATACTGAAACCTTGGCCTCTATTCTACTGCAGTGCCGAACGGTTCTGAGCATTGGGCACCAAGTGTTCCAGTGGCATTTCCACACGGACACGGTTCACCACAGAACTGTGCTCAGCATAATTTTCTCAGCATAGTTAGCTAACAGTGCTCAGGGCTGCAGAACCGTTTGTCGTGTGTAGTTTTTCTCCAGTATTTCAGAACATAGGAACCATTTGCCTCTAACGGAAAAGAGACTGTCAAGTATCGGCTGATACAGACACGATATTTATTTTCTAGGGCTGTGTGTTACCTGTCTGTACTTCTGCAGTGTGTTAGCCTCTCGTGTTAGCCACGCCTCTAGGGTAGCTTTCCGACTTTGCAGGCTCGTCTCTCTCTGCACTCTTTCTGCCGGTGTCAAACTCGCCAAACTACTCAGCTGAGCTACAGAGAGAGAGAGCGCGCGCGAGAGAGAGAGAGAGAGAGAGAGAGAGAGAGAGAGAGAGAGAGAGAGAGAGAGAGAGCGCAAGTGAGAGAGAGAGAGCGCGCGAGAGAGAGAGAGAGAGCAAGAGAGAGAGAGAGAGAGAGAGAGAGCGCAAGAGAGAGAGCAAGAGAGAGAGAGAGAGAGAGAGAGAGAGAGAGAGAGAGAGAGAGAGAGCAAGAGAGCAAGAGAGAGAGAGAGAGAGAGAGAGAGAGCGAGAGAGACAGAAAGAGAGGGGGGGGGGTCAAAAATTAAACATCCTTATTAGCATAATGAACTGCAAGTGTTAGTGTGGAAAAGCACATAATACATTAAGTAAACATCTAAATGGATGGATGTGATACAGTGTGGTCTGTAAAGTCCAAGATCTAGGATTTTTTATTAAAATTAAAAACAAAATTAAAATTAGAAACAAAAAATTGGTATAATTCTGAACTTTTTCAAGATAAAGAACAGTTAAGACAAACACAATGTAAAGTAAATCGTAAATATTCTGCACTTTTTCTAGATCTCTACTAAAATGTAAATGTTTTGAACAAAAAGGTAAATCTTTCGTCCTTTTGAAGCACGTGAAGACGACTCTCACGTGGATTTGATCTATTAATCAAAGGCTTTTCACTGTGTTCATAACAGATTGAGTGCACGCTGTCATTAAAGCAAAAAAAACTCTTAAATTAATGTACTACTGGACAACCTGCTAGCCTGTTTGCTGTCATTTATATTTGAGCGATCTGCATAGCAAAGCAGAGCAGTTCTCTGGTGTTAAAACTGATATTACAGCTTCAGATTAAAGCTAGAAATGGAGTCTTCACAGCCCAATACTTTTAAATTTTTACCCGATTTTTTTCCCCAATTTAGTCGTCTCCAATTCCACCCGCTAGTTAGGACTCCCCCAATCACACGATGCTATCAACGCTAGGAGGGTGAAGGCTAACACAGGCTTCCTCCGAGACCTGTGAAGCCAACCACGGCTTATTTTCGAGCTGCCGCTCACGCAACGTCATTGGACAGCCGAACGCGCTCGGAGGAAAGCGCCAACTGCCAGATCTGTTACGTCAGCTAACAGACGCCTGCGCTGACTAGCATCGCGCTGAGTGATGGGGGGAGAAGGAGGGGCCATCCTACCCACCCAGGGAGAGCGAGGCCAATTGTGCTCTCTCGGACTCCCGGCTACGGATGGCTGTAGCATCACCAGGGTTCGAACTCGCGATCTCCTGATGATAGGGCCAACACTTAGACGGTTGCGCCACTCGGGAGCTAGCCCAATACTTTTGACTGTTGCAGAGAGTCTGGTTGGTTTTGCTGACATGCAAATAGTTCACCACAAATCACTGTTTTCCACGTTGTGTAAACAGTTTCTTTTGTTCACAATCTTCTACTGCACGCTGCTGGTGACTAGCTAGCATTTAGCCTGATAAAGGGTTGTTCTTTTAGCCACGGCCCAATAAATAAAACACACAATATACACAGACACACTTGGATTCATGAGCTAAAAGAGCTAGAAGTATCAGTTAATCTAATTGCTTTACAGTTTTAAATATTATCATCCAAATAAATTTCTTCATGCTGTACATTGTTGGGAGTGGGCTTTACACATACAAGCAATATCAATGCTATATTACGTTTAACACAACCTTTATTAAAGAAATAAAAATGTTGTTCCATTATATGTCAGGTGTCATTTGTTTTCAAAAACACCTTTTATCCAAAATGGCTACAAACGGATGTACAGCATTTTGGAATGAACCTCCTCATATATAACACGTATGTGTGTTTACCCTGTATTCTCAGGCTTTCCTGGTATTGAATAATGAAATATTCCTGGCTGTGTTGCAGTTTTCTCAGGTCATTCTCTGTGTCCTGAGTCATCACTCTCAGCTCCTCGAACGCTTGGTTAATTTGCTGGTATTTCTGAGGCGTGCCATCCGTCAGCCCCACCCCCGGACTGCTCACCTGCCAATCAGAGAGAGAAAATCAGGCAAAGAGCATCCAATACAACTATGGGCATTAATTTATACCTGACTACACACGTCTCAATCAAGTGTTTTTGCCCTGATCCCAATTAAAGCCTTTTAAACGAATGCTATCTCCTACCTACTGTCTATTTGATGCATCTGTCGTATACAGTTAATTACCATGGACAATAACTTTGACATATTTTTCTGCATCTTCCTGCTAGCTTTTAGTCCAAGTGCCTCAGATCTTCCTGATCTTTTGTGTTCTGAATCAAAATTACTGTCGTAACTGACCGCAAACTACAGATGCAGCTGAAAGAGACTAGGCTAAAAAAGTATTACTGTAGTATTCCTGCTGAAGTAATACTTTAAGCCCAAGTCTGATTCTATATTTATATTCTTGCAGATAATACAGCTGCACAACACACAATTCAAGTACACTGAAATCAATAAAGCTAATCCAATTAGGTAAATATGTTAGGCTATCAATTAATGCTACAATAAATATTTTTTGCCATTCTTTTAGCTGATATATTTTGACTGTTGTATCATTTAATTATGAATGTGTGTTCTGTGATTAGCTAGTCACATTTTAATCTAGCTAACAATAACTAGCAAGCAGTGTAGCAGAGACAGTTGCAGAGACAAAAGGAAGAGTTCTAGTAGCAAGGATAACCTCTATCTTTTGGACCCAACATGAATGAAATGCCGATGGCACTGATAATCGCTCTGTCGCTGATGGTGGAATGGCAGAAACCGGCTTGCCTAGCCTTGTTTGTCATTTTTATGGACTTTTATGCGCTTTTTTTCACATTTCAAGTGTTCCAACATGCAAGACAGCTACTCCATTCTCTCAGCTTTGAAAGTGAAGCCACTGGTGAGTGTTTCCGCAATGTAAAAATTTAGACAGCTTACTGCTACAGGTTGTGGATAATGTTGATAAGGTCGCAAAACCAGACAAGGATGCAAATAGAGCACAATGTAGTAAAAAAAAGGAATCAGGTTTATGTGCATTACTTACATTTGATGCCTCTTGTACCAGCCTTTGCTCTGTGTAGAGGATGTGTTTGATGCAGCGCACAAGCTCCATTGGACAAGGGTCATATGCACTCTACAAAAACACAAGACAAACAAACAAACAAGCAAATCAGTAAATATATCAACTTACCAAAAATGGGCAGATTACATTAACACTAAAGGTGTAAATGATCAATTCTATCTCACTACACAAGAAACATGACTAGAGAAGCAACAGTGGACTGAAAATAAGACATCATTTTTGAGGAGTATTTTATGGTTAAATTTTAATTTGGGCAAAATAATAAATTCACATAAATTTCAAAATGTCTCAGTGTCTGGTTTGTCCCACTACTGATTTAATGACTGTGCACTCAAGCTGTCATGGAATGCACAAGTTTGTGCAAAAGCCTCAGATGAGTAGATCAAATCTACCTGAGGATCAAGCTTCAATGGAAGAAACAAAAAACAAACACAAAAACAAACAAACAAAAAACCCACATCTTTAACCTGATTTTTTAAAAAAAACTACATGATTCAATGGATACAATGTAAACTAAATCATTCAGAGTGGTGTGATGTGAAATGGTCCAGTGTAGAGTAACTTAATGATTCTGCTGGGCAAAGAAAACTTCTCTTTCTGATTTACCACTATTCTATTGTAATTAAAACAAATACAAACAGTGCACATGAAAAAAAAAAGAAATGTGTAGGTTCACTGGTTTTGTACAGCACATAAAAGGGCTATGTTTGCATTGTAGACATCTGGTTCCTATCACCACCGCTGTATAGAAAGCAGAGTGGCTAAGTTTTACTACATCAAAGCACTCTAAATGACTTTGTTATATCATAACGATTCAATTATGCATTTAAAAAAAATAATAACATCAATGGAATTACCCTTCACTGTGGTCATTGACACAAAACTGCTTAAATTTGAAAAGAGATCTAAAAACAATGCATAATCTTGAATATTTTGCCTTATTTTACTTGTCATAAACTTTGTTGACTTTAATTTGGTCTAAAATCTAAAATACTGCTGAGCAATTCCAAGTTTAAATGAAAAACATCCTAGATTCTCAATGTGGTCTAAGACTTCTGGATCCTATTACAAAAAAAACATATGGATTAGAACCTCCTCCAAGTGGAATGAGGAGGGGGTTACCTTTAACTGTGATGCGTAATGGCCCAGTTTTATTTTCAACAAGAAGCCATCTTCCCCCATCTGGTGTTCAGCCTTTCTCTGCAGTTCCTGAATCAGGCTTTCCAACAAACGCTTGGCTTTAAACTCCTCCTGCTGTTTTTCCACGTCTATCGCATCCCTGGGGACAACAAACACACAAGCTTATTCAACAAGGCTGTTTCTCTTCGCACTAGTCAGCACTCAAATATTCTAAACATTATCTTTACATTATTCAGTTTTAAATGGGAAACTATGATCACATTTATCAGTTATTGGAACAAGTGTGAAAGTTACTGCGATTGGTTGAAAAAAAAATCTGTATTGGCACATGCCTAATAGACCTCTGAAGTCATGCGTAATTCTGTAGTTAGCATCAAGGCCCTATAAGGAAACTCGTGTCTAAGGCCAGAAACAAGCACTTTGGGAGTACTCGAAATAGCATACCACTATACTACATACTGCACTAGTATATCACGGTTGTCGGAAGAAAACCTCGTATCTCTAAAATGGTAACTTTACAGGAGAAGGAAAAAACCGACTTTACTTTTAATGTAAGTCAATGGAACCAGACTTCTTTCCACGCCATTTTGGGCCATTCTTCATGAAATTTACATACAATGTAAAGGGCAACAGGCATTTACAAATTATGTCAAAAACAGAAAAACAAGATACAAGGTTTTCTTCTGACAGCAGCGATATGCTATGTACAAAATGCTGCTCATCATAGTAGTATAGTAGGGGTGCCCAAAGTGCTGCCCACAGAGAGATTTACATTGGGTTCTGGATTCTGTTTTAGAGTGTGTTATAAGTGACCTGCCACCTTCTGAGCAGGACGTCTCAGATTTTCCTTTCACTTGATGGTGGTAGCAGCACTGTAAAATCACAGTGGAATGCCTCGCATTGCGGTAACAAAGTTAGCTAAAGTTTAAGAGCTTTTCTTCTCTAACTAGATCTGTAGCTTAATTAACTGAAACTTAATCAAGACTACAGACGTAAAGCACAAATTTTACACTGAGAACAGGCAATTTTGATGAGATGGAAATTTGAATACTTTTTCATCAAGAGCCAAAGTGTGCCTCACATTTCAAAAGACTGAATTCAATACATGAAACAAAGCATGGACAACAAATATTAAGGAAAAGGCAGAGAAACTAAAGCAACTGCGGCTACCCAAGTCTCACAGCACCAGCTTCTTATCAGAGCAAATTCAGAGGTTCAGTAAATATCAACCCTTCAACGCTGAACAAAAACTTAGCTATTTATGCTGTTGAACCTGGGCCTATTAAATACTGTTGGTACGTCAGTAGTTACATCCTCCCAAAATAACCATGTTGCATTTTGGGATGCAGTACATCATAAAGACAGTTCTACCTGTGTACTGGAATATTTTGCCAGAGTAGGTCGTCATCTGGGTATCTTTGGTGTACTGGACAAAGTCATGTTGGTCCCATACTGCATACTACTTACTACTTTTTGGGCACAGTCAGTATGTGAGCAGTATGTAGTAGGCTATTTGGAACACAGCCTGCGAGATATGCAGAAACGGTTCTGCACAACCTTGCGTTGTAAAATGTGTCACGGCGTAATTCATAATACAACGCAAGCGCGAGTTGCATTCTGAGCATTACAGCAATAAGTGCTATAACGACAGCCAAGCCTGGCCAAACTGTCAGCTGTCGTGTAGTAGTGGAAGATTCTCTCACAAAAATGGTTTGTGTGTATCAACACACTATTATACATCATCACCTCTTTATGAGGTAAAGCAACTCACACCCCTCTCCTCCACTGTCCACGTTTAGCTGTTGTGGCAGTTGGAATGACCGAGGCTCTGATTTGGCCTCTATAGCCCCCTTGAGTACAGAGTGTTTTAGCTACAATACTGTAAAAACGCATAGTATGTACCAGGCGTTGTCATTTGCGTGCTTGCATGAAACGTGTTTCTGGCCTAAGCTGGTGTTTTCCATGACAGAAATTAACACGGTTTCGGAAAACCCCCACTGTCACACCCAGTAGTAAATAAAAACGCCCCAAAACACCCAAGTGTCACTGGATGCTCAGAATTACAAGGCTGTTGAGCAGTCAAAATAGACCACGGCAGTCATGCGTCATTCTGTAGTCCTCATTATGCCCATATTAGGAACTTCGGGTCTAAGCTCCATTTCTCTATGGCCAGAATGAACAGGGCTTTGAATAGAAAACGTCCTCAGAAAAATGTTACCAGCATTAAAATAATAATTAGGATATTCTGATAGCCTAAGTCAGTTTATCAGGGGGTGAGCAGTGATGTTAAGCTGAGTCTGTACTGCATTGGCCTGAGTGAAGGTATGTTTGTAGATCTTTTCAAATCAAGCTAAAAGGAAACGTCTATCGTGTTCCAGTGAGCATCAGATGGAGAACAGAGAACTGCAGGGAAACCTGCTTCTTTTGTTCTGACTTCTTTTCATCTGCACTCAGTCTGTACATGAAAATGTTCGCTGACAAAACCTGCTTAAGTAGGCTGTCAGTCTAATGACGTGAATTCAGTGCACAGTAGCAATATAAACATTTTTATTTAATACAGGGGGCGATAGAGGTGCTTTTTCGAAAACCCTATTCATTCTTGCCATAGAGAAATGGAGCTTACACCCAGAGTTCCTAATATGGGCGTAAGAGCATGGCGCCAACTACAAAATGATGACACGACTACAGTGGTCTATATGAATGATACTACATAGCATAGGCCAAAAAAATCAGTAACCTAAGCTAGCTGTAAAGAAATGAGAGCATTTTATTCACCCAAAGTAATATTTTTAGGACAGATTTATGTGTAGATTAATGCTGAAGACTTTCAAAGAATTTTTTTTTCCAATACTGTCGTTTTTGTTTATTTTGACGTTAATACCGGTAAAATGATGGGCCAATGTCGGCCATCATCTGCCACTTCAGGTTTTCTGTAACTTATCATTTTGCTTAAAACAGCGTACTGTGTTCACAAAGAGATTAAGTTTGTCCTCTGTGGGCACCCTTACTGTGTATTAGTAACACTAGTTACCACAGAGGCAAATGTTTCACCACGGATCAAAGAAAGCTTTTACACAAAGACAAATATTTGTTGTGAAATGGAAACAGTGTTGTGTGTTCCTGTGGTTTGGTACATGCAGAATTACAACAATGCTAACGAAACTTACATATTGTTTTCAGATTTTTCGATTTGCAAGAATAAGGTTTAAATGCCCTACTAAGACGAGAGGTAAGGTCTTACGAATTTCCTCACAGTGAAGAGAGTGAGGAGAAATGTGTAAGACGCAGAAGAGGCTGAAACTGTGGGCCTGGTTTGCGTGTGGTCTTGTGGTGAGGCTGCTAGTCTTATGATGTCAACATCAATGCGCAAAAGTGTCAGTTTGCACGTAGCAACATTCGTATTTTAGCTCTTTAACAGCCTTGTAATTTAGAGGATCCAAGTGCTCTGAAGAAAAATGTACAGCATACAACATAAAGCATCACAACAGCGACAGTTTTCCAAAACATCATTCATTTCTGTCATTGAGAAAATCTTATACGGGTTCCTAATTTGGTCAAGACACCATCTACAGAATGACGACACAACATCAGAAGTCTATAAAGCTTGAAATATCTGTATGAACATCAGCTTTGCTTTAGACATAATTTCTCAAATACGTGTTGGGCTTGGGTCGGGTTCAGTTTTCACGTTCAGGTTCTCACATCCAGCCTACAAAAACCTCTAACAGATTTTACCATGCATTTCCCATGATTTAGTTTTACCTCTTACTTCACTCTTCCTCTGATTTCATCACCCAAAAGTTTTCAATCTGGCATACTAGAGTCACCTACTTGTGTTGTTCACCAAGGCCGCACTCATGAGACAATGGATGCTAAATAAATAAAATGCGAATTGATTCAGGAGAGAAGAGTTTAGTGCAGCCAAAAGGACGTCCATATAAAATTTCATTGACCAAAAATATACTTGTGTTATATGTAATATGTTTTATGTACAGACAGAGTTTTAGGAATAAACAGGGAACGTTTACTTAAAACTTCATATATTATTTTTTACTTCATTCATCTGTGATATAATCACAGCTACCCTCCACAGAATCATTTAACCAGCCCAATCGTTTAAAACAGAAGGTTTTATTCAATGAGCTGGTTTAGGTCGGTTTCAGAGAGAATTCTGTTGAGTTTCCGTCAGATTCAGATTCAAACATTCCTGTCGCAACTGTGAAATTTCAGCTCACAATTTATCTGCTTTTAAACAACTGCAATTAACAATTTAACTGCTCTTTATCGTTCTTTGTATGCAAAAGAACAAAGTGCAAGCATAAATGGACCAAACTGGCTGACTGGCTGTCTTGCTTCCTAGCTGTATTCGAGTCTGGATCAAAATTTCAGGCTTGGTAAAACTCTGCTTCCTACCTAAAACATGCACACTCTTACCATGGCTGAGACTCGATCCACTGTGCCAGGTAGTGTCGCACCTCTATGGGGAAATGTTGGCCATACAGGGCCTGCATTTGATGCAGCGCATCCCCCTTTAACTGCTGAGCCTGGATCCATAACGCCATCTCCACCTGCAGAGAGAAAAATGTAGAAATTAAGAGTTAAGCAGCTGGCTATGAAACTTAATTTGAGTTTCAAATTGCTGTTTATCATTGTCCTCTTACTTTTGTCCCATTCAAACTTCTTACTTGATGCTTACTGTATTACATTATCTCCATCAATTAACAGTACAGGTAAAAATTCAGACTTCACGATGGATACTGGTACTGTTATTAGCTAGACAGTGTACTTTTGCTCATTTTTTTGGATAACTATATGCCAAACAGTGTCGGAAAACACAGAAACATGTCTATTTGAATTTGTTCAAGCGGAACTGCACTGATTAAAACTTCTGCATAAATAAATCCTTAACCGGTGTGATGTGAAATGCTTTGCTCTAGAGAAACGTTCGAGTAAGAATTGTTCAAAGTGGTCGCCTGAAGAGTTTAAAGCAGAAAGTTACTACAAGAAATGGTCATAAATACGTCTCAGCCATCGGCCAACATCATTACACAGCAGTATTGAGAAGGTTGTGGCATAAACTCTATAATGTTTTAATGCCATTCATGGTGGAGAAGTGCATGTGGGTAAACAGTCCCCAAAAACAACACATCATCACTGTTAGAGCTGAACCTTCCATCTCCATTTTTTTATTTATTTACATAATTTGAAAACACCAGCTTCCCTTTACATTAAATAAACATTTCTTGATGACTGGACAGACTTAAATGATCTTTACATTACCTTACACTGAAAGTTAAGAGTGTTTTTCTACTCCTCTGAAGTTACTAGTTATACGAAGGTTATACGAACTTTTGTTCCGAAAGCAATAATATTTTCCTTGCTATTTTCCCAGCATCAAAATTATGTATAAAAGCTCAAAAAACGTGTAGGTTCAATGGTGTTTTAGCACAGTAAATAGAATACAATACAAATAATAAAATGTGGAACAAAAAAAAGTTGCAACAGGGTCATGTTTACCACTGTGTTTCATCACCTCTTCTTTTAACAGCACTCTGTAAGTGTTTGGGAACCGAGGAGAATAACTGCTGTAGTTTAGCAAGTGAAATGTTTTCACATTCTTGTTTGATATAGGATTTCAGCTGCTCAACAGTTTTAGGGCTCATGCCGTATTTTTCATTTCATAACCCTCCAAATGTTTTAAACTGATGTCAGGCCTACTTTAGCGGACTCTTTTGGTACGGAGCAATGCTGTTCAATACATGCAGAATGTGGTTTGGCATTGTCCTCCTGAAATAAACAAGGCCTTCTCTGAAAAAGACGTCCATGATTTCCAAAAAGAAATTCTAATGTTGATTCATCAGACCACAGGACACTTTTCCACTTCCCCTCAGTCCATTTTAAATGAGCTCAGGCCCAGAGAAGGAGGTGGCGTTTCTGGATTCTGTTTATATGGGGTTTCTTCTTCGCGTTTTAGAGATTTAACTTGCATTTGTGGATGCGGTGATGAACTGTTTTCACAGACAGTGGTTTAAGAAGTGTTTCTGAGCCCATGCAGTGATTTCCTCTACAGAATCATGTCTGTTTTTAAAGCAGTGCCGTCTGAGAGCCCAAAGATCATGGCCAGCAAATACTGTTTTTTGGCCTTGTCCCTTGCATACAGAGATTTCTCCAGATTCTCTGAATCTTTTAATGTTATTATCTACTGTAGATGATGAAAAAGTTCTTTGCTATTTTATGTTAAGAAATGTTATTTTTGAATTGTTGCACTATTTCCTCAAATCTTTACTTCTGAAAGACTCAGCCTCTCTGGGATGTTTTTTTTTTATACTAAATCATGTTACTGACCTGTTGCCAATTAACCACCAGGTGTTTTTTTCGGCATTACATAAATTTACCAGCCTTTTGTTGCCTCCATCACAACTTTTTTGGAACGTGTTGTTGGCATCAAATTCAAATCAGGCAGATATTTTTCAATAAACAATCAAATTTCTCAGTTTTAACATTTGATATATTGTCTTTATACTATTTTCAATTAAACATAGGGTTTAAATTATTTGCATATGATTGCATTTTGTTTTTTTATTTACATTTTGCACAGCGTCCCAACTTTTTCTGAAATGGGGTTATAGAAGATGTTTCATCACTTATTTGCAGAGCTTTATCAGTAGAATAGAGCCTCAGATCTGCAGTGAAACACAATGGCATTCTGTCGAATTGGCGTCACTCTTGATGAGCAGGAACATCACCTAACCCTTTAACCAGCTGGGGCAGATAATAGTTAAAATGAACGACCAAATGGCAACAATTCTCAGTTTAAACACCTACGCGCCTTTCCACCAATTTTTCAACATTTCTGCATAAAAATGAGATGTAAACCAAGACATTCAGAGTGGTTTGATGTGAAATTGTGCACTGAAGAAAACTCGCTATGATTTCTGCACAGTGGTGGTGATGGGAACCAGGGGTCACCATGTCTACAACCAAAATAAGAGATTATTTATTTACCATTCAAAACCAGCAGTGAACCTACACGTGTCTCTTGGGTTTTTACATGTATTGCTGATAAATGATAAAATAGTCACAACAACTCCACCTAGTTTCTCTAGAATGGAGCATTTCACACCAAACCACTGTGAATGACTCTGCTTACATCTTTAATGTTCAACTGTGCAGAAACTGGAAAAATCAGTGGAATTCCCCTTTATGATACAGACTCTCAGGGCAGGTTTTAGTCATATTTCCCAAATTTCATTTCCGTCTCAAAGCACCAACACACACAGTTAACAACCCACTAAAACTTGACTTTCATTTGCGAAAGCTGCCCCACATTTCTGTGGGTGTTCTGCTTAATTACAACAGCTTTAGTTACAGATAAGGTGTTAGCTTTAGTGGTCTCACTGAATCTGGTACCAAATGTCAGTACAATCAAAGGCAACACAGATGCATAGCTAAATGATGGAGCCCCTAAGATGACATGGTGATTTATTTTTAAATAAGCCTTGACCACGAGTTACTATATCGAGGCTACGAGCTTTTTTGAAGAACTATTATATTTATTGACTGAACGTGTGGCCTCTGTATAACGCTATTACTTTGTAGGCTCAACATACTAACTCGTTGGCTAACTATACTAATTTGTGGCCACGTCTTATTAAAAAATAATCACCATGTCACCTCAGGAGCTCCGTACTAAATAAAATCCCAACGGTAATAATGGGTTGCAGTTTCAAAGCCAAACCTCCCCACGAGTAACTTTCACTTTTCTCTTCTTTTTCTGGTCCTGAGATATAATAAATGTAACCGCTGTAAATAGTTAGTTTACCCTACACAAGTAAAACCAGGCGTTTTTAGCGGCCACTGGCACAGAAATCCATGTTTACAAGTAAATAACAACAAATAAACAGTTTGTGGGAAGCGTTTGCAGTGGCACGCCAAACGAGTCTACCAGCAAGACTATCACTGATACAAAACTGTTATTAGCTCCTTTTTATGGCCTTTTTGTTATTCAAAGTAAATTATCTGACTAGTTTAAGTTTCAATAAGTTATCAAAACGTACAATATTTGAAGAACCAGCTCCAGCTGGTTAGCTAGCAACATTAGCTAGCTAAGCTAAGTTAGCTAGATTAACTTCTAACTTACGAAGCGAGTTAACCTAACAGAGAACCAAAGTGCGCCTCGCCCTCAGATCATTTGGACCGGTATGAAGACAAAATAACATTACAAGTACATAAAGATGTTACATTTTTAAGTTTTATTAGCTACCTAACGTTAGACCAGCAACATGGGGCGCTAGCTGTGATCTGATAGCAAGCTAGCTAACCTAGGTGGCTAGCTAAAGGCTAAGTTAGCTTGCGCGGCCTGGCCTGTTCATGAGCAAATACAACTTTACAAGCGACTCAGTTAAACTCAAAATCCGTTTTTCGTATAACTGTGTTTATTGTAGCACAAAGAAATTAAAGTTTTCTGGGAGGAGGGCTCATTCTAGTTAAAAGCCACTGAAACGTTAGCTAACAAAAGCTAGCAGTTGGTCAGCTGGAGAGTCAGTTAGCTTCTTATTCTAACTTCCCGTTCCACCTTAAGTGGTGCCGCAGTTACATTCTGGCGCACCAGGCGCCAGAACGCAACTGCTGCACCATTTAAGGTGGAACGGGAAATTCGACTAGGAAGCCAACTTTAGCCTCGTCACTAAACTAAACTGGAGCCCAAACTCAGTAAAGTGGGCGAAAGGTTCCCCTAAATCCAAACATGCAGGACTCAAACGCATAAAATAATAACTGTATGGACGAAGCTCACCGATCAGCTTTATTCCTCCTTACAGTGAGTACGCTGTCAGTCCATATATGAATATCCGAGGCTGATAAGGGCTAAAAATCTGCCATCAAACCAGGTGTTAGTAGTTTTCAGTTTTCCGGACCGATGTTGTTTCTGTAGGAGGGAGCACCGCGGTACCTGCAGTTTAACACCAGGTGGCGACACTGAGACGAGAAAGAGGCAGCCCTGTTTTTTTTTTTTCTCCACCCGTATTCGGACAAACCCCGCCTCCTGTGCTGGGATTGGCCGGTAGTACCTCGCCTTCTGCTCCGTGATTGGCCGATTCTACCTCGCCTCCTAGGATTCTCGCAAGGATTGGCTAGTAAAGTCCTACCTCCTGCGCTGGAATTAATTAAAGGGGAAGTCCACCAATTCTTTAAGCTTCATGCATACTTCAGTCGCTGTAAATATGTGTAAACAGTCATTGTCACCACCACTGTGCACAATTGTGATTGTATTTGAATTTACTGTTAGTTAACTGACCTGTTGATGTAACTGATTGGCCTCCTACTGTTATACTTTCAAGTGGCTGTAAAATCCAGGAGTTTTGAAGACTGTTGTCTGTTAGCACTTAATCACTGGTCAGTTTCTGACCACAGAGGCGCTCCTGGATGGGTATTTTGGGGGATGGGAACACTCAACCTAGCAATGATACTCGCATGTGCAAAAGCCCCCACAACTTCATGCCAAAGTCAGATGAGTAAGAGACATTCCTATGGCACTTAAGGGGAACTCCACCGAGTTAAAAAAAAAAAAAATTACAGAATTAAATGGTGCAATGTAAACAAAGTCATTCAGAGTGATTTAGGATGTGAAATGCTGACCTCAGAATTGCTCACAGTGGCGGTGATGGGAACCAGACGTCTGAAGAGTTTAACACCTCTAAAAGCTCCTTCACAGATGATAGTGTTGAGATAAAGTTTTGGGCTACAGTGTACTTTTTTGAAAGCTTTTAATGGAGGATAGACACATGTAGAGTGTTATAAGGCAAAGATAAAAACTTTTTTTTTTTAGATTTTCCGCTCTTTTATCATCAATATCACATATAAAAATTCAGAAGACATCAGTAGGTTCACTGGTGGATTTGGATGGTAAATAAAATGGCTATATTTGTGTTGTAGTCATGGCGACCCCTGGTTCCTATCACCACCACTGTAAACAAATGTGAGTCAGCAAGTTTCTCTGTGACGAACCACTTCAAACTGCTCCGAAGGACTTTGTTTACATCTCAGTGATTAAAAAAAAAGGTGGAATTCCCCTTTAAGTTATCCAGCTCACTGCTTTGTGAAATATATGAAAAAAGAAGTTATAAAATATATTTTATTATGTAAAAGATGAGTAAAAAGTTATTGTTGGATTATTTTTCCCGCTTTGTTGTTATAGTCGTTAACACCGCCCCCAAACAACATGGGCGGGGTCTGATCACTAAGCCCCGCCTACGCAGACCTGAAAGAGTCGTATTGCAAAGTGGAGAAGAGTCGCGCTGGCAAGCAGTCGAGAAATCTCTGTCTCTCCGCGCCACCTGCAGAAGAGCTTTATAAACCAGTGAGTACGGTGTAATAACAAACTATTATCTGTTGTTTTTTGTGCATTGAACGACTCCTCTGTATTCACAGTGCAGACTTAGGATAACGTTATTTACACTGGTCAGTCGTGTTCCACTCAGTTTGAATCGAGTTCAGTATGAACATTGCTTGAATTCAGCTTCTTATTCGCCAGCTTTTCCGTTCCACCTTAAAAGTGCAGCGGTTACATTATACACTCTGCAGGCGCCAGAATGTAACGGCTGCACCATTTAAGGTGGAACGGAAAATTCGGAAAAGAAGCTAACTTCAGCCCCGCTGCTTACCTTACAGCGTGCTGAGGGTCGCTGTGCTGGTCTGTGACCATGACCCGCAGTGTTTTGTTTCATGTTTTTAACATGAAAACATAACATCATAACTTTCAGAAATCCAGACCTTCTTTCAAAGGCATAACGGTAACGTTACATCAATGCTAAAACGTTAGCAACCAACGGAGCTTGGTGTTCAGAAAGCCGTTCACTCGACGCTGAAGTGTTAAATATTCTTTTGGCAGCAGAAGTGTGTTTAGTTGATGTCCATTCGAGGCTTAAAGGATTGTCTGTCCGCCACCTGGACTTTTCTCTCTTCATACTTAGAAGTAGCACCACTGGGAACAAGTCTGACTTGAAGTTTTACTGCCCTAATTTGGGGTTTACACTGACCAGTCCTCAGAAAAAATGAAGTTAGGCAAGATAGGTAGCATGGCTACACTAAAAATGTGGAAATTTGGCTCATAAGATGGATATGAAGCCAAAATAAAGAATGGTAGCAAGTTTTTTTTATTCAGGCCACTTTTGGATGCAGGGTGAATATTAAAGGGGAAATCCACCAGTTTTTCAAAAATTCTACATAATTAAAGTGTTGAGATGCAAAGAAAGTTATTCAGAGTGGTTTGATTTGAAATGCTAGAGAACTCACCAAGTCAGAATTGTTCACAGTGGTGGTGATAGGATCCAAGCATCTGAAGAGTTTAATCCTTCTGAGATCCCTCATGGAAAGTTATTAAATGAAATGGTTAGATTTATGCTGCCTGATATGTGAGGCATTGTCTTACGATAGTTTTGTACTAAAGTTATGGCTTAAAATGTACTTAAATCCATTCATGGCAGAGGAATACATGCAGGGCGTTGTAGGGCAAAATAGTCCCAAAGAAAACGTATATTTTCAGATTTATTACGATTTTACCATCATGAGCGTTACATATAAAAACGCAGAAGACACGTGTAAATTTACTGATGGTTTTGGACAGTGATTAAAAGAGCGCTATTTGTGTTATAAACATGGTGACGCCTGGTTCCTGTCACCACAATTGTAAAGAAATGTCAGTCTGTAAGTTTCATCCAACCACTTTGAATTACTCTGTTTACGTCTCAAGGCCTGAGTTCTTCAGATGTTTTAAAAAATTGGTGGACTTCCCCTTTATCTCTTCACTTCTTTTCTCTCTTTTCTCTCCGTTCTGTTCAGCAGTATGGCGGAGACCAGAGGGAAGTTTGATTTTGCCATTGACCGTGGAGGAACTTTCACTGATGTTTTTGCTCGTCTGCCGGACGGTAGAGAGCGGGTCCTCAAACTGCTCTCCCATGACCCCCAGAACTACAAAGACGCCCCCACTGAGGGCATCCGCCGCATACTGGAACAGGTGAGAGAGACACAGGCGTAAAAACACAAATGGCAGTGGTGCTTCTAGACTGTTTCAGCTGGGAAAGGGCAGGAATTCTGGGGCTGCATGGGAGCATGCAAAAGAAAAAATAATTTTCTGTTGATGGAGACTTTTTTTTCAGCTAGCTGACATTGTTATTAATGTTATTTACCCAGCTAGCTGCAGTTACAACAAACAGTAGAACATCTGACAACATGTTAATGTGTCAGTTTCATCAATTCCAAAGATTTACCAAAGAAGCAGTGAACAGTGTTTATGTCCAGAAAACAAAATGCTGTGTAGAAAAGTGATTTGTCATTGTCTTTCAGTTTGTTTCATAACATAAAATCATCTGAGATAGATACTTTATTCGACATGACCAGACCAAAAAGTTACTTTTTATTTGTAAAATAATTTTAAAATAAAGTAAATATAAAGCATAACAGTATGTTGGTGCTAGCATACACACTAATAGCTTTCCCGGTAAATGCAAAGTCAGTGGGCCTCAATATCTACCTAAGTTTTTTCTTAAATTTGTTCTTGAGAAAGGTCCAAAGAAAAAGTCTGTGTCAGATTCATGACATGTTCTTAAACTGCAGAATTGCTCTCACCTTTGTGCTCCTGAGTAGATTCCGTTTTTGCCTAAGAACAAATCCCATGTAAGAAAACGTTGGTGAATGTCAGAATCGTCATAAAACCACATAAGTGGGTTTTGAAAAGAAATTTGTTCTTAAGAACAGTTGGAGAATGAGGCCCAATGCGTTGATCAATCTAAAAATAGAAATCGTCCATGCGATTCTTAGTTTCCATCCTTCAATACTCATTATTGATCTAATAGCACGTGGACCCCATCAGGAAGAGTAAATAATTTGCTAAGCAGCTTTGCTGTCAGTCTGGCTCTTTCTCTGTATCATCAACTTCAACTGCAAGTGAAAGCAAAGATAGAAAATGATTTACATATGAATTCAACATTCACATACCAGTTTGGTAGCTGGTCTTTTTACTTGGACAGATAACTGTAACTGTCTAAACTGGTTATAACAACAACCATGTCAGTTATTGACTACACAGAATCGAAAAACAAACATTGTTTATAGTTAGCAGTAGCAATATATCAATACCACTTTTTCCCTTCTGATACCAATACCTGATTGTTAAGTATCGGCCGATACCATGTACCAATACCATTTAACCAAACTAACTTATAAGTCCACTTTGTAAATATTTTATTTAGGTATAAATGTGTTGTGTGTCACCAATAAAACATTCGCAGCTTGATTGAATGCTACTTATTTGTTGAATTTTATGTACATATCTTGATTAGTCTGCACCCACTTTCAAGGGGCTCATGCTCATTGCTGGTGTAAGCCATACCCGCTATGTTATAAAATAGAAGGAAGTAAAAATGGTATAATTCAGACATTGTTATTAAAGTCTAGGTACCAGTACTGGCATCAATATTGAAATATTTTAACAATATCCAACCCTATGTAAATATGCCAATTTCGAATTGTGGGCTGATGCGAGTATCAGATATTTTTTATGTATCTACTGATGCCAATCTGATATTCTTTGCTGTGAAGTTCCCTTAAAATGTGAATTTAAAAGGTGCTAAAAGGCAGTTGACTGCACAATGTGTCTGATTTTTGTTTTCCATGATGTTGATCCCTGTACACAGTTGTGAAAGTGATTAGGCCATTTCAGATTTCCTCATTTAGGGCAGCGACAGGGGAGTCTGGCCGTGTTGCCATAGAAATACTAAAATTCCCACAGTTTGCATCTACAGTGACAGTTCGAAAATAGAGAGAAAAAATAAGAGAGAAAAAATCATCTAGTGCTGATGAGTCTGACCAGTTCAGATGGCCACAAATGTGGAAAATAATTACTGAAGAAAGAAAAGGATGGAGAGGAGTGTAAGGATTGGTGTAAAAATACATAGGAAGATGATAACAGTCAGATGAGGAGTAATTGCTGTGAGAAGAGCAGGAAGGTCAGCCAAATCTGATAATCTATAATTGTGCATATAGAAAAGCTTGTCTTGTGCTTTTTTTTCTGATGACTTCACCAACAGGAAGCAGGGCGCAGTTTCCCGAGGGACCAGCCTCTAGACTCGTCTCTGATTGGCTGGATCAGAATGGGCACCACAGTGGCCACTAATGCGCTGCTGGAGCGTCAGGGTGAGCGGACGGCTCTGCTAGTGACTCGTGGGTTTAAAGACTTACTGCACATCGGCACTCAGGCCAGACCCAACCTGTTTGATCTGGTGAGTCAGCCCCTACATTAGTGCAATAAAACAAGTTGTATTGTGACAAAGTTTTCGTTGATAAGCTTGAAATATTAAACTTTAATGAACATTCGTCATTTTTGTCTAATTAAAAGCAGCGCTATGTAAGATTTTCTTATTAAAGTGGAAAGAAGTAGTATCACGGAGTTGGAAGAAAAAATAACAAACAATATGGTGTGCGGTATGGTGTTACACATTTCTGCCAGATAGGTCTCCAAATGACAAACAGCCCCAGGTCATTATCCCACCTCCACCAAACTTTACTTTTGGCACTATTCATACCAGTATGTAGTGTTCTTCTTGCAAAACCAAACTCAGATTTGTAAATCAGACTGCCAAATAGTAAAGTGTGATTCATCATTCCAGAAAACACATTTGCACCGCTTGGCCCAGTGGTGTCATGCTTTACACCACTCCTGCCGACGCTTGGCATTGCACATAGTGATCTTAGGCTTGTGTGCAGCTGCTCTGCCATGGAAACACATATTATAACGTGGTTCTTGTGCTGATGTTGCTTCCGAAGACAGTAGTAAAAAATTAGCTTCCATTCTCAGAAAACACATCCTTCGCCAAATTTTGACCTAGTTCTCTTTGAATACTTGAACGTTCATCTGCATGTTGCGTGCAATTACACATTTCTGCCAGAGAGGTCTCCAAATCATATAGAGTGTTGCTTTAAGAGACATTCTGTGATAAATGCTCTGCAATTAAGTTACTGTCTTAGAGATACAAGTTTTCCTAGTTTCTGTGCCTTTATTCATCTTTAAATGTTCAAACAGCGTAAAGGGCAGCTGCTGTGTTCAAACATAAAAAGCGGAAGTAATAGTATTATGAGTCGGTATGCCTGTTACAACAGCTGAGAGAGCAGTGCCTTTTGTATTTGCTTCACAGAAGGTACGTATGCCTGAGGTACTTTATGAAGAGGTTATTGAAGTGGATGAGAGAGTTGCCCTGAGACAAGATGGTTGCCAACTGCCCAGAAAGGAGCCCAAGCGTATAGTAACAGGTAAAGAACTACAATCATGTTATGCAGTAGAAACACTATAGACACTATAGGCCATAAGATGTATGGCCATTTTCAAGGGTCTCGAATTTGTCTCCAGTGACAACTTATGTTACAGCCACATTTATTACATCATTCTCTCACTGTGTTATTCTTTGTTCAGGCTTTTGGTTGCACGGACTGCTTATGTAACTCATTAACAATGAGATAGGAGGCAAAGAAAGAAGATACACAGCCGCTTTCATCTCTGCCATGATGACCCTGTTGATTAGGTGGTCTTTCGATGCTGTTGGGGATCGCTTTAGTGTTCACACTACAAATGTTCAACAACACTTCAAATATGTATCCCAGACCACTAGTGTTGTAGTTTGTATGCTGTAGCATTAACATTACCCTTGACTGGAACTAATGGACAGAACCCAAACCCTGAAAAGCATCCCCACTGTTGGCACCATACATTCTGGTAGGTAGCGTTCTCCTGCCATTCGGCAAACCCAGATTTATCCATCAGACTGGCAGACAGGGAAGCATGATTCATCGCTCCAGAGTCCATTGGTGGCATGCTTTAATGTAATTTAATGTAATTGATGTGTGCAGCGATATTTGTGTATTTTATCATGTTTTCAACATTCTGCTGCCTACGGTCTCTAACTTTGCATCTACAAGGTGGACCAACAACATAGGTGTGTCACAGTAATAGAGTGGACAGTAAGTGAATACAGTTTTTAAAATTGTGTGTGTGAGTAGGGGTTGTTGTCTTGGGTCCTGTGACAGTCCTCCAGGAACATAGATCTCTAAACTAGGGTTTGAAAGGCAACATCCTTGCTTGATGAAACTAACCGCACTAACAGAAACACTGCACGAGGGTTTGTTTTAATTGAACTAAACCTTCCAACTTCTTGTACTTCATGTACAGTGTAACTTGAGTGTACATTGGAAAATGTAAAGTAAGCTTTCACAGGTTAGTGATTTGCAGCTTCTATAGGTTACTGATGTTGAAGGTTAGCCTGCTTCAAAAACAGACCACTTACATTCACTGAGAAGCAGTGAAGCTGTTTAATGTGTGTGTATAAGTGCAATATGGCCTGATGTCAACAATCCACTCAGCAGTGTGAAGTCGTTGGAGTCCACTTGGCCAAATGGGTTTTTACAGCATACCACTTGACCCCGGCTGTTCAGTGGTTAACACGCCGTAGTTAAATATTTGCTTTACTTCTGCCAGAGATCTCCACAAGTCACTTTCTATCCGAGTCAGGTCTCCTTATGTCACACTCTTTGATAATAAACTTAGTTAAGTCTTATTGTTACTATCAATTGAGCTAAATCTGCTTTATTATTTACACAGAATGCACTTCAGTGCACACTGTTCGGGGTATTTCTTTGCATTATCGCCTCAGTTATAGTCTTTTGTCGGGATAGCGCTGGCTATATGTTTGAACACCTGAGAGGGACCAGAAAAGAGTCAGTCATGCTTTGTTCCTTTTACTTTCACTTTTTTATATTTAGTAAACCTTTACATGAATGACAAAGAAATTAACTTGCTTCAGTTTTACAGTTATCCTTAATCTATTACAAGCAAACCTATTATTTGCAAGATTAGACAGCATTCTATCCAAACTATAATCTAACCTAACAGTCTATCCTAACTATGAGATATTTTTATAGGGATCGTATAAAATTCATGTTTTACCATTTATGTTACACACAGCATTTACTTCATGTAGCATTTTTGTTTGGTTCATCAGATTGAAGGTTTTTCTAATCAAAGGTTAATATGCCTGATTGCAGTGTTGACAGGCAAAGGCACATCCAGGTCAGATGGAAAACCTTGCTTTACATGTTGAGTTACGAATCAATTAAGGGCTAGTCTGGGTCAAATTGCTAGTCTAACTCGAGTTATGAATCAAATGAGGGCTAGTCTGAGTCAAAATGCGAGACAGTTAAGGGCTAGTATGAGTTGAGTTGTGGGTCAATTAAGGGCTAGTCTGAGCCAAGTTGCGAGACAGTTAAGGGCTAGTCTGAGCCAAGTTGTGAGTCAGTAAACGGCTAGTCTGAGTGAAATTGCGAGTCAATTAAGGGCTAGTCGGAGTCGAGTTGCGAGTAGGTTAAGAACTAGTCGAATCGAGTTGTAAGTCAAAAAGGGACACATATGTAACTTGAGTCCTACGCCTGTGAGGCTACAGCTGGATATTACTCATATTTTATTTTAACCCATCCATATCCCTCAATCCCCACTTAAGTTGTGGCCAATACCCACTCACAAAGCGATGTTACCAAGCTAACAGAACACTTGGAGGAAAAAACTAACTGCCAAGTGTAAGAGAGAGCAAGGTCAGCTATGATCTCCTGAACTTGGATGGCTATATCATCGCCGAGCAAGATGTCACTCTTACTTTTGGCCATTATTCTGTCTTTTGGCCTTGTTGTCAGTCTGCAAACATGAAGAGAGAAACAGAGTGGGAGAAAGACAGTGAGACTTACTCTGTTCTGATACCAATCCTTTATATTTTTTTAAGCTTTAAAATTTTTAATTGAACCACTTCACCTAAGATGAGCATCTGAAAGTAGGCTGCCATGCACAAAGTACTCAAACATGCTGCTAGCCCACAAGACAAAATAACAACACATCATACGGTGTTTGCTCTAGGATTTTTTCAGCAGCGATGGCAGGCCGCTGCAAAATAAATATAGCGGAAACAGTCACACAGTGTGAGTCATCAGGCTAGATTTGATAAGATGGAAAAAGTGCACCTTTGAAAAAAATGGAAAGTGTGATGCTAAAGAGCTGCAAGACCAAGAGTTCTTGAACAAAAACAAACAGCGAGAGTGGTTGCTGCAGCAAGGAGCAGAAGTGTAGCACAGTAAAGGCTGTTGATTCTTGGTATTATCAAACGTGCTAATTTAGTCATCGTTGAACATTTAACTAGTGGGCTGGCTAGGAAAAAGCTGTTAGTTTAATTAGCTAGATGACATTAGCTAAGTAACTGTTTGTTAGTTAAACAGCTAAACTATCTGTAGCAGCTTGAATGTCTCTCTCTCTCTCTCTCTTTCTCTCTCTGTTTCACTCAGGCAGTACAGGGGACAGTTTGGAAGTTTGGCAGGAGCTGAATTTGCAGCATGTGGAGAGAGATTTGAAGGCAGTTTTGTCCAGAGGAATCACCAGCCTGGCCGTGCTGCTGCTGCACTCATACATGTTAGTACGTTCTGTCCAACAGCTAGCAAGCTAATTTCAGGATTTTAAAATAGTGGCCCACACTGTAGAGGCCAGTGGTTTTCTCGGTTTAACACACCTGCTTCAGCTCGTTACCCTCTTCATTCTAACGGTGGAGGCACGGAGGCAGGATGCAAGTGCGAATTGCATTTATTCAAATCTGATTTAACAGAGTCCAGAATCTGAGTAGCAGAGGGTGGTAGAACAGACGAGTCCATGATGACACAAAAACCCAAACAAGATCAACAAAAACAAGCTACAGTACAACCACAATGCAAGACAGACTGAACACACACACATGAGTATAAATACACTGAGGGGGGAAATGAGAAACACCTGGGACTAATGAGGGGCAGAGCAGACAGGTGGAGCAGATAACAAGGGGGCAGGACCAGGGAGGAGACAGAAAAAAAGCACATGGCACAAGAAAACAAAATGGCACATGGTTACCATAGAGGGGAAGAAACAAACACACTCAGAGGGTCAAAGGGGGAATCTGTGACATTCATGAGCTAATTATGGCTAAACTCTGCATTGATGCGGTCCTGTAAGACCTCACTTTAACCCCACTAGTGTTCACAGACCGTCAGAATTTCAAGGATTAGCTTTTTAAATTGTTTTCCATATTGCTTGCAAAACCCGTAAACACGGATTAGATTTATTTTGAGAAAAACAAAATTGCACCTGTAAATGTTTATGCGAATAATAGTGGCAGTGCTACTTTGGTAATAATGCCAAAAAGGCCATGCTTTTTATCCCCTTGATGTGGTGTCAGCACTTACAAACCTTTCAGGCCTATTTTTCTCTCTGTAATTTCTATTGTGAGTGAATGGCTAGACTTTTTCTCCCTTCTCGTCTAGAGAGTAAAAGGCAGACAGTGCTGTCTAGTGTTCTGAAGTAACAACTGTTTAAACAAAGTTTAAGCCATTGCTGCTGATAGTAGATTCAGGAATAATCATTTGATCAGAAATATCTCAAACATTAACAGTGTTGAAATACTTTGTTGATTTGGATAATTATTGCTGTTGTCATCAAAGCCTAGCTACAATCATGCGTTTCCGTAAAATTTCTTTCATTTATGTGTATGTGTGTTTCTTTGGTTTTTTCAGATGGCCCGGCCCATGAGAAAGCCGTGGGATCATTGGCACGGAAACTCGGATTCACCCAGGTGTCTCTGTCCAGTGAAGTGATGCCCATGATCAGGGCGGTGCCTCGTGGGTACACAGTGTGTGCAGATGCTTACCTCACACCCAAAATACACCAATACCTCAAAGGATTTACCACAGGCTTCAAGGGGGCGCTGAAAGTGAGTGCATCTTCAGTTCTGTGACTTGCAACAGTTTGATTTGATTGCAGATCTTTAGGAAACAATTCAGTTCTTTGCGCAGTCTGAAATATAACCGTGATTCAGTTCCATTCAGTTCTTTTGATAAGATTTAAATGTTTTTCAATTATTTTTATTAATTATTTTTAGTTTTAAGTTTTAAAAATGCACACACACACACTTTCTAAGCTGCTTATCCTTCTGGGTCGTGGATTAAAAATGCACTGAATGCACAAAGTCAGTTATATGCTGCATTTACCTTATGATGGTAGATGGATGACCACAAACTAAATGTACCATGCCTTTCAATGTACGGAAAATTCTTCCACTGATAATGTGCAGCAGTGGTCAACAGAACGTTCCACCAAGAGTGGCATGGCATACCCATTCATGTACAACAAAACATATATATAACAATTCAGTGCGTTAAGACACATTTACATTGAATGTAATCACCATCTGGCCTGTGAAACAGCTTCATGCAGCCCCTCACTGATTTACAATCTGGCCCACAGTTTCTTTCTTATTCTTAACAGTTAATAGGTTAATTTGCTTATTGTGACTGGTTCCTAGACATAAGCTATATAAAATCAGCTTAGGCTTTGCGTTGTTAAAAGCAGAAATAAAGCACAAAGAAAACCTGATGCAGCATGAACTGATTTAGCTATTATTGTCATAAAGACCAATAGTTAAATCTGCCTTTGTGGATTCATTCGTGACATAGTGGTAGATACAGCGATTCAGAATTAAATAATAAATAAAAGGAATTATTATCAAACGAATCCATTGACAATGCAGATTAACTGCCCATACATTTTTCAACACTTCACTCGGAGGAGCTGAGCTCACGTTCAGCAGAAACGCTATGCCTTCACAATGTATAGTGCCATACAATTCTACCATGTATGTATATCTGTATTATTATTACTGCTGCTACTACTAGTCTGGAGTTTAAGGGGTTAACAGTTTCTTATTTCTGTGTGTGTGTGTGTGTGTGTGTGTGTGTGTGTGTGTGTGTGTGTGTGTGTGTGAGGATGTGGATGTGTTGTTTATGCAGTCTGATGGGGGTCTGACCCCTATGGAGCAATTCAGTGGCTCACGGGCGATTCTGTCTGGTCCCGCTGGAGGAGTGGTGGGATACGCCGTCACTTCCTACAACTCCACTGAAAACAAGCCTGTTATTGGATTTGACATGGGAGGTGAGAGAGTTATCAGGGACCAGTTTCAAATGTGGAAAAAGTAATGGACGCTCCCTGCCCACTTAGAAACCCCTCCCTTTGGTTATGGGTTGAGGTTTCTCGCAGTGTTTGTTTTGTATGTTTGAATTTGCGGTGGGTCATGGGGCACAAGACAATGGGATGGAAGGAAATGGGTGTGAGGAATGGTGAGAAAGATGAAGAGATGGGAGCAGAATAAGACACAAGGGTGGGCTGAAATCCAGGTAAGGAAGTAGGACCAGGTGATACGTCGTCAATACCGGTACAAAAGCGTATAGGTCTCGGATATCATTTGCTGAATGCCTCAGATTGTTTTGAAAGAACAGTTCCAAATGAGTTAAAATGAGCCCTTATTTTCCACCAGTCCATACAGTCTGCTGCAGTTTTGACCTACTGTTCAATTTTTAGTCTATATGCTTTTTTGAACATTAACTATTTTAATGAAAATCAATTAATGAAACCACTAATGGCATATCATACTGAGTAACCCGATGTCTTTTGAAAACAACTTCACCTGTCATTATAAAAAAGCATTACTGCAAACACATGCATTCGTGACGACCTTCTTCTGGTGCTGATTTTATTTTGACTCCTTGCTGGATGAACTTCGGACTGCAACTGACTTCCAACACCATGTTCACCTGCTGTACATATTTAGAAAATGATATGTTTTCTGTCATTACAGCAGAAGAGGGAGTTATAATTATTGATAACCCCACCTCCACCCCTCCTGAAAATTACTCCTAGGCGTGCAAACCATAGCATAGAACTGAGTTTGCCATGGTCTGCCCACAGTTGTGTTATTTCTTAACTACTGCTGCAGAGTTGAACAGTCTTGTTAGTGCACAGCTCCGTTCCTGTCAAAATACCAAAATTTAGAGTGTTACTCATTTCAAATGGTGTTTTTGTATGTGTGTGTATGAAATGTATTTATTTTGTATGAAAGATTGCAAAGTTAGGATAGATTTTATGTTTTTTGTTTTGTAATTACATCTTCTGTTTGTCTGTCTCCATTGCTGTCACTGGATAGCCATTGTGCATAGCCATTGTGAGTTGAGTGTGCTAGAGTGTCTCATTACATTGAATGGGATTTTTACCAGTGTTCCGTAATGGTTGTCCACCTTTACAACAGTCGCTACAAAGGAACACATTTGTGGCCAGAGCTTGAACAGGTTTATTTGGATGAGCATAAGAGAAAAACAATAGAGTGAGCCGGATTTATCTGTTGTTTTGTGTGCAGGTACATCTACAGACGTTAGCCGCTATGCTGGTCAGTATGAACATGTATTTGAAGCTACTACAGCTGGAGTCACACTGCAGGCTCCTCAGCTGGATATCAACACCGTCGCAGCAGGAGGAGGCTCACGCCTGTTCTTCAGGTGCAACACACACACAAACAAATGAGGGCAACTGTTGAACATTCAATTTTTTTATTATTATCATTAGTAGTAGTAGTAGTAGAAAAAGTAGTAGTAGTAGTCATGATAGTATAACGACAACCAGGGCTGGGCAATATGGCAAACATGCCATCATGATAATGTTCGTGCTACACAGGGCATAGAACATTTGAAAACTGCCATCAAAATCTCTGGGCAAAATCATTTTAATTCAACATTTCATAAATCTACTTAAACAGGACTAATTATGCTCTTATTTTAATGACATATGGCATTGTTTAGTGTCTTATAAGGACTGATGATCTTTGCGATATACTCGTAAAAACAAATTGTTTATCGTGACAACAAAATTGATCATGATAACGATGAAATATCATATTGCTGCCTCTTAAAACAGCTATTTGGTATTTATTGATTTATTATTGTCATTACTTTTTATTATTCTTCATTTATTTTCATCTTCATTTTAATTTATCTAAATTGCAGAATTTCTGAACTGAAAATTTGAAATACGGTAATGTTTAACCGCTTAAAATGCCAGGCTTCAGGAGATCGCGAGTTCGATCCCTGATGGTGCTACAGCCATCCGTAGCCGGGAGTCCAAGAGAGCACAATTGGCCTCGCTCTCTCTGGGTGGGTACGATGGCCCCTCCTTCTCCCCCCATCACTCAGCGCGATGCTAGTCAGCGCGGGCGTCTGTTAGCTGACGTAACAGATCTGGCGGTTGGCGCTTTCCTCCGAGCGCGTTCGGCTGTCCAGTGACGTCGCGTGAGCGGCAGTTCGAAAAGAAGCGGTGGTTGGCTTCACAGGTCTCGGAGGAAGCCTGTGTTAGCCTTCGCCCACCTAGCGTTGATAGCATCGTGTGATTGGGGGAGTCCTAACCAGCGGGTGGAATTGGAGACGACTAAATTGGGGAGAAAAATCGGGTAAAAATTAAAAAAAAAAAAAAATGCCAGGCTTATTACATACAAAGCCTTATTATTCAGTGACTACAGGGATTTCAATGCAGACAGGTTGAGTTGTTCTTCAGTTGTATTGTAATAAAACTTTGGGCCTGCCGGTGGGACCTGGCCATTTAGACAATTATTTTCACAGAAAGCAGCAAAAAAATGCTAATCTGAGGAGTCCTGCTGGTGACTGGTGACCCTGAACCATCGTCCTAAAAAATTAAACAAAGTCTTTTTGTCAGTGTAGAGGAGTGACTATATTGTTGTGTGGGGCAGTGGCCACATTGAGCAAGAGTTAGCCAGTTAGTATGATCTCTATTATATCTATTATTGGGAATAAATGAAAGCATGCTTTGTAGTGACTCGTCTGAAGTTTAGCACACACTTTGGTATAAAGCAGTTTTGAGCGACCTTAAATCAAATACTTTGTATGGCCAAAAGAATGTGGACACCCCTCTGAGTGATTGATTAAGGTGTTCCAGCCACACCCATTAATAACAGGTGTATAAATCAAACATTGGCAGTAGAATGGGTCACCCTGAAGATCTCAGTCAATCTAAACATGGCAATCATAAATGTCTGTCCTGCTAGATCTGCCCCGGTGTTATTATTGTGAAATAAAAGCTTCTAGAAGCAACAGATTTTTTTTACATATCTGCTGTTTACGCTGTGTCACAGTTTAATGATAAACGATCCAACAGAAGTGTTCCAGAATGACTCAAAATTAAGAAGGTTTTTCGGTTCTCCTGTAATCTTAAGGAGGTTTTGGTCTGACAGCAACAATATGAAGTATATTTCATTATAGAGTAAATGATCACCTTAAGACTCAATTCGCAGCACTTCACCTAGGTACAGGTTAAATCTCAGTTATTCTTTTACAACATTGTTACGTTCAATTTGTCAAGTTCAGTTTTCAGCTCTCTGCAGACAAAAGCCAGCCATAAAAATTGCTAGTGGTTCACACAGTAACTGTTACAGATTAATGAACACACATCTTCCTTGCACACATTAACGTTATGCTCACAACTCCCTGTGGAGATTAGAGGCACGTACCATCAGGTATTCAGATGGTCATAAGTCATTCTGTCCTCTGAACTACGATTGTCTCCATTATAGAGATGTAAATTCATGTTTGAGAATAATGAAAATCTGTAACTAGATCAATACATGTACAGTTTCAAATGGAGAGGTATATTGCTGAGGAAATATTGCTCGTAATAATAATAAAAATAAAGCTAAAACAAAGAAAAAGAATTATAGAAGTGTTCACAGTGGTGGTGATGGGAACCAGACTTCTGAAGTTGTCTCTAAAAGCTACATCACAGAAATGTATTACATAAAATGGTTACAAATATGTTGCTTGATGCATGAGACATTGTCTCATGGCAGTTTTGAGGAAAACGTTTGGGCCCAAAATCATTGTTTGAATCCATTCATGGCGCAATATTAAATGCAGGGTGCTGGAAGGCAAAATATTCCCCAAAGAAAACTTTTCCAAATTTATCACTATTTTATAATCATCAACATAACATATAAAAACCCAGAAGACATGTGGAGGTTCACAGGTCATTTTGGATGAATGAATGTTTGTAGATATTGTATTGTATGATGTAGATATTACAGTCCTTGGTTCCTCTCACCACCACTGTAAAAAAAAGTTTCTCCACAATGCACCATTTTACATCAAACCACTCTGAATGACTTTGCTTACTTTTCAATCACCGAATTGTGCAGTAATTTTGAAAAATCTGTGAAATTCCTCTTAAATACTTAAGATGTAGCTTCGTTCCAAAGCCTAGGCAGCATTTCTCGACCGCTACGTCATAGCAGGCCATTCCAAAGTGAAAGATCCTTCGTATACAGCCTAGAAATGCAGCCTATGTTCAAAGTGATATCAGTCACGCATCAGGTGTATCCTTCCAGGCCTTCGGTTACCCACAGTTCCCTGCGCACAAACAACACAAAGTGGGAAAAAAAACAGTGCCAAAAAATAGCAGAAAACGAAGCCGTTGGAGCAGAGCTTGTTTGAAAATGTAAATTGTTCACGTACTTGAATCTGCCTTTACCTTATAAAGTGTAAAATCACTGATTAATTAAAGCATTTATTTAGGAAGCAAGTTTATTTAGGAGTATTTGTATGTATGTACTACATAAGAACATCTCCTTTATTTCTCTGAAAAAATGAAAAAGCAACAAACACAATGCAGCGGGCTCCATTTTCTCTCACCAGTTCCCTTACGAGTTTTCGCGGCACACTGGTGACATCAGCACGCAGCCTCGTTAGGACTGTTCCATTTGTGTGACCGATAGGCTACTTAGGAGGTGTCCTCATAGGACAGTCCTGCCGAGGACCTGCACCAGCCTAGGCTTTGGAATGCAGCATATATCTTCGTATTTAGTCTATGGCACTTCAGGTCCACCCATTTACGCTGAAGTCATAAGGAGTTCTTCAGCCCAAACTCTTCAGCTTTTTGAATGAGCTACAAATGGAAAAAATGAATTGCAACTGTTTTGCTTTATATTGATTTCTCTCTCTCTCTCTCACTCTCTCTCTCTCTCTCTCTCTCTCTCTCTCTCTCTCTCTCTCTCTCTGTAGGTCAGGGATGTTTGTTGTTGGTCCCGACTCAGCTGGTGCTCACCCAGGTCCTGCCTGCTATAGAAAAGGTGAAAACTTCATTCTGCTGCAACAAATAATGGGGGTCTCTATAGTCTAATTCACATTTCTATAGTTTTAGTCTTGTAGTCTTTTTATAACTGAACCCCACAGGTTCTTTCAAAATTAATTCACTTTCTTTAAATACATTTAGCCCCTTAGGGTCCTTATACACGTCCACACTTCACTTTTGTTAGTACAGAACTTACACCTTGGTTTCATGGTAGATACTGAATAACCTGAATTGTTAAACAAAGCGCTGGGGAAAACCATTTTTCACTACTTAAGGATCACCTTTGTTGCTTATAGGGGGCCCTCTCACGGTCACTGACGCTAACCTGGCCCTCGGACGTCTGCTGCCAGACTTCTTCCCTCACATCTTTGGCCCTGGAGAGAACGAGCCGCTCTCCATGGAGGAAACGATAAGGCAGTTTCAGCAGCTCACCCATGACATCAACCACTTCCTCTCCACCAACCAGTCACAGCACAGTGCCAACGGAGCCGGCCAGTCAAACAGCGATGGGCCAAAAGGTTGCAAATCAGAAATGAGCGTGGAGGAGGTAGCGATGGGATTCATCAGAGTTGCAAATGAGGCCATGTGTCGACCAATCAGAGCACTTACACAGGTAATACTTTTAGCCTGCAAATGAGTCATGCTGTCACTTTTACACTTAGGTCGATAAATGTTTGGAAATTGACAAAGTTATTGTAATTTTAACTGTCTACCACAGCATACTGGAGCTGAAATGAAATAATGAATATGAGCTCAAAGTGCTGGTGATGCTCTTTTGACACAGGTGCACCTGCCTCGTTCTGGCCAAGTGATGTGAAGAGGTGTTTTTTCATGAAGGAAAGCCTTTTGGTGTTTCTAAGCTCACCAGTGCATTGATTTGGCCACACTTAATGGTATTGCTATGTCTGTGGTGGTCACTGGCAGTGACAGCTCTTGGACTTCATATTGATCAGCATTAACAACAACAGATTCCAAATGCAAATGGCACACTTCAGATAAACTATAGATGTTTTATTTGTTTACTTGTCAGTGAAATAATTATGGAGTCTCACACACACCTGACCACGCAACAGCTGAGCAGCCGACTGACCAGTTACTTTTGAGCCCCTAAAAAAAGGGGTGCTGTGTATAAAAATGGTTGTAATTCCTGCACTGTTCAGCTGACTTGGGTGTAAATACCCTCACATTAATGCTGAAAGGCTGCATTTTAGGTTCATAGTCAGTACTTAACTCCAACATGCAGTGGAAGACTAACATAACGAAAACTTTGTTATTATCTTAATGGACCTGAGTGTACATGATATATAAGTAAACACGGTGTTTATGATTCTGTAGGAAATAGTTCAGTGCATTGTGAAAATGTCACCATGAGTCAGTTATTTTGATAAAATTCTCAATTACTTGTTTATATACACCAAATATACAAGTGTGTCTGGAGGAACTACTCGATTTTTGTGTTTGAATTTTACAGACAAAAAGCATACTTATTGAGTATCATCATTAGGGATGGGATGCACATTATATCAATATTGGCAGATAATTGCTTTAAAAGAGATTTTGATCTGATATTTGATGATGCAGTTATTGTACGTACAGAACTGTTAGGTGCTGGGCCACTGTGCTAAAATATCTGTGTTTTTACATTTTTTATTTCTACATTTTATAAATGTTTATGTATCACTATCAGGTGTACATGACAAATATTGGCCCACAGTTCTTTCGTGCATCCTAATTATTCTAATCAGTTATTATCAACTCAAAATTGAGTCATCACCTTCAGATGATTTTTGCATCCCTAGCCAGTTACTTCTGTAAAGTTGTGTTTTCTCATGTCAGGCAAAAGGTCATGATACATCTCAGCATGTGCTGGCTTGTTTCGGGGGAGCCGGAGGTCAGCATGCCTGCGCCATCGCACGAGCTTTAGGCATGAAAACCGTCTTCATACACAAGTACGTCCTGCACGGCAGCGTCTGTGCTTTGTTGTACCTGTTTGTATCTAATACCTATTGGTTATCTACACTTTATGGCCAAAAGTATATACACATCTGACAATCACACCTATATATGTATGTATTTTCCAAAACCATGGGTATTAATATGAAGTTGCTGCCCTTTTGCAGCTACAACAGTCTCCACTCATGTGGGAAGGCTTTCCACAAGATTTTGGAGTGTGTCTGTGGGAATTTGTGCCCTTTCAGTCAGAAGAGAATTTGTGAGGTCAGGCACTGATGTTGGATGAGAAGGTGTTCAGTGGGATTAAGGTCAGGGCTTTGTGCAGGCCTCTGAAATTCCTCCATACCAAATCTGTCAAAACTATGACTTTATGAACCTCACTTTGCGCACAGGGGCTCAGTCATGCTGGAACAGGACTTTACCAAACTGTTGCCACAAAGTTGGAAGCATATAATTATCTAAAATGTATTTGTGTGCTGTGGCATTAACTTAGGGGCTCAAACCCTGAAAAACAGTCCTAGAATATTATCCCTCCTCCACCAAACTTTACTGTTGGCACTATGTATGTATGTACGTATGTATGTATGTATTGTAGGTAGTGTTCATCTGGCATCCGCCAAACCCACTCTTTTGCACTAGGCACTTAAGCACACGGCAACCTTGCTCTGTGAGTCTGCGTTGCTAAACTGTAGTTGCTTATAGGCAAAGAATTTCACAATAATAGCACTTACAGTTGACCGTGGCAGATCTGGCAAGACAGGAATTGCTCTTCAGTGCAACCCATTATGTTGCCAATGTTTATGGAGATTGCATGGCTTTGTGCTTGATTTTATACATCTGTTAGCAGTGGGGGTAGCTGAAACACTTGAACTTAAAAGTTAGGCAGGGTGTCCACATACTTTTGGCCATATAGTGTATTTGCATACAGTGCCATAGGTGACACGCTGCACCACCAAGTCTTTGATGCTTATTCCTACAGGGCAGTTGTGTGTTTTTGTTTTTGCCTCATCGGTTCATGCTAGTTAGATAGTTAGCTAGTTAGAAGACATAGTTTCAATGTCTTTTATTTGAAAATTAAATACATTATTTTTATTGCTCTTGTATTTAATTCATTTACGTTACATAAGCTGTTAACGTTAATATTTAACTTTTAAATGTGTTTGATTTAGGTAGGCTGCAGGTGGTTAGCCCCAAGCGTGCAGTCCCCAAGCATACACCCTTGTTCAAATTACATGTTTTGTTGATTTTCTAAGTGAAAAAAATGAACACATCTTCTACAGAGAGGGCACACTCAAATTTTAGTGCACAATTTTTATTTATTCGCTGAGACATAAATGTGGCCTATCTTTTGCACAGGCCTCATTTTATGTTTTATTTTTATTCCCAATATGTTAAATTCAACAGAACTGTGTGCTCTGTAGAGGATGTGTTAACATGTTTTCACAGAGAAAATCAACAAAACATATCATTTCACCATGGGTGCCTAAGCTTTTACATTTAACTGCTCTGTGGCTAACTTGCAATTAAATGTAGATAGACAAAGGTTTGGATGTCTGTGCTGTTAAATACTTGAGTGTGTCCACGTCCACTCTCCATGCTGACAACAAACTATGGAAACTGAAAGCGTTCAAAGGAAAGGCACTATAGGAAATGTAGTGTGTTGTGTAGTTTAGCCCAGCAATCAATGTTAAAATAAGAATCTTCACAGCTTAAGAACTGACTTTTTATCTGTGATTATTGTGGGACAAACACATGATCCAGTAAAATGGGACTAGTATCGCCTCTGCCCAGCTCTGTACTGAAGAGGTTGCTAATTGGCTGATGAGTTAAATCAGGTGTTAAATTAGGGAAAACGCTGACATCCATAGTGTGACAGCCCTGGTTTAAACCCATCATTGTTTCATCATTTCTCATCACTTATTTTCATCTTTTTGCCCCTTTTTTCTCCCCAGTTTACTCATGTTCAGTCTCTCTGTGTATGTAGATACAGTGGAATTCTCTCAGCATATGGTTTAGCTCTGGCTGATGTAGTAGAGGAGGTTCAGGAGCCGTGCTCTCTGCAGTATAATGAGGATTCCTACTCTGAGTTGGACCACAGGATTCAGGAGCTTACCCAGCGCTGCCACAGCACGCTGCATCAGCGCGGCTTCAGCAGGTATACACACAATAAATCAAGGTAGTATAAACGCTTCCTGTCCACTTCATCAGAAAACCCTTTCTACCTTGCTGGTGTACAGTTAGAGACTGAGTTTCTGACCACGGAGCCACTTTGTAATTGTACACCTTAATTGTACTTCTAGCTTATAGGCCTACACCTATAAGGTAGACGTTTCTGAAAAGTGGATGGTCAATATTTAATAATGTATAATTAATTAAATAAATCAATGTGACATCTGAAAATGTGTTAACTGTGCTTTGTCATACAGTTCTCAGATCAGTACAGCAGTGTTCCTGCATATGCGATATGAGGGAACAGACTGTGCTTTAATGGTCAATGCTAGCGGCTACCCTGCTCATGCCCAATCCTGTCAATCTGGAGACTTTCGCACCGCCTTTACTAAACGGTAACACTGTTTCTGTGTGTTTGATAAGCCCTTAAGACATCTGTTAATGTTTAGCCCCTTAAACTCTTGATTCATTTTTCAGTAACTGTTATAAATTACTCAGTAACTACTGTTAAGTCCTATAAATGATGTAGCAACTACTATAAATTATGTCATATATATATATACAGATTTGTTTTGTAGGTCTGTGTAAAAGCTGTTCAGGGAGTGCTGACTATTTTTCTAACAGCCTTACAGAGCATAAACATCAGTTGTGATGTAAGCAGCTATTTAATTATTGTTTATTTTGCACTTTGCACTAAAGTTAATGATGTTTTTGTAAATTTGTATTTTAGGTATGTTTTTTAAAGAAGAATTCAGATTTATTTTTAATTACACAACAAAAAAATTGCTGCCCATCCAGAACCATTATTTAATAATGGTTTATTGCTTTTCATACTTATCTAACAACTTTTTTGAACTTCGCGTTTTATATCCGTACCTTGCAGTCTTACTCTTTACAAGGGTTATAATTAGAATATCTCCATGTAAACGGGATCATTCATTTAATAACCCCTGCTCTTGTTCTTTTTTAACTGAATTCTTTTTGTTTCCTGTTAACAGCTACATGAAGGAATTTGGCTTTACCATTGCAGACCGGCCTATAATGGTAGATGATATTCGTGTGCGAGGGTCAGGAAAATCTGGCATTAAGTCTGTGACCATGGCCAAAGAAGGACACGGATCCCCAGCACCAACCAAAGTACTACAGACCAAGCTTAATTTTGTATTAAAGGCTCTAACATTATCACACTCCCGTGAAAATAAGTTAGCACATCCTATACAGTGAACAAACCTAGGTATGGCATTTTCTGGCAAATTTTAGTGCACACTGTGAGATTGTTTGCTGAGTTTAACATATTGGAAAAAATAAAGCATAAAATGTTCCATAACTTTCGCACAGGCCACAATTAAAGTTTTATTTTTATTTTTCTCAATATATTAAATTAACTGTGGCTTAGTGTGTAGAAGCCTGTTCTCTGTAAATGATGTGTTAACTTATTTTAACTTAGAAATTCAACACTGTGGGCATGATCATGGTGAACTTTCCTCATTTCTGAAACCAAAACTATATTTTATTATGCTGTTCACAAGGAATATCTGAGAAACAGAAAAGGTGTGATTCTACATGTCTTTGCAGTTTGCCCTGGAGCTTTCTTGTGATTTTGTTTTGTGATGGTTTTCTGACCCAGATGACCAAGTGTTACTTTGAGGAGGGCTATCTGGACACCAGTGTGTACATGTGGGAGGATTTGTCTTGTGGCTACAGCATTGAGGGTCCAGCTATCATCATCGATAAAAACAGGTGCGTATAACAGCGTATATGTTGAAATGTACATGTGTCAGTAAACATCCATGAGAGCATACAACAAATGCCCACATTATGAGCTCCACATACCCTGTACAGTTGTATGCAAATGTTTGGGCTTCCTTAGTCAAATTATTTTAGGAGTAGCTTCAAACAAAATCAATAGCTCAGGGCTCGGGTACCATCCTTGTGCGACTCTCGTCAGTACACACTGCCCTCTTGTGGCTCTCATCAGTGCATGGGGCTCAGGGGCCGTCCTCATACAGCCTGTCATGGCTCTCGTCATTGCTTCCAGTGTTTCCTGTAGTGGCTATGCTTTAAATTCAACAAAATATGTAATTTGCGTATTCAACCATTTGCATACGACTGGAGGTCCACTGTGTAGGTGTACAGTTACAGACTGTAACCATCTTTTGCTGTACAACTCATCAGCTCCCTTCTTCCCTATTCATCTGTGGTCAGTTTCTGACCACTGGATGGTACCCGATCCCCATGCACTATCAAGATCTGTGCACCATCATTCTCAGCACAGCAGTGACACCGACATGATAATGAGTGTGTGACGCTGGTACAGGTGTATAGGCCACACCATCAGTGTCACTGCTAGGCTAAGAGTGTACCAGCACCCAAAAATATCCAGTTAATATGTGACATTCTCTGTGGTCAGAAGTTTGGTCAGAAACTGTGGTCACACTATTGGTGAAGTGCTAGAGGATGGATAACATAAGTGCTGCAACAGCAATCTAATTGTACACCAGCAGGGTGGAGCTACAAAAGAGTGCTTTCTAATAAAGTGGACAGAGAGCATATCATCACAAAATTCTTTTGCAATTGTGCTTCTGCAATTGTCCAGCACCATTTTGGTGGAACCAGGCTGTTCAGCCCAGCTGACCACAAGTGGGGATGTGTGTATCGCCGTGGGAACAGACACCCAGTGTGTGTTAGGGACGGACCTGAACACAGTGCAACTGTCCATCTTCTCTCATCGCTTTATGAGTATAGCAGGTGAGAGAAGAATGGATAGAGAGGGGAGCAGACATCATCGGAAATTATTAAAAAAAAGAGAAAACGTGATAAAAATACACTTCAGTTCTAATGTTCTCTATTGCCATAAACATAATTTTTTATTTGTATAGAAACACAAACAATGCAATATAATACAATTTAAATTTAAACATCACCAATATAATACATTGTCATGTTCAGTATTACAACCAGATACAAACATTGTTTATATTTGAAGTTCATAATAATTTCTACAAACCACATTGCGGAGTTTCTTTTTAATATAATATTATAAAAAATAATATTAGTTATTATTTGGATCATTCTCCTTAACTAGTTCAAAGTCAGAGCTTAAAACCTTCTCTCTCTCTGTTTCTCTCTCCCCCACCCCCCAACACAGAGCAGATGGGTCGTGTGTTACAGAGGACGTCCATCTCCACTAACATTAAAGAGCGTTTGGATTTCTCCTGTGCCGTGTTCGGGCCTGATGGCGGTTTAGTGTCTAACGCGCCGCACATACCTGTACATCTAGGAGCCATGCAGGAAACCGTACAGTATCAGGTGTGGATAATGCTCCATTCCACATATGGAAATTAAGCTGCAAAACATTTGCTTATAGTCTCTACTCCTTTGGGAAAGCTTTACACTAGATGTTGGAATACATAAGCATTGGTGAGGTCAGGTACTGATGTTGGATGATCAGTTCCATCCCAGAGGTATTGGATGGAGCTCCAACACTCCAAAAAAGCTTTATACCTCTCAAGTCGTTGCTGGCTTTGGGCATGGAGACCTTAGCCTCATGTGTGGCTGCTCCAAAGCATTTTATACTGTTGGTAATGCTTTTCTACTGAGATTATACAAACTGTGTGTGTGCAATTGAACACCTGTGTCAGCATGGTATTCACCTTAAAGTAGCTGAATTCATGTGTCCAGCAAGGGGTATCGGGATACATTTGGTCATATAGTGTACATCTACCTTTTTTTTTACAGTTTAGCTCCGCTCATTAATGCTGAAGTTACAAGGAGTGTTTGAGCCCAGACTTTGGAGCTTTTTGAATGAGGCCCAAAAATGACATATAACTGTTTTTGCTTTCTTTCTCTCTCTCTCGCTCTCTCTCTCTCTCTCTTTCTCTCTCTCTCTGTCTCTCTCTCAGTTAAAGGCCGTAGGCAGCAGTCTGAAAGAGGGAGATGTGATTTTGAGCAATCACCCGTGTGCTGGAGGCAGTCATCTGCCTGACCTCACCGTCATCACTCCAGTAAAATCACTGACTCATTTCTGTTTTGATGGATTCAACTCTGTTTCATGTCACATTTTTGAGGCTTAGCTCTGAAGTAAACAATGTGGATATGAGTAAAAATTGTAAAGCATCAAATGTGAGCCAGAAAGTGACTATTGACTATTAAGTTAGGTAGATTCCATCAAGCACCACCTCAGCCTGATTTAGCAGGCTTTTTATTGTTAACTGATATAGTCTTTAATAGCTTGTAACATATTTATATTATCTAACGTCTTGTACTGAATTTTTGTAGTGGTGTGACACAAGTATTTTCCAACAGTTTTCAGACATCATTATTGAGCATATCATTTTTATGACCCTGCTGTTGCTTTTACGCCTACATCATTGATGGTTTTACCTGATAAATTTTTTTGGGGGGCTAAAATTATTCCCAGCCAGTTGTTTTTTCATGTCCATTTTCTCTCTCTCTCTTTCTCCCTCTCTCTCTGTGTGATCTGAAGGTATTTCGGCATGGTGTGAGTGGCCCGGTGTTCTTTGTTGCCAGTAGGGGGCACCATGCTGATATAGGGGGCATCACCCCGGGCTCTATGCCCCCCCACTCCACCTCTCTACAGCAGGAAGGTGCCGTCTTCACTACCTTTAAACTTGTCACCGAAGGAGTCTTCCAAGAGAAGGGTGAGAGATTGTCCTTAACTGAATATAGACGGGTACAATCATAAGTCCCTGTCGTCTTCATTTCTTTTCAGTTTTTACTTTTGTCCTCCACATTGCCTAATCACTTTGTACTAGGGGGTTGGCAGGATAAAGCCCGGGGGAATGTCCGGTACAACTGATTTGGACATTTGCGTTCACACATACAGCTCCTTCGGGTAATGTCTGGAAAAGTTCTGGGTTACTGTGCATCTCTTAAAGCGACATAAGTGACAGTGCTAGATGATCATAGCAGTAGGTTTAACTTGAATCAACTCTTAGTGTTCCTGTGTTACGAAGAACTATATGCAAGACTGATTTTCAAAGTAATCATAGCTAATTTGATTGTGTGAAAAATAAAAGGCACAAGCATTTTTGCTTTCTTGGTCTTCTGTATCTACCTATGTTATTTAGAATGGAAGGTTTTTTACAAACTATATAGGAGCTCAGAAAGATCCAAGTGAGGAAAGCTGCGCGTCCGGATGGCATCAGCGCCAGGCTCCTTAAGTCCTGTGCAGATCAGATGTGTAGAATAGTTGAACACATGTTCAACATGAGCCTGAAGCTCGAGAGGGTATCACAACTGTGGAAAACATTTTGTGTGGTACCAGTGCTAAAGACATAGCAACCGGAGGACCTCAGCAGCTACAGGCCGGTGGCACTGACACCGCAACTGATGAAGACGCTAGAGAGGCTCGTCCTTGTGCATCTCCGCCCTCTGGGGAGCTCATCTATGGACCCACTTCAGTTTGCCTATCAACCTGGCATGGGAATGGATGACGTGGTCACCTAACCTCCTACACAGAGCTCTTTCTCACCTGGAGAAGCCTGGGAGCACTGTGAGAATCATGTTCTTTGATTTCTCCAGTGCTTTTAACACCATACAGCCTAGGCTCCTGAGGAACAAGCTGGAGAATACATGGGTGGATCAGCACCTATCAAATTGGATTCTGGACTATCTCACAAACCGACCACAGTATGTGAGGTCACGGGGTCTGTGTGTGGTCAGCAGCTCAAGGGCCCGGCAGGGAACAGTCCAGGCACCGTTGCTTTTCACCCTGTACACTGCAGACTTCATGTACAGCTCACCAAACTGGCATTTACAGAAGTTCTCTGATGACTCAGCAATCATCGGACTCATTACAGATGAGGACAACAGAGTGTACAGAGAACTGACCCAGGACTTTGTGGACTGGTGTCTGAGGAACCACCTCCTGATCAATGCAGGGAAGACCAAAGAGATGGTGGTGGATTGTCGCAGATACACTCACCTCCCTCCACCAGTGAACATCCAGGAAATGGACATTGAGAGAGTGGACTCCTATAAGTACCTGGGTTTTCACCTTAACAATATACTGGACTGGTCAGAAAACACTAGTGCACTTTAAAGAAAGGCCAAAGCAAACTCTACCTGCTCAGGAGACTGAGGTCGTTTGGAGTGCAGGGGTGCTCCTGAGGACCTTCTTCGACACCGTTGTGGCATCAACCATCTTTAATGGAGTGGTAGCAGCATCTCAACTGCGATAGGAAGAGACTTGACAGACTCATTAAGAAGGCCAGCTCTGTCCTGGGAAGCCCCCTAGACCCAGTGCAGGCAGTGGGAGACAGGAGAATGTTAGCCAGACTAGCATCCATGATGGAGAACAGCTCCCACCCCATGCATGAGACTCTGGCAGCACTGGGCAGCTCCTTTAGTGACAGGCTGCTTCACCCCAAGTGTGTGCAGGAGCGCTATCGCAGGTCCTTCCTTCCTGCTGCTGTTAGACTTTACAACCAGCACTGCTCCCAGTAGAACCTCCTCCACCCCCCATTAGACCTCACACACCTACAGCACATAAACTGTGAAATTCATTACCATTTCCTGTGTGCAATATAATCAATACTCCATGTGCAGTATTTATAAAAAATCTCTGGAGTGTAAAAACTTTTTGCTTTTCCAATATTATTAAGGATTATCTTATAATTTTTGTCTAGAATTTAATATTAAGTTTAGTGCACCATGATCTCTGTGCTATCTCATAAAGTGCGCATCATCATCATGTTCGACAGCTTTCTTTGTTCTGTCTGTCTTTTCTTCCTCAGCTGTCACCGAAGCCCTGCTGGCTCCAGCTCAGTACCCAGGATGCTCAGGGACACGTAATCTCCATGACAACCTGTCAGACCTGCGAGCTCAGGTGGCTGCCAATCAGAGAGGAAGCCAGCTGGTGGGGGAGTTGATTGATTGTTATGGGCTGGCTGTGGTCCAGGCATATATGGGGTACATTCAGGTAACTGCTTTCCTTCCATAAACTGCTTTTCCGTAAAGCTGCTTTTAGACAACACTAGTTGTAAAAAGTGCTGTACAAATAAATGTTGTTGTTGTTGTTGTTGTTGTATGTGTGCAAAAGAGACTATCCTTCATTTTCTTGAGACTTGCTTTCAGTTTCTCAAAGAAATCTGCAGGAATATTTTTCCACGTTTCCAAAGTTCAAAGTTGGTGCATTTTCTGCTTCTCACGATTCAAGTAATCCTGAGCACAGTGATGTTGAGGTCTGAACTCTGGGGTGGGCAGTCCATTATTCTGAGTTCACCAGCAGCTCCTTTGATATCTTCTATTTAGTCTTTTTCTGTTTTTCAGTAACGGCTTTTTCACACATACACATCCTTTCAGATCCATCGCATTGAGTTGTATTCTCACCATGGAAATTAAAATTTAAAAAGAAAAGGAGGGGTGAAGCAGCCTTTTGTTTTTTATGCATCAAAAAAAGGAACAATTTACCAAAAGAGATTAGACAGACAACATCAGTACTTAATTCAAGAAGCAGCAACTTTCATGATTCCGTAGTTTTTACTTACTTTTAATCCGAATATTGCTGCATTTATTTTAAGTGATTATTTTTTATTACTATTTTATTATTTGATTTTTTTTATTGAAAATGTATTGTTATTGATGTTGTTTATATTATTACTATATCTGCTTTTTTTAAAGTTTCTTGTTTAATTATTATTATTAATAATCCTCTGTGAAGCATTTTGAGCTGCTTTTATGCAGGAGAGATACTATACAAATAAGGCTTATTATTATTAGTAGTAGTATGGAAGGATGGACAGAAACACCAGTGGATTTTTTTCAGATCTGAAGCAAGAGTGGAGCTTGATTTTGTACTATGTCTTTAAGTACTGTTTACCTGATGGGACAGTTTTGGTGGCCTAACAGTTCTTGCAGGTGGTTGTTAGGAGTCCTATATTCTCTGTGTCTTTTGGTAATTTTTGAACACTCCTGTTTTTTCACTATCTTCTGAAAAATGAATAACTTGTTCTGAATGGCTGTATGACTGGAACTTAAATGAAGGGTGGACTCTGATTTTTGCCCAGTACTTTTTGTGGAAAAAGTAGAGTCTGCAGTATTAACATCATAAATGTGTATGTGTGTGTTTGTAGAGTAATGCGGAGCTAGCTGTCAGGGACATGCTGAAAGAGTTTGCCCGTCGTCGACAGCAACAGACTGGCTCCCTAGAAGTGGAGGCAGAAGATCAAATGGATGATGGAACACCAATCAGATTAAAAGTGCAGATAAATGAAGAGGAGGTAAGAGATACGGAGTATACTTTGTGCTTGTATTCAATTTGTTTCAGCTTTACTTGTCATTATACTAGAGCTTCAACTAATAAATATTTCCAGAATTGATTAATCAGTCCATTGTGTCTTTGATTAATGGATTAATCAGGGAAAATGATTAGTTATCAGTTTGTGTGAAAGGTGCTAAAACGATAAAAGGGCACATTATTTTCCCTCAGGTGAAACAAAGCTAAATTAATTCGGACTGTATGAAGCTGAACATTGTCGACCACGTCCATAAAGCAGGCTCTTTCAAAAAGATAACAAAAGCAGTAAGCCACAGGAGGTTGTGTGGTACTGTGATTTTATCACGGGTAAGTGGAGTTCTTAGGCACAACGTGAAGCAGACTAAGTCCCTCTTAAGCGTGATAAAATCATTGTAATGCACAGCATCGAGTGACTTGTTTCTTTTATAAAACAGCAACAACATAAAATATAAAATACAAACACAAACTTTCAAAGTTAGAATTATTAATAATAACTTTTTCACCAATAAATGTAGTTTGTTTAGAATATGTTATTGTTACCAAACAACCATGGAGCACTGAGGGAGGACAAGTTTGTCTCCCATCATTTGTATATTGCAGTCATTTCATGTTTTATTTTTTTTGTTATATAATATTGAAAATAGAAAAATATAGCAGTGTTTCATGTGTAAAAGGTGCAAACCTTTGACTTATAAGTTATGTTTGTGCACCAAATTACTACAACAATAATGCTAACTTTTTTAACTAGCATCTTAATACAATTTACTGTGTGTATGTCAAGCTAATGGTGGTGCACAACGTCAATTTAAAGCCTAATATTGAATAATGCAGGAGCGGCTTAGCCGGTTTAGCCTGTTACATTTTAGCTTCATTGGTAAGAAAAAAACCGTCAGCCTCTCAGTTTAAAAAAAAATGGTTGTTCATCTGTGAGTACACTCGGTGGTCCATATGGGCAGCATAACAGTCCATTAACTGCACAAAGATTTAGCAATTTTCAAAGGTAGTGTTATGGACATTTTTTGTGCTCAACACTTGCATCTTTTCTAGCACCAGTGCTACATGCTCAAGTTCACTCACTGTGTAAACACAAGTGTAAAGTCAACGTAGTGTAAAAGCTTATCTAGCTGTGTGCAAAGAGCACTAAGGAAACAGTATACAGAGGTTTTAAAAAGGACAGTAATTGAAATAAATATGCACACATTCTCTCACTCTCTCTCTCCCTCTCCCTCTCTCTCTTTCTGTCTGTAGGGCAGCGCTGTGTTTGATTTCTCAGGCACAGGGACAGAAGTGTGGGGAAACTGTAATGCTCCTCGAGCCATCACCTTCTCCGCTCTCATCTACTGTTTACGGTGCATGGTGGGACAAGACATCCCTCTTAACCAGGTATTGTGTGTGTCAAAAAGTGTTTGTGTGTGCAACATAAACGGGCCAAATGAGGAAAACTTGCAGACAACCTTTTACAGAAAGAAGAGTCAGTATTGTTCCACTCAACATTGATGTCTTCAAACAGTTGAAAAACATTACCAGGTTAGTTTGTGTTTAATATGAGACCAAATATGTTCTATAGGATATAAATCTGGACCAAAATCACCAGTAAAAAACATTAGTATTTTGGGCTTGGCCATTTTTTTCTGCACAAGAGTCTGTGTGTGTGTGTGTGTGTGTGTGTGTACTTTATGTCATTTTATCAGCTCCACTTACTATATAGATGCACTTTGTAGTTCTACAATTACAGACTATAGTCCATCTGTTTCTCTGCATACTTAGCCCCCTTTTACCGTGTTCTTCAAGGCCACCACAGAGCAGGTATTATTTGGGTGGTGGAGCATTCAAAATGATGCATCTAGCAGACAAATAGTTTTTAAGTAGGGCTATGGGGTTTTTTTTGGCTTGTGGTAGCAGTGAGGGCGGTTCTCTAGCACCCCTAATGGACAAAATGCCCCTATATGTGTGTGTTTTGTTTAGGGCTGTCTTACCCCCATCAAAGTCATCATCCCCCCTGGCTCCATCCTGCAGCCTTCCCTGAATGCTGCGGTTGTGGGTGGAAATGTTCTGACTTCTCAAAGAGTGGTGGATGTCATCTTCAGAGCATTTGAAGTGTGCGCTGCCTCCCAGGTTAGAAACATCTCTTCTATTCATAATGTGGCGTTTCAGTGTGGAGTCTGTGTGGAGCACTCTTTGGTGCTGATGTTGAGAGCGGTACTTTTTTAATTGTTTAACTGTGTTGTATAGTTTAATCCACTAGGTGGCACTGTGTGTCTTTTACTCTCTAAACAGGGAGGAAGAAGTAGTCTAGCTGTTCACTTAGAGCACACATCAGCATGACACATAGCAAAGTTGGCTAACATTAGCTATTTTCTTATGTATTTGTGTGTGTGTGTGTGTGTATATATATATATATATATATATATATATATATATTAGAGATGAAACGATATTAAAATTTCATATCACGATTATCATGACCAAAATTATCACGATTATCGATATTATCGCGATATTGTTCAAAAGCATTGAAAAGTAAAATAAATAAATACTGATACACAAACTGAAACTCGTTTCACCAACTTTTTTATTAACACAGATAGAACTGGCAGCAATATGCACTTTTTGTTTGCATAAACATTAAAAAAATATAGTCAATACATTTGTAGTATTACTTTTGTATTACTTACAATACTCTGTAAACAAAAGAATAGCAAATGTATTATTATTACTGTTATTACTATTATTATTATTACTGTGGTAAATAATAATTATTATTATTATTACCGTTGTAATTATTATTATTATTATTATTATTATTAATTACAATATTTAGGGATTTCCCTGCATAGAGAATTAAATCTGGACCAACTCTGAAGTGGGTCTTAATGGAAAATTACTACTTCTAAGAAGTGCTGCACTCGGGGGATTTCTGTCCGAACTGCAACTGCAGCATTATTGTGCCGTTGTGGCGCTGAACCCCTAATCAACACAGTGCACCAGGAAAAACAGACAAAATCACAGAGGAACTGCGTGACCGTGCAGACAGCGTAGAACTCACAGTGTGTCTTCACCTGTGGAGCTGCTTCTCTAAAAGCATTTTAAAACTAAAACATAACTTAATCTCTGAAACTCTGCTTTTCCTAAAAGCAGCACACAGCATTTACTCGCGCAAGGTCCCGTCTCAAAGCACACTATCTTCCCTATGTAGTGCACTTCGTGGATCATGAAATAGCAAATCCTTCACCCAAAGAGTGCGTGAAACGTTCACAATAACAATATATTAACAATAAGTTACAAATTCCCTATTTAAAACTCAATTGCTTGTTAATGATGATCGTGTTTGTTTGAACAGTAGCGCGCTATGTAGGGGACACAGTGATTTGAGACGGTGTAATTCTCTTCTCAGAAGTAAACACTGCAAGCGAGAAAGGGGAGCTGTGCAGATTGAACCTCTGCAGCGTCTCGTTCCCAGGAGCTTGTGTGACTGTTAACATAGAGCTCATTTTGGAGACTCTGCTCCACAGAAATATGTGTTAAAGGCTTTAGTTTCGATTCACAGTTTCGAAGTCCCCACAGACTTCTCCGTTAAAGTTAACCTTGCATTCTTGCAGGTAGCGGTGGTGGTCGCGAAGATGACTCATAAGGTTGGATGTGTTGCCCCCTTTCACCGCTATTTTCTTTCGGCCTGTTCTGCAGACAGGGTGGTCATCTTCAATTAACTTTCCTTCTGCATCCTTATAAAACCCAAAACATGACCAAACGTCAGACTTGGTCTTCTTAGAAGGCTGAAATATCTCCGAATCTCTGTCACTACATTCCGCCATGTTCTCCCTTCTCTACCCCTCCCCCTCCCCCTTCCCCTCTACATACACACAGAGCTACGTCTGAGAGATGATTCTGCCTTTGTTTGATTCTGTGCAGCGAGTTTTTCACACTTTTTTTTCATACTTTAAAGTTCAAACGGTACTACTAACCGTCATTAATTTTACCGCGGTTTACCGTGAAACCGGTAACCGTTTCATCTCTTATATATGTATTTTTTTTTTTTAGATGATGACTATGGCATCATCAGGGATCAATCTCATGGCCTCCTGACGACAGTGCATTAAGTAATTTATCATGCAGTTTATATAAAGGATAGCTGTTGTGTTCAAATGATGCAGAAAATATAAAAATAAAAAAAAATGAAGATAAATGTTTGGGATTTTTTTTGTTTTTTAGATACAGGGATCTGAGATTCAAAAGTTTTGGTAAAATGATGGTTTGTTGATTTTCTAACTGAATTATCAAATGAGCACATTCTCTGCGGAGAACACTTCTGCACATTTACTGCCCAATTACTGTTTATTTGCTGAATTTAGCAAAAAAATAAATAAATAAATAAAACAAAATGTTGCCTCTGCAAAAGTTATAGCTCAGTCAGATTTTGTTTTTTTTTCCAGCAAAATAAATAGAAATTGTCCATGAACATTTGCAGAAAAATACAAGTGTTCATTTATTATCAAAACATTTTTGACCAGGGGTGTTCGAACTTCTTCTTTCAGCTGTTTATCTTATCTCATTTTTTTTTCATGTTAAAATAAACAAAATGATTCATTTATTAGGGCCCTTTAGCAGGGGGTCGGATTTTTAAGTCTCATGTATGTATCTCACATAGGTTTCTTCATGTTTTGTCTTTCAGGGCTGCATGAACAACGTGTCGTTCGGCAGTGAGAAGAGTGGTTACTATGAGACGGTTGCCGGTGGTGCGGGGGCGGGGCCAGGATGGAGTGGACGTAGCGGAGTCCACAGTCACATGACCAACACCCGCATCACTGACCCCGAGGTTCTGGAGAAGAGGTTTGATACTCAGCTGCTATCAGTGTTAGACCAGCAGAGTGATCAACAGGCCGCTCAGCTTATTAATGCCTTCATTTGCTATTAAAATGATAAAGTAATAGCTAATTCTGTTTTTTCAAAATGCAACTTACTTTAGTAATCACTAATTATGGGAATTGTGGGCCAGTGCTGATACCTAAACTTCTATAAAATGTAGAGTTGGGAATCCACCATGATCAGCTTTGCAGAGAAATATAACATTTGTTTCAGTAGGGTAACAACATGCAGATCGTTTAACACAGCAGCCCAACATCTCCGGAGCAGTCTTCCGGAGTACCATAAATATCATCAAATAGCGGTTTGAAATATCAGTCAAATCCAAACATCGGTCCTATGCCAGTAATTTTATTTTAAAGGGCCCGTATCATGGAAAATGGAATTTTTGAAATAACAAAGTTTGATATAGTGTGCAAACATGTTATAGTTTCAAAACATGCCATTCACTCTCCACAATCTACATATAAAAACTAAGTTGCAAGCCCATATGCAAACAAATTGTATTTCCATATATTTCTCAAAATATGTGTCAGGTTTGTTACATATTTGCGTATATTTTTGCCATAGATGTAAATAATAAAAATTGACATGGGCATATATTTTATCATATCACCATATATATATATATATATATACACATATATACACACACATATACACATATGTGTATGTGTGTGTGTGTATGTATATATATATATATATATATGTATGTGTGTGTGTACTGGTATATATTTAAATATTCAAAAATGACAGTTAATGCATTAAAGCGTTTAATGCATATATTTAAAACATTCCATATATTACATACACACCCTAGGGGGCAGTGAGCACCCTTGCCCAGAGTGGTGGGCAGCGCTACCCACGGCACCCGGGGAGAAGTTGGGGATTAGGCGCCTTGTTCAAGGGTACTTCAGTCACGTACTGTTGGCTCAGGGGATCAAACCGGTGACCTTCCGGTCACTGGTTCCCTAACCTCTAGCCCACAACTGCCCCCCATGAGCAAATATATTTTTCATGTGGGAAAAACAGCACTTTTATATTCCTAATTTTAATTTCTGTGATGTCATTAAAACCAACACATTTAAATATCTCCTCCTATTCAGTCTATGACAGGGGTGTAGAAAGTCCGGCCCGTGGACTCATTTTAATTGGTTTTTGTTTAAGGCTGCACTGTTGCACTGTTGTTACAAAGTTAGCTAAAGTTTAAGAACTTTTCCTCTTTTCTTCCTGTAACTTAATTAACTAAACTACATTTAGTCAAAACTACAGCCATAAAGCACAAACTTAACATTGAGAACTGGTGAGTTTGGCGAGATGGAAATTTAAATACTTTTTCCATCAAATGTGGGAGCCTCATATTCAAAAGAATGTAATGAATTTAATATCAATAAACATTAAACAAAGAATGGACATTACAGTAAATATTCAGGAGAGGGCAGAGAAATGAAAGCAACCGCAGCTATGTGAGTCTCACTGCACCGGCTTCTTATCAGTGCCAATTCATCAGTTCAGGAAATATTAGCCCTTTAAAGTCAAATAAAAACTTGCCTATTTATTCTGTTTAATATGCGCTTGTTTAATAGTGATTTCTGAATGCCCTTGCTGCCTTGATTTGATATGTAAAGTATATGATCTAACAAAACTGAAAATTTATAGATTTTTTTTGTTTAGTTTGTCTCACAATTTATATTTTTGAACAAGTAAACACTTGAATAGGAATACACGTAATACATTAGACATGTTTTATTGTTACACTTAAATCGCTTAATTATTTGTTATGTGTGTACTGATGCAAATTGCTCTGAGCAATCCAACAATAAAAGAAGCCTTGTGCATCTTTTATACAGGAAATACGGTTCTATGTTGTTCTATGCGCTGATATTTTCGAAACTTATTATTTTGCATCATTTGTGAATAATATTTCAGCCCTCAGGTATTCTGACAGAGTACATTTTGGCCCACTTTGAAAAAACGTTTGGACACCCATGGTCTATGACAGTTTAACTCCACCCATTCATGGTGACGTTATAAGGAGCCTGGTCTGCTGTTTGATTGTGTCCCAATACTGAACAGCCAATCAAAAAGGAGCTAATTTAAATATATAATTCTTAAATGCACAGTAACCGCCTGTTAAATTCTAAGGCATAAAGAGAGGCTAGAAAATGGTCATATAAAAGTGAATTATGACTGTTATTGGTACATAGTCTTACATCGTAAATGTACTGTAGAATATGGGCCCTTCAAGCAGTTACACTATATTGCCAAAAGTACTCACTCACCCATCCAAATCATTGAATTCAAGTTTTCCAATCACTTCCATGGCCACAGGTGTATAAAACCAAGCACCTAGGCATGCAGACTGCTTCTACAAACATTTGTGAAAGAATGGGTCGCTCTCAGGAGCTCAGTGAATTCCAGCGTGGTACCGTGATAGGATGCCATCTGTGCAACAAGTCCAGTCGTGAAATTTCCTCACTACTAAATATTCCACAGTCAACTGTCAGTGGTATTATAACAAAGTGGAAGCAATTGGGAACGACAGTAGAATGACAGAGCAGGGTCAGCGAATGCTGAGGCACATAGTGCACAGAGGTTGCCAACTTTCTGCTGAGTCAATCGCTACAGACCTCCAAACTTCATGTGGCCTTCAGATTAACTCAAGAACAGCATAGAGAGCTTCATGGAATGGGTTTCCATGGCTGAGCAGCTGCATCCTAGCCTTACATCACCAAGCGCAATGCAAAGCATCGAATGCGGTGGTGTAAAGCGCCGCCACTGGACTCTAGATCTGTTCTCTGGAGTGACGAATCACGCTTTTCCGTCTGGCAATCCGATGGACAAGTCTGGGTTTGGTGGTTGCCAGGAGAACGGTACTTGTCCAACTGCATTGTGGCGAGTGTAAAGTTTGGTGGCTGACCTCACAAATGCGCTTCTGGAAGAAAAACACACTCCCAAACCTTGTGGAAAGCCTTCCCAGATGAGTTGAAGCTGTTATAGCTGCAAAGGGTGGGCCGACATCATATTAAACCCTATGGATTAAGAATGGGATGTCACTCAAGTTCATATGCGTGTGAAAGCAGACGAGCGGATACTTTTGGCAGTATAGTGTATCTGCTGATATCAATGTCATACTAATATCATCATGCATCATTAAAAACATTTGTAAAATACCAAAATAGGTACCCACAAAGCTCATGAATGCAAAGACTTTGAGACTTTGTAAATACACCTTCACAAGTAAGACCACAGGACCATCCATCAGAACTTTACTCCATCTCTTTTTCTCTCTCTTTTTCCCAGGTACCCAGTAATCCTACAGCAGTTCTCCCTCAGGCCTGGCTCTGGAGGTCGAGGTCATTACCATGGTGGTGACGGGGTCATCCGAAAGCTTCTGTTTCGGAGTAAAGTGGTTTTATCAGTGCTGACCGAGAGACGCTCCACACGACCTTATGGTTTACATGGTAACTTCACTTCAACACAGTGTCACAAACACTTTAATGTTACACTGATGCATGTTGAGATGTGTGTTGTAATCTCTCTGTGTTTCTGTCTCAGGAGGCCAGAGTGGCTCTGCTGGGCTTAATCTGTTACACAGAGCTGATGGCAGAGTGTTAAATCTGGGAGCGAAAACCACAGTCAGCCTAGAACCTGGGGTATGTGCATGTTCATATGTATGTCTGCATATTTATGATTGTTTGTTCATGCGCTCACCTTCTTTTTTATCAGAAACTCCTAATTTGTACTTCCACAATCTGTCCACATTGTCAGCTTCACCTATAGTACTAATCAAAAGAGACCACCCTTCATTTATTAAATTTCAAGTCAAATCAGCCACTAAGTGCAAGTTAATTTTTTTGGGAAGATTAGACATAAGATAATCCACTTGTATGAAGAAAGGGAAAGTCAAAGGCAAATAAGTGGGGAATTTTTTTTCACTGTCAGAACACAACTCAACACTATGGGTCTGAAAAGATGTGCAGCTGTCAAGAAGCCCTTACTGAGGAATGGAAAAACTCAAAAGAAGAACATTTGCAAATTAAACAAAGAAGCTGCTGGTAATATTAATGGACTGACCACCCCAGAGTCCAGACCTCAACATCACTGAATGTGTTTGGGATTATGTGGCTCATGGAGATCAGAAAATACAACCAGTATCTAAGACTGAACTTTGGAAGTATGGAAAAATATCACTGCAGATTTCTTTGAAAAATGAAAGCAAGTCTCCTGAAAATAAGAGTGGACACACTAAACACTAAAAAGGAAAACTACATAATATTTAGTTGTAGAGGCTTTGAAATTTTCTGTGAAATACAGTGATTCAAAAAGATTAATCCGATTTCAAAATGATTTATTTCACTTGCAAATCATTACAGAACAATGCAGTAAATTGTAAATGGTTTAAATTAGCATAAAGTTTAGTCGCCATCTCCTCACAGACTGAAGGGAGCCATCTTCCGGTGACAGTCAGAAACTCAATGACCCCCTCTTTCGATTGGTATGTGATTGGTTCCTAGGCACCTCACTGTTGTAAAAATATGGCGCTTTGAAATCAGATGAGTCTTTTCAAATCACCCTGTATATGTTTTCTGCTATGTAGGCTTATAGTCAATTACAGGTATAGTCTCTTGTTGTACAATGTGTCAGCCCCCCTGTACCCCATTCATCTCTGGTTAGTTTCTGACCACATGACTGCTGTTGTCACAACATCAGTGTCACTGTTAGCTTCAGAGTGGACCGCCACACAAAAATATCCAGCCAAGATCAGCTCCGAAGTCAGAAACTAGCGACTAATGAAGGATTATAGGATGACTAACTCAAACTGAGCATCAACAGATGAACTAAATGTGGCTTATAAAGTCGGTATGAATGTATAGAAATCTCTTCTACATACAGTTGCGCAAGGTTTTATGCTTTATCTTGCCCCCTTGTCGATTATAGGACATATTCTGTCTGCACACTCCTGGAGGAGGTGGCTATGGAAGAGAGGAAGAGGAGGATGAAGATGAGAATCACAGTCCCTCCAAACGGCAGCGCCTAAACGAAGCTTTCACTGAAAGAGGGAGTGTGTTTGAGTATCGCCGCGCTCAGGAGAGTGTCTGAACTTACATCTGAATTTGCGGAACCACTCAGAAACAACTGAACAAAAATCTAGAATCGGTCTAACTTCCACAATTCAGAAAAGAGTGATCTGTATTGACCACCCAACAAATGCGTTCTTTTGTATCTGCTGTTGCGAGGCTTAACCAGCTTTGCAGAATGCTGGAAAATTCCATTTTACCTAATACGAAACTGTAGCACACAACTTAACGTACTTACATTAAGCAATGGGGAACCATTCTTGACCTTCAGAGAAGGCCTGGTGATTTCTGTGAAATAAAAAATACATGTCTGTAATATTTAGTTCATCTGTACTTGATAGAATTATCATGCTTGTTGCATTCAAGCTCTGTATGTATTGTAACAGTACTTATTTCGTTGTTAAGTTTTGGTTGGAAAATGCAAAAATGAAAAATTATCCAGTTTAGTTTTGTTCTCTCTGTGGTAATCATGTTTTGATTTCTAATGGATGGGACCAATTTTGTAAGGAAAAACGTCACTCTTGACCTTCTGGAAGCCCTAGACACATCACTGACTAGCAGTACGATGGGTAGACTGTGCGTCAGTCAGTGCGTTTCAGTCAGTTGGTAGAAATCAAACAGCGTCAGTGGATTCTTCACTGAAGGAGTAAAACTGCTACAGGTAAAACGTGTTAATATCTGTTAGAAGCTTCAAATAAAACATGGAACGCCAGTTACCAGCTTAAGATGTCCGTGTTGAACCTAAAACACTCAAAAAAAAAGTTCACCCAGCAAGGGCACTGGCAGAAATTAGCATTAGTGTAACGTAGGCTTTTTTTTTTCTCTGTCACTGTTTGCCTCTGACATTTAGAGTGTGTTATTAATTTCAAACAATAGTTATTTCCTTATTTCAGCCATACTACAGTACCTAGTGTATGCTACAATGTTAGCCTGTTAGGCTTCTGCTTAACCTATCACTGATATCTCCTTAAGGAAAAAACTACCCTTGATCTAATGTGACTTTTCACTCCCATATACATTATCATTTAGAATTAATAACACACTCTATATATGTAGGTATTTTAACAAAACTTGAGTGTGCTACAGTTTCTCATTAGGTTGAAAGGGATTTATTTTTTTTTTGCTGCAAGTCTGTAATGCTGGTTTGCAGCAGTAGCTACAAAAGTACACATGTGGCCAGAGCATGAATGGGTCAAATAACACTGTTCACACTTTTCACTCTGGCTAATGCTGTTGTATAGCCTGTTGCTGTTACTAAAGGTACCTTCTCTGTCACTGCCACTCCCATATAAAGCAGACACCAAACATGCCTTGGTTGTTGGGTGTAAAAATTGGGGCAAATTATCTTTTTTTTTTTTTTAAATGAATCATCTGCTTAAACCTGTCAGATCAATGATAACAGTATTACTACGCCTTCAAGATTCTGAATGAGCAACGTTCCAGTGAAATGACAAATAGATAGCACAATAAGAAGAAACAGCAGCACAGTAATGTAGTGTAGAATAAAGGATCGTCGGAAAATAAAGGTACAGTAGTGGGCCCTGCTTTAAAGGCCTCGTATATAAGATTTTGAAACATTTATCCATAAGAGTTTCATAAATCCATAGAGCCGTTTTTATTTTTTGTCATGTTTGTCACTCTTTTTGTTATAAATTAGGCCGTAGCCAGACATCTACTCTTTTCTTCCAGTGGATGTAACCTGGGGTGTATTTCATGAGTCTTGGAGAACAACTATCTTGTATCCAGCACATTAATAATGCAAGAACAGCTTTTAAACTGATACTGAATTGGCATCAAACACTCCATGGATTTAAGAACTACATTCATTCAGCTTTCTGGGGAAAAAATACTAATCTACTTTATCTTACACAAACAGACAGCACAGTACTCATAATTAGTGAACATTGCTGCAGGGCCTTTTTGAAAGCCCTTTCATGAGCAATTTCATGCTTATTTTTTTAGTAGAAGGTTGAACAAAATACTAGTGGTTGGAATAATATCCTGAGCTGCTTTGTCAATGAAGGGAAAATATACTGATGTACATTTCAGTCCAGTGTAAACTGGCATAGTACTGCTGAGCCATAATAAAATCTTTAAAGTAGGCCTGAAATCAAAACCTTTTTCACCTTGTTAGTTCATGTTCCTGGTCTTATTTAACAGGATTCATCAGATCATATCAGTACATGCACAGAGCCTTGACCTCAACCACGCTGAACGAGCCAGGCCTTCTCATCCAACATCAGTGCCTGACCTCACAAATGCTCTTTTGACTGAATGGACACACATTTCCACAGACACTCCAAAATCTTGTGGAAAGCCTTCTAAGAAGAGTGGAGGCTGTTAGATTCGTAAAGAGGGGGCAACTCCATATTAATGCCTACGGATTTGTAATGGGATGTCCAACAAGCACGTAAGTGTGAAGGCCTGGTGTCCACTACTTTTGGCCATATTTTGTAGGTGAGAGTCATCTGAGTCCAGGCTAAGCTCACGTTGAAGCAGAGCACTCTCAGCCACCCTGCTGAGTTGAAAAATGACATACGCCCACACTCCCCACTGATAGAGCAATAAATAAGCCGAATCCAGTGAACCTTCATGGAGTCCACAGCGTGATAAGAACGAGATAAGCCCAAGCCAGCAGGGAGCCGGGCCAGCATCGTCACACTAGCCAAGCATGGCAATATCTGAAACTGACTGGGGATGCAGTTTGAATCAGATAATACTAGAGACAGACAGATCATGACAAAGGAGTTTAAAGATGAATTTCTCTAAGTTTTTAGCTTAATGAAGTAAACAGAAGTAAGTAAAGCCATAGACTTGTTTTGAAGAGAAATCATGCATACTTGTTTAGGTGTTTTGGTAACTCTGATTTCCTGCAAGGCTATGAACAGCAAAATAGCCCTCAAGTTAAATATAATTATTCAGTTTTACTAATACTACATGTAACAGCTCAGGAGATGTGTAGGCTCACTGCTGGTTTTGGATAATAAAGAAAATGTAGACATTGTGACCCCTGGTTCCAATCACCACCACTATAAAGAAAGCCAAGTCAGTAAGGGTCTCCACAACGAATTCCCCTTTAATGTGAATATAAACTCACATTAAAGTGCAGTGTCTGACCCAAAGCCCAAAAAATGACTACAGAAGATGTACAAGACTGAGGGTAAGATCAGCAGGAGGTTGGAAATGCAGAGCAGCATAAAAGACAGTTTTCACAAAAACACTGCAGGGTTAAAGAAACAGTTTGGTAAAATATACCCAGTCCGTCCCCACCCCCTCCCCCAAAATGTTACTGATCAGCCAAGGTGCGTTTGGTGTCTGAAGTTTGCCTCTTTAGTTTTACACTGAAGCAATGACTAGTATAGATAAGAAGTAATGAAAGTTTATAAAACACTTAGCACTATTAGCATTATGACATACATCAGCAATAACATTAAAATCACCTCCTTGATTCTACGCTCATTGTCCATTTTATCAGCTCCACTTACTATATAGGTGCACTTTGTAGTTCTACAATTACAGACTGTAGTCCATCTGTTTCTCTGCATACTTTGTTAGCCCCCTTTTACCCTGTTCTTCAATGGTCAGGACCACCATAGAGGAGGTATTATTTAAATGGTGGATCATTCTCAGCACTGCAGAGACTCTGACAGCAGTGATGTTGGACTGAGAAAAGTCCACCAACCTAAAAGCATCCTGTAACCATTGATGGACTACAGAATGGCCAGCACAAACTGTGCAGCGACAGCTAAGCTACTGTCTCTCACTTTACATCTACAAAGGTGGGCCAACAAGGTAGGTGGGTCTAATAAAACTGACAGTGAGTGGACACAGTGTTTAAAAATTCCAGCAGCACTGCTGCGTCTGATCCACTCATACCAGCACAACACACACTAACACACCACCACCAAGTAAATACCATTGCAGTGCTGAGAATGATCCACCACTCAAATAATACCTGCTCTGTGATGGTCCTGAACATTTAAGAACAGGGTCTAACAGTGTGCAGAGAAACAGATGGACTACAGTCTGTAATTGTAGAACTACAAAGTGCCCCTATATGGTAAGTGGAGCTGATAAAATGGAGAATGAATGTAGACACAAGGATCTACAAAAACAGCAAATGTAACAAAAATTGACAAAGCTGAAACCAACAGTAACAGACACCATGCATGGATTACAGTATCAGAAACCACATAAGCTAGCCTACTTAACGACTCAACATGGTTTGAGGCAAGTGTGTCATGATTTGGGCATGCATCCTGCTAACACCAGGCATGTCTAGTGAAGAAATGTCACCTTTTGCTTTCAGCGCATTTCAGAAATTTGAGTTAGTGTTACTGTTGCTACCATTTTCTCACCACAGTTTTGGAAAACTCACTAAGTGAGTAATTCCTTTTGGAAAAATCTCCCTCAAGTCCACATAATTACTATTCATTAGAATACAAACTGAACATTTAAACAAAGGTGGACATAAATTTAATATGCACTACTTGGAATGTGCTAAATAGTTCTGTCTTCTGTGCTACACAATTATGCACACCAGTTACTGATCTATTTCAGACCAGTTTTGCAGTCAGAACGGAGACTGAAATTTCAAATTCAAAAACCACAATATTTCATTGACGTTTTACATTTAGACATCCACAGTCATGTTAGTCACATTAATGGGAAAGTAAAACACTGTTCAGCCTGTTTAACAGAGGATTGTCTTGTGGCCATTGATTAGACAAAGGTGTGAAAATGCAACATGTTTTACATTTTTCACCAAATCCTTACAGAACTTCTCATGACTGCAGTGAGTGGAGTTAAATTGGTCAGAACTATCTGCACAGATAGCTTAGCCCACTTGGAGATAACTTTCACTACAGAGCTTTGAATGGCTGAGGAGATTGCAGACTATTGACAAGCCATTAACTGCACCCCTACCCCCACCAAACTCCCAGCTTCTGAGCCCCACATGCACAGGCAGATGCATGAGGAACTACGAAGGAGCAGAGAAGCTGGGGGTTGGTGGACTTAGACCAGGAAATAGACCAGCTGGTCAGTAACCAGTAATGAAAAATAACATCAGTTCCAACAAAAACTAGTCAGATTCCAGTCTTAACTGTGCAAAAACTATTATTTGGACTAGCTTTTGTTGGAAAATGCAGTGCAAGTAAATCAAACTATGTTCATCTGTTCTGACTAAATTAGCTGGTGAATTAAAATGATTAACAAATATTAAATTCACTACAATCATGTGACTCATGAAAGGGAAACAGTTTAGCCAAGCACAGAAGTCAGGCTCAAGCTTAGAAGAAATCCAAATTCATAGTGTTCAACCTGCTATATGCTAAAATATACAAAATGCTAAATTCATAATCCAATGCAAACCCATAAGGCTCCTTCTTAAAAATGCAGCATGAGAGTCATCTCTAAAGAGACGATGTAGGCACACACCCCTCGTAAAATCACATAAAAATCATAAATACATACCCTGTTTAAGGAACACCTTGCAATTGACAAGGTTTTGAAGAGAACGCTACATTTCCGAGACATTCAAGCGTCGAGGTAGTAAACATTTAAAAGAGGAATAAAAGCGTATGGACAGAGAAAGATAACAGTGCAAACTCTGTCAGTGCAAAGTCTTTGGTCATACTGGCCTACATTCATTTGTCCCTGTAAGTCAGTCATACTGAGGTAGATTTTTATAGCTGTATAGATTTTTTTGATCAAATTCCTGACGTACACCCACTGGAATGTTCAGTAAATGTCAGTACAAAACACAATAAGCATTACTGACTATAAATTTGGAATGTAAAAGTTGAGCAGCATCATAGTTCATGTCTGTAGGGAAACAGCTGCCATACTGTGTCCCAACTCTGTGTGAATACAGTTCAAAAGAACTAGCACTGTGAATACCTGCCGAGTGGAGGTCCATTCTGCAAGGAGTACTGATTTGGGGGAGGGTGTACAGTCTGATTTGCAGCACCAAGGACATCAAACACACTTTTATTGGGAGGAACCGACTGCAACATGCTGTCCAAGTCCATTAAGAGAGGTGGGGCCTGTAACGAGACACGCCCACTCGGTAAGAGGGGCCAGTAAGCATGGCTGCTAAAGTGATTCGGTGGAACGTGCGGGCCGCCATAGCCATAGAACGGAATACCCCCAAGTGGCATGAATGGATTTCCGTTAAATCGCATGCTAGGGGGCGCTATTGCATTGGGAGGGGTGTATTTAGCGTAAGACGTTGGTAACTCCCATGGGGGTGCAGAGCCACGTTTGGCGGTTTTGTTTGGTGGCGGGCAAGAGTCATCGTATCCGTCTGAGCCTGGCTCTCCATCGCTTCCTCGTTTACCAAAACGTGAAAATCCTCTCCAGTCCTCATCTGATGAGGAAGAAGCAGGACTAGCAGAGCTAGCTGAGGCACTGCGATTGGACAATGAGTAGCGCGGATGTGGAGATGTAGGTCGGCCATGAGGGGGAAGTTCTAAGCCCCAGCCGTCTCTAGCCCTAATCCCGTCTCCAGCAGTGCTAGGCGGCCTAAAGCTGTGGAGGAGTGAATCGATAGCAAAAGATGAGTCCAGTTTGGGGCGGTAAGGGTCCTCTGGAGGAGGGGAAGTGTGACGAGTGGGAACGTGAGGTAGTGGAGGTTCAGGCGGGTGGGCTTCAGGTTTGTGAGAGTGTGGATGTCCTTGGAGGATGTAGGGGGCAAGGTCCTGGGCGAAAATGGTCTCATCCTGACGTGATACAGCAGTGTTCTGTCGCTTTAGCAGCTCCAGAGGAACCCTGCTAACTTCCACAGCCCAGAAATTACCTTTGCCCTGAGGTTTTCCGGGATCTTTCAGCACCTAGAAAAGAATGAGATAGAGGGAGGACAGAAAATGGATTGACAAGAGCATCAGTTGGTGAAGCTGCTGGAAAAGACATCAAAATGAACACAAGCAACTCAGCAGTTTCTGGATTTTATTTGATCTGTGCAAATGACCAAACATTTTTCAAATCCTTCTGTTAAAAAGCTGAATGGATCCGTAACACTAAGACATACCTTGACGAAGCAGTCATATGAAGACAAGTTGTGTCGGACCGAATCTCTCCAGCCTTTATAGTTGCCTTTGAAGAAAGGAAAAAGAGTGCTGATCTCCTTCAGGATCTGAGGAGAGAAAAACAAAGTTATCACATCATCCCATTAACAGTTTTGGCCGCATGGCCCACCGATCTAATTAAGTTGAGACAACTAGTATTCTGGGTGTCACAGACTGAGCTTTGGAGATGACGTTTGGAGAGTTTGGAAAAGGGAGGGGGGTGTCCCAATTTTCAAGGGTCTATATCTATCTGTCTATCTATATGTGTGTGTGTGTGTGTGTGTGTGTATTTAAAAAAATAAATAATAAATAAATAAATAAATAAATAGACTGATTGTCAGCACTGCTGCTAATGAAAGTGAATGGCAGTTGGACCAAATTATACACATGAGCAATTGATCTTCACTCCTCCTCATTCTTCATTCTTATCATTCCGTCTTTTTACAGCTGATAACCTTCAGCTCTGGTTTCACTACCCCCAAACTTAACATGGTCAAACTGTAGGACTGATTAGGTATTTAAAACACCCTCACTGCCATCACCTCTTCATAAATCAAATTTGTCCCAATGTACAAATGCCCAAATACTTTAACATAAAAATAACAGCACTAGCAACAGCCGCTACTGAACAGCGAGAGCAGGTTAACTTAGGATTTCTCCACCATCAGCTGCAAAATGAAATGCAATGTAAAAATGTGCATTTTGTTCAGGAACAGGATCAACAGAATCAGACAAAAGTCCAAAAACTTTTGCGCACATGAAAAAAAGTTTGCCACCGTAAATAATGCTACAGTGAACTACTGTAAATTCTACACCCTTAGTACAGTAAACATACAGTACACAGCTTCTAACCCACACTATAATTATTTTACTATAGTTAGTATTGTTTCTATGCTTTAACAGTAATTTAACAGTAAAATACCACAGCATGTTACTCTAGAATACCATAGAGTACAGCACTTTACTACAATCAATACTACAGAACCACAGAATACCATAGTCGGCCAGTACAACAGAAAATACAGTAGTTACAAGTAAACTACGCCGTTTTTTCATACGAGCTAAGCGAGACTGAGTGATTGTCTTTCAATTTAACTGACTAAAAATCCGTATTTCATTTAGGTAAACTGGACCAGCAGTCCAAAAAACTGTTTTTAAAAAGGTACCTCAGACAGAGTGAGCTTCTTCTCGGGTGAGTTCTGGATGACCATGGCGATCATAGCGAGGTAGGAGTAGGGCGGTTTAGGGTAGCGCTGGTAGTTTTTCTTCTTTCCTCCGCTGCCGTTCGCGTTTTGGTCCCAGGAACTCGGCTGCTTTTCCGCCTGGTCCGAGTAGTTGGTCCCGGCGGGCTCCAGGCGCGGCGGCGGGGCCTTCTCCATCAGCGCGGTGGACGCAGAGCCCCTGGGCAGGGCGCCTGCCTCCGCTAGTGCGCTGTGGGTGCGCCTCGGCTGTGCATGGCTCGAGTCAAGGTGAGGGTCTCCCGGGGCTCCAGGCAGGCAGACCCCAGGGACCGCCCGGAGCTTTGTCATGCTGATGAACCCCGAGAAGGAGGAGCAGGGAGTCGGTCCTTAACCCCCGGGCAGACCGCTGGCTCCAGGTTCGTCTCTGTTTGAGGAGCAAACAATTAACAGTTTCATGTAAAGTCCCGCTGTGGTGATGGACGAGCAGAATGGAGGGCCATCGGTGCTGCTGGGAGAGAGTGATCACCATCACATCATAGAGGGGGGAGGGAAGTGTGAAAATGCCCCTGGAGTGGAGCGTGTGGTGCAGAAACTGCATTAAAGGGCAATTCTGTCGATTTTTCAAAATTTCTCCATAAGAGTGAAGAGTGGCTTGATGCAAATTAATGTGTGCGTGGAGAAACTTACCAACACAGATGTTCTTTACAGTGGTAGTGCTAGGAACCAGAGGTCCCAATGTCTAGAACACCAATCTAACTGTATATTTTATTTACCATCCAAACCCACCAGTGGATCTACATGTCTTCTGAGTTAATATAAATGTTGAACATGGTAAAATAGTGGAAAATCAGAAAAAAACAAGCTTTCTTTGGGGCCTATTTTGTCTTAGAACATCCTAAATGTATCCTGCCACCATGAATAGTTTAAACATTTTTTTAGACCAAAACATTTTTGCACAATTACAATAAAACAACGTCTCAGACATCAGGCAGCATATTCATAACTTTTTATGAGGGAGCTTTCAGTGGTTGATGTCCGGTTCCTATCACCACCACCGAGAACTGTTCTGACTATTCTTCAAGTTTCTCTAGAACGAAGCATTTCACACCAAACCACTCTGAATGGTTTTGTTGACATGTCAACCATTTAATCATGCTGAAATTTGAAGAAAAAAAAAAAAAAATCAGTGGAGTTTTCCTTCAGCTTTCCCTAAAGCACCCTATTTCCACACTTCTTCGCCTTTTATTTGCTGTTTCAGTGTCAGAAAACAGGCACAATCCGTCTGTTATATGTAGGTTTACTTCTAACTTCACTATCACACAAAATTAAGTTTGTTGAAACCTGTCAGAAACTGTTTTGGCATAGCGCTGGTAGTGTTTCTTCTTTTCAATATACTTCTTTAACCTTTTCCCAGACTTGTAACCTGTGACATACAGTTTCTCAGCATTTTTATGGGCATTATAATTTTCCTCACAACCAGAAAATACCAGTAGTGCATCAGTCATAAATAAGCAAGTGCTTATTTCCCACCAAACTTTCATTAAACTTTTACAACCATTTACATTTGGTTTTAGTCATTTATACACTTTAGACTGTTCATTTTATTTCAATTAACAGTGCCTGTTTAATACTGTGCATTTTAAGTTTAGTTTACCATAATAAACCCAGGGGCACATTAAGACAACCCCCCTTTTTCCCCCAGGGGGCCACCCCCTACCTCCAGTTCTCCTGCACTGGGGGAGTTTGCTTATAGTAAGCAGAGATAAGTATTGAGATGTACCAAAGTCACACCAGTAGAAGACACATCGGCTCCTGGAGGGGGAGGGTAGCCTTCAACCGGAACGCTCTGGAAAAAATGAGTGTGACAGAAACTCTTTTTGACAGGATGAGAAGTCGTCCTGTGGGGAAAAAATAGCAGTTCTCTCATGCTGGGGCTTGTTGCATTCAATAAACAAAAGAGCAATATACATACAGTAGAGCAGCTAACAAACAAATTCAGATCTCATTCAGAGATTAACACCTGTGCCATGAAGAAACACTTCACAGTACATCATCAGATATCAATATAATAATCTGTGAAGTTTGTATATTGGACTAAAGGCTGAGAATGAGGTCTTTTTTTCCCAACCTAAACTCTGAAAATAAAAACATTTCAGGGGACGAATGCTGTCACTGCCTTTAGTTAGGGATGTTTATCTGCCTCAATGTTATGTAACTATTTACAAAACCTGAGTTATGAAAAGCATAAAATGCTCCTTTCCCCTGGGAAAGCGAATGTTAAAAAAAGTGGACCTTGAGGACCATGTACCTTTGAGGGTACACTTAGAATGTCTGAAGCTTGTGGGGACTAAAACATACCAGGACGGTACCTTTGTAGTATGATCATAAATAGGGAAAACTACTCAATCTGTGTCTTGTACTAAATGCAACTGATTTATGGGAAAAGCAAAGTACGTGTTTTCCAGATTTCACACATCTGCAAGTGTTTTGTATATTAATAGGCAGCAATTAGTCAGTCCAACGGTGGAAGTAAATGGCCCCAGAACGTGCACATTTGTCAGCCAATTAAATGTGTCACTTGGAGTCTTTCACAAACCGGAGAGTTAAAATGACCCGAGTAATCTGTTTGTATTACTACTGGTAAGACTGACTGACTGTTATGGTTGAGGCTGAATAAACACCAACAATGCCTACTAAAAAGTGAATGCCCACTCATTTTACCCATCATATGGAATGCCACTGTAGTTTTTCCTCTCCCTGTTGACTTTACAAATGGCTTAGAGAAGTTGTTCTCCATATAGACTGAATTACGTATTCTGTAAGTGTTTTATTATAGTAAGCAACAATTACAACGCATCCACCAGTGGAGATAAAGTCTGTGAGCATCTGCCTTTTAGACGTTTTAAGTGGCATTCCAGCCTAGAACAAGCATTTAATGCGTTATCTTTTTTTCCAAACTGAAGAATTAGCCAGCTAGTGAAGTATACCCCAAATATCCAAGCACTTATCCATGTACCCCCACCTTCAAGATACATCATCAGGGGATTTTTCTCCAGGAAATCTGTTTAAAAAGTACACTACTGCTGTAAGAGGTCAACGGCCATGTTTACAACAGATGTCTTGATGGTCACGTTTCATTTTGGCCAGAGCGTCCCAGATTTCACAAACTCTTCTTTAGCAAAAACAATGGTTCTATACAGAACCATGAACACTTAGAGCCATTTGCATGCTTAAATAGGTTTTTGCATGGTGAAAAGGTTCTTCAGATTGATGGAGACTGTTGTTTATGGCTCCATACAGAACCTTTCTGAAAATGGTTTTATACAGCAACAAATGGTGTCATATAAAACTATTTTAAAAAAGGTTCTATCAATCTGAAGCAATCTGATGCAAAGAACCAATTAAACATAAATTGGTTTCATGTAGAAATCATGGTTTTATATAAAACCATTGTCTTCACACTCTTGAAGAGTTCTACAGTTAAATGGAATGGTTCTGTTTAGACCATGCAGTCTATATAGAACCAGTTCATATTTAACTTGTTCAGGACCCTAGCACCAAAAAGCGTTCTTCTATTGTTACAAGCTTGACATCATACCAACAAAAGAACTCTTTTTGGTGCTATACAGAACCATACACAACAAATTCCTCATCAATCTTTAGAACCACTTCACCATACAAACAACCATTTAAGCATGAAAAGGTTCTATATTGAACTCTAAACAGAACCATTCCGTTTTCCTAAAGAACCCCAGGAGCACCACCTATTTAAGGAATGTACTAAAGAACCCTTGATGAATCTTTTTTAAGACTGTAGGGTAGATCAGGGTGTTAGAGCAGGACAAAGCCACTCTACAGAGGAGACTGCAGTAGGTGGACTGGGAGCCACACTGAGGTAGATATTCCAGAATATGCATGACAGGCCTTGGACTTCTCGGGTGAAGATCGCTGCCATTGTGCTCGATAATGCAGTGTTAATGCGGTGGGCCCTTACCTCTCAGCGAGACAGTGAAAACAAGTTGGATTAGCTGCCTAGCCGACGACCCCGCAACCCAGGGGGTCCAGTTTTACATGGCAGAAAAAAACACAATAGGGACGATTGAAAACTACACCTTATCGCCTCAGGGGCTTCGGGATTGGAGAGTGAATCGCCTTGGGAGACGACAGGCGGCTGGATGCCCGGGTTGAGCTGAGTGGCAGAAGATTTGAATTGTTTGGGTTGTTTCAGCCCGAGGTTTAATAAAGGAACGGGGTCGATGAGCTTTACAGAAGAATTAGTCTGTGTGAGAAATTACGAGCTAACTACTCTAGACAAACGGCTCCTTTCACGGGGAAAGTAGACTAGTTTACTTACACAGAGGACGACGCTGGAGTTAGCTTCCTATTCGAATTTTCCGTTCCACCTTAAATGGCGCCATAACGTAATTGCTGCACCATTTAAGGTGGAACGGCAAATTCGAATATGAAGCCAACTTCGGCCTCCAATGTAAAAGGTACATTTTTACACGACAATTTGACCTTTTTGCTGACGTTCTTATAAAAAGTTACCTGAAAAACGTCTTCACAGTCTGGCTCGACTGGAAAAATGACAACTGTCACTTTAAAACCGATGAAAAGACGCTACTAACGATGACGTTCCTCGATATTGTTTGGTATAATGTTAGTGAACGCTGTGAATGGGTGATTGAGTGGCCACGCCCCCCACCTGTAACACGCTAATTAGACTCAAAACTAAAGCTCTGATTGGTCCAAACAACTCAACGGTTCACCGCATTGGGGACAAGTGAGGATAAATGTGCATTTTACCGTCTGTTTTTATGTGTTTTTCGTAACGGGGAATTCCACCATTTTTTTTCAAAATTTCTTAATTATTCAGTCATTGAGATGTAAAAAGTCGTTCAGAGTGGTTTGATGCGAAACGGTTCATTTGTAGAGAAACTTAACTGATTCTTTACAGTGGTAGTAAAGGGAACCAGGGGCTTATTTTCCAAAGCAGGCTTTCTCAGTTTAAGCCCAGAGTCAAGCCTGTCCAATGGGAAAAGAGCTGAAGGACATTGCTATTGGGAAATCCTCATCTTTGGGCTTAAGTTATCTGGCTAACTGAATAAAACCTGCTTTGTGAAATACCCCTCAGGAGTCACAAATTTTCACAATATTGCCATTTTATTTACTATCCAGAACCACCAGTGAACCTACACGAGTCGTTTTTATATGTAATGTTGATGATGGTAAAACAGTCATAAATCAGAAAAAAAAAGTTTTCTTTGGGGACTATTTTGCCTTACAATGTCCTGTATGTACTGGATGTAAGTCTTATACATCCGGCAACATATATCCAACCAAGAATAACTTTCTGTGTGGGAGTTCTTAGAGGTGGACGTCTGTTTCCTATCACC